ATCATGGTATATGTAGTTCTCTCTGTTTTTTAGCTGTTGCTGCACCATAACAATGAAATTAAGCAAAGAAACTTGTCATTTGATATTTTGTGATGGCCCATGATATTATCGTGAGACGTTTGATGATACGATACCACAATATTTCGGTTACTGTTACATCTCTACTGCAAACTATCAATTATTATGATCGTTTCAGTTCCATTTCTCCTTATTCTATCCCTGTGCTGTTGACGTAGCACTGGTCTGGCTCGGGTTCACTGGAGCTGAGGGTCTGTTTACTTCCTCCCTGTGTTTCCTCTGTTCACGTTTACAATGGACTTTCCCCATTCATGTCAGCGCTGTGTGGCCTTGTGAGGCAGGAAAACACCAGACGCTTTCTTCTTTTCCATTGGTACAAAGTCAAAGGAGCCACTCAGACACCAGCTCGTAAATCTGTTGGACTGTCTCTGCACTGTAAAAAATATCATACAGTGAGAATTATGTGATTTTAGATAAATTAGGGGCCAAGTGTGGCATTCTGTTGGTTTTATATATTATGACAGTGTGAGTTTTTATGTTTTAGAATAATCTTGAACTGTATCAGAACAATTATAAAACCACATAGTATCCCCCCATAGACTGTGTAAAGAAGTAGACTTAGGGAGTGTGACGTCACCCATAGTGCTCGGCTCCAGTCAAATGAAGCTCACCAATGCTAGCGGTTATATAGGTAAGGAACAGGAATCTGTGGAGAGTCTCACGCACTCACTGAAGCAATGCATGTTTTTGTACTATTTTTGAGCACCTGTAATTGAATAAATGTGACATAGATTTTTTTATTGTTATACTGTGCCTTTCAGGCAAAGCAATAATACGACCATGGAAACAAGTTTACAAACAACAATGTATATCTATAAAATACACAAGAATCTGCATATTTCCTCATGTATGTTAAAAACAGCGATTATTTGAGCGTGTGTGAGCTCTAAACCAATGAAATGTCAGGAAAGTCTTCACAGCTGCCTAACGCTGCTTGTGATTGGTCACATTTACACACAACCTCTTTTTTAGCCTATCACTGTCTCTAATCGATCGAAATGAGTTTTCTCTGCAGAGCCGCTGGGCACTTGCTTAGAGATAGGGTGAGGACCTCAGTCACATGGGAGGAGCTCAGAGTAGAGTCGCTGCTCCTCCATGTCGAGAGGAGCAGCTGAGGTGACTCGGGCATCTGATGCCTCCTAGACGCCTCCCTGGAGATGTGTGCCAGACATGTCCCACCTGGAGGAGGCACCCTGCCCAAACACATCAGAGACTCATCTGCACAAGACCCAGAACATGCTGGAGGGACTATGTCTCTTGGCTGGCCTGGAAACGGAGGTGTCTGGGGTGGAGGAAGTCTGGGACTCCCTGCTTAGACTGCTGCTCCTGCCCCAAACAAATGGAAGAAAATAGATGGATGAATGTCTCTAATCTCTTGTTTTTGTCTTCCAAATCAAAAGAAAAACTTAGCTGCTCCTCTGAATGACAAGAGAGTCTGGAATCTGAAGATCTAATCAGACTCAAGAGTAAAATAAGGAGCCACGTTACCAATGGCTATAATGGACCAGCACTGGTGCTACAACATTATTTTCAATGTTACTTGATTTGAAAATGTCGAGAACAACTGCTGTCGACAATTAGACTTTTCAACTGGTACATCTGATTCATTTCAATATTTTCTTCCATTCTGCACCACTCACTCAAGGTACAGTTCTCGGCCCCCTCCTCTTCATCCTCTACATTCTCTACAAACTCCTTCTTGGTCATATAATGCAGCGCCACGGCCTTCAGTTCCACTGTTTTGTAGACAACATCCAACTTTACCTGTCCACCAAATCCATAACCCCGGCCAGACAGTCCACCCTCAAAAACTGCATCCTGGCTCCAATGAAACTTCCTCCAACTCAACTGCGACAGAACAGAATAATCATCATTAGCCCCAAAACACGCACCAAAACCCACAATAACCTCTCCATCGACGGCTCCTCAGTCTCCTCCTACTCCAGCGTCCGTAATCTTGGCACCATCTCCGATCAGACCCTTTCCTATGAACACCACATCAAACACATCACCAAAGCCGCCTTCTTTTACCTCCGCCCATCCCTTTCCCTTCAGTCTGGTGAAACCCTCATCCACGTCTTTGTCACCTCCCGCCTCGACGACTGTAATCGCCTGCTCGCAAACTCCTCAGTAGACTCCAGTACATCCAGAACTCTGCCGCCACCTGTCCTCAGGGATCTCCACTGGCTCCCCGTCCCTCAGCACATCCAGTTCAAACTCCTCAACATCGCGTGCAAGTCCCTCCACAACCTCGCCCCAATCTACCTCTCTGAGCTCCTTCACCACCACAGCCCCACCCGTGTCCTCCGATCAGCCGACGCCAACCTCCTGTTTCCCACCGCCAGGACTAAACACAAGACCTGGGGGAACTGGGCCTTCTCCGCTGCTGCCCCTACCCTTTGGAACTCCCTGCCCAAACCCATCAGAGACTCATCTACACTCACAACTTCATAAAAGTCCCGAAAACTCACATGTTCATAACTGCTTCAAAATAAGTCTTTCATTTGTGTTTGTGTCTGCCTTGATCTATGTGAAGCATCTTTGAGTGTCATGAAAAGCGCTATACAAGTGTTATGCATTATTACTATTATTATTTCAAGTAAAATTATGTAAGTAACAAAAGAAATAAGTGCATGTAAAATCTAAAAAATGGCTATAAAATCTCACCCCAAATGGTCCCATATTAGGCTTTTTTCTAATCTATGTTGTATAACGTTTCATCATCGCAAACGGACCTGGAGTTCTGTTTTGTTTCATTCACACACGTTTGACACACAAACCCCTGCGTATATTTAAGGCTGAGTTTCTTCTCTCAAACAGGAAGTGCTTCTCTGTGTTTTTAAACTCCATACATCTTCACTACAATCATGTGGGTAAATTCAACCCCTGAACTGCCAATCTCTACTGAAGTAAATGTAAAATGTGGCTGATAACTTGAAAACTACCGCTTAATGACATTTCATGAGAATCATTTTACGCTTTGATGTTTGAGCTTTGATGTTGTAGACAGACTCATAATAAAAGATTACTTAAACACGTGTGAATGAAACAAAACACAACTCTAGATGAGTTTTTGATGAGGTAAGAACATTATAGCATAACTAAAAGCTCAATACTTTACCATGAAAAAATACAAATTGAAACCACTGACAAAGATCACTGACACAGACCTACTTTAGTGATGAAAAGTCATTTAACAGTATATTGTACTTTTTACAGTGCAGGAAACCTCAGAATCCATTATGTTGTCATGGTAGACGTCAGCATTCTTCCTGTTTCTTCATTATTTGCTGGGGTCATGTGACCTCCTTACCGCTTGTGACTGGACAGCAGTTAAAAATGTCCAATTGTTCTTAAAGGGATAGTGCACTGAAGGAAATGAAACAACACAATAGAGAAAGCAGTTAACTTCTCACTATTAAAGGTGCATTGTGTGACTATTCTGGTGGAGGGTCTGTTAAACGCTTTTCTCCAGATGTTATTTCGTTGTCTGGAATGTTTCACAGTATGGTATTAAACCTTTCTATCTTCACGGAGACCAAACCAGACCAAGTTACAGGTCATATTTGTGGAGAGGAGAGAGTTTTTCTATGTATTTTCGAGCTGTAAAACCACCTGTAATTGAATACATGTAAGGTAGCGTGTTTTAACGTCATACTGTGGAATATTCCAGGCAGAGCAATGACATATCCATAGAAACAAACAGGTGACAGGTTACACAACGCACATTTAAGATGGCGGTTTGATTCCAGGTCTTGCCCAATACTGTAGTTGTGTCCTTGTGAATATAGTAAGCGAGTGAGTAACTGTCTGACTTGTGGATGAAGTGTCTTGCCTAATTACACAAGAACAGTTTACACTAGACAACTAGAGTCGCTGCTGCACCATTGTGTATTCTCTCGTATGTGTGTGTGTATTTTATATTCCCAGTGGTCTCCCATCCATGAACTAACCATGCCAAATATTACAATTACTGTATCATCTAGTGCAGCAGTTTTCAATAGGTGAGGCCCACCAAAGAGGCACTGGGGAGACATGACACAGCGGACTACACCAGGACTGAACCAGGAGGACTAAACCAGGACTGAACTAGGACTAAAGCGAGACTAAACCAGGACTAAACCAGAACTGAACCAGGACTGAGTGTCAGGAAGGGCCTGGATGTGCGCACACGTAGACTATTGGGTGACTGCCGGTAAAAGGACCGAACACCGACACAGAGCTCTGCACCTCACTGGGCTAAACGGGGCTAAGCGCAACCATTGCACAGCCATCGCCTGGTTTAGTCCTGGTTTAGTCCTGGTTTAGACCTGGTTTAGTCCTGGTTTAGACCTGTTTTACTTCTGGTTTACTTCTGGTTTAGTCCTGGTGTCCTACTGCTTTTCAGTGATGTTAAAAGTAGCCTCAATTAGGCCTGAATGAAGTTGGAAGTTGGAACTTGATAATATTTTAAAAGTTTTTATTGAAACTCATCATTGCAGGAACACAAAAGATGCATTTACTTCAATGGCCTGTGTGGGGGAGTGCAGGCGGAGGGGAAAGAGAGGGGGCTCAGCTCTCTCTCACCCAATTTGAAAATAGAACATTAAATAAAAGTACTTTCTTTTATATTCTAATGTGGACTTATATCTTATATTGTGGTCCATGGGCGTATTCTAGTCTAGGTGCTCTTATATTTGTTCTGATACAGCTCAAGATCATTTTAAAGTGATTCAGGAAAGGTTCATTTCTGTCCTGTCAATGTGACTTTTTTAGGATCGATATCTGCTCAAATGAGTATCTAGTTTCGATACTAGTTTTAGCATCTGATTTTTGATTCTTTTGACAAGCCTAATATCTTCTCCAAAGTAAAAAACGCTCAAAAGTTAAATCTAAATAGTTTGTTGATTGACCCTATTGTCCTATCTTCTTTTGTGTTTCAGAGTGTTTGGCATCTCTCCGATCATTCACAGTAACTGCTCGTCCACATGGCGTCTGTCCCTCCACGAGAACAGACGCTGGTTCCACTTCGTCAACCCCATCATGCTGCTCCTGCTCTACTACACCCTGGCCACGCTCATCCGGCTGTGGCTGCAGGAGCCCGTGGAGAACATGGTGAGCTGTGAGGGTTCTGCAGGGTTTTTAAAGGTCCGGTATTACGCAACATTGAAAGAGGTTCAGACAGAGCACCAGGCAGCACATGAAAAGAGGGTCAGATGGAGCAGAGGATGAGGAAGAGAGGGTCAGATCAGATGAAGAAGAGGAGAGAGTCAGAGAGAGATGAGAGTCAGATGGAGCAGAGATAGAGAGGTGAGCAGGATGAAGAAAAGAGGGTCAGATGGAGCAGAGGATGAGGAAGAGAAGGTCAGATGGAACAGAAGATGAAGAAGAGAGGGTCAGATGAGCAGAATGAGGATGAGAGAGAGGGTCAGATGGAGCAGAGAGAGAGCAGATGAAGAGAGAGGGTCAGATGGAGCAGAAGATGAAGAAGAGAGGGTCAGATGGAGCAGAGGATGAGGAAGAGAGGGTCAGATGGAACAGAAGATGAAGAAGAGGTTCAGTGGAGCAGAGAAGCTCAGATGGAGCAGATGAAGAAGAGAGGGTCAGATGGAGCAGAGATGAGAAGAGAGGGTCAGATGGAGAGAGCAGATAGAAGAGAGGGTCAGATGGAGCAGAGGAGATGAGAAGAAGAGAGGGTCAGATGGAGCAGAAGATGAAGAAGAGAGGGTCAGATGGAGCAGAGGATGAAGAAGAGAGGGTCAGATGGAACAGAAGATGAAGGAGGAGGTTCAGCTGGAGCAGAGGAGAAGCTCAGATGGAGCGGGAGATGAAGAAGAGAGGATCAGATGAAGCAGAGAATGAAGAGGATAGGGTCAGATGGAGCAGAAGATGAAGAAGAGGGTCAGATGGAGCAAAGGATGAAGAGGAGAGGGTCAGATAGAGCAGAGGATGAAGAAAAGAGGGTTAGATGGAGCAAGGGATGAAGAGGAGAGGGTCAGAGGGAGCAAAGGATGAAGAGGAGAGGGTCAGATAGAGCAGAGGATGAAGAAAAGAGGGTTAGATGGAACACAGGAGCAAAGGAGAGAAGTTCACATGGAGCAAAGGATGCAGAGGAGAAGATCAGTTTGAGCAGAGGGTGAAGAAGAGAGGGTCAGATGGAGCAGAGGAGAGGGTTAGATGGAGCAGAAGATCTGGAAAAGAGGGTCAGCTGGAGCAGAGGATGAAGAAGAGAAGACCAGAGGAGCAGAAGATCCACTTATCTCCACGAATAGCCCCTTTGCCTTGAATTAAACAGGAAACTACATGGCCTTCAGGAAGATTCTAGCACGGTCAATTAGCTCAACAAATCCATTTTTATTAACACAATCATGAGGCGTTCTTTGTCTAAATGTCCAATCCATCCATGTCTTATTCACCGGCCTTAAAATGTGAAGATACAGCCCCTGGTTTTGCTTGGTTTAATTGAATTTCTTTGTGATTTTTGTGCCTTCTATTCGTCTCTGTCCCTCCTCCTGCTCGGTGTTGTAATGCGTTTATAGATTGGGGTTTTTATAGAGGGGTCAATAGCTCCTTGTAAACCCACAAGTCTGAATACAGCATCGATCAGCACTGAGCCCTGCCCTTTCACCTGATCTCACACTGACAATAATAAACCACTATAGCAAAGCAAAGAATTGTACATTTTATTTTAGCTCGTTTTGTTTTGTGTGTTTTAAAGGGCCCATATTACGCTATTTTCTGGTTTATGTTTTAATGTTTCTTCGTCACAAACATACCTGGAGTTGTGTCTTTTGTTGGGATAATTTCAGTCCTGGAATTGCCAATCTCTCCTGAACAAAATCTACCACTGCATTACATCACAAGGTGGACATGAAGGCAAACTAATAATAAAGGATTTCTGAAACATGTGTGAATGAAACAAACACAACTCCAGGTATGTTTTTGACGATATATTTGTGTAATATAGGACCTTTAATCAAAATACACAAATTCCCTAGAGATGAAAATTAAAAAGTATCTCCAAGATTAACTCAGTTACTTCAGTGGGTTGTCCTCTTCTACACTATGAAGACCCTACACTATGGCTGTTGGAAATTATGTATCTTTTTTTTTTGGACTATAAGGAGCACTGGATTATAAGGCGCAATAATCAATAAACTGACTTCTCTCATCTATTTTCATACATAAGGCACACTGGATTATAAAGTGTATTAAGCGAAACAAACAGACGACACTTGAGACTGATCCTTTAGCCCAGGCATCCACGATCCATTGGCAGATTGTGGCATAATTTCCTACAAGGAGGACTCAAATATAGATTGAGTAATAATGCATCTTTGTGCACATTTGATTACGTTTTACAGAAACGAAACGAAAGCCACATAGCTAATAGTGCTGAAAAACAAAAGTTTTCAGACTATAAGTTGCTCCGGAGGATAAGTCACATCAGCCAAAAAATGCGTAATGAAGAAGAAAAAAACATAAGTCGCATCGGACTAAAAGTCGCACTTTTTTGGGGAAATTTATTTTATAAAGCCAGAGAACAGAAACTGACATTTCATCTGGAAAGGCAAGTTAGAGGAATAACAATAGAACAGAGAACAACAGACTGTTAATGTCACATATGAACAGTTCTTCAGATAAACTATAACATAAACAACAGAACAAGTTTACCAAACTCTTCATCTCACTCCAAATCACTAAATCCATTGAATTCTCCATCCTCTGTGTCACTTCTGAGCAACTCTGCGACCTCTGGAGTTAAACAGAGTGCCGCTTCCTCTTCTGCGTAGCTGTTGTCAGACTCCAGTTAGAATTATTCTGGCCTTTCTGAATCCCAACAGAATGTTTTGGTTGTCAGTGAAGTCACTTAAATTTAAACTTTTCAGTGGTACAGAAGTAATCGTTCATGATCAACAGACATGAACAGACAGAACAGAGGCTCTTTCTGCAGGAGACATGCACAGTAGAGTGAAGTGACAGTGGTGCAGGAGGAATAGGAGCAGCAGATACTGACACACAAGCCTAGAGTGCCCTCTCGCAGCTCTCAGTGTGAACATATTAATATATAAGTTGGACTGGAGTATACTTCGCAGGACTACCCAAACCATGAAAAAAGTGCGACTTATAATCTGAAAAATATGGTAATTGAGACTATTCTAACTGTGTAATCACTCAGTTGTCCAGGTAGGGTCCAAAGCAAAAGTAAACGTTTTCACTCTTAAAAAACCTCTGCCCATTTTCTAAAATAAATTTTTTTTTGACCTTTCTTATGCTTGTTGCAATTTTTATTACCTTTTTTGCATTTCAGCCCTCTCATGACCTCCAGCTTAATCTCAAACCCTGTTAAGATACTGTCCGCCTCCACTGTCTATGTAATCTAATGTCAACAGCCTGTCCCATCTCATTGTGCAGCGTAGTGTTCGATGCCTTATGGGACAGATCCGTATCATGTGTGAGTCTATCATTGTTTTTACAGGAGGAGAAAGAGGAGGCTGATTGTGAGGAAGATGAGACACTGGGAAATGGAACAAATAACTCTGCAGAGAGGAAACGCCAGCTGTGGTGGAGGACGCAACGGGGCACGGACGAGAAGAATGTAAGGATGGGTGTACAGGGAGGGAGGGAGGGCTGTTAATGTGTGGGCTAAACACGTGAATATAGAGTTTAGATTCTAACTCAAGTCCCAAAAACGTCCATTCAGTCTTCTTTAAAAGGGCCCGTATTATGAAATTTTATGACCTGTTATAATGTTGTTTCCTCATCACAAACAGACTTAGAGTTGTGTTCTGTTTCATTTACACTTGTTTAACATAAAATAAAGTGCTCCACTGTGTTTTTAAACTCCATACGCCTTCATTAGAATTATCTGGATGATTTCAGCTCTGGAACTGCCAATCTCTACTGAACAAAAGGAAGCTGTAGCAGATTATTTTGAGCTTTAAAGATGTAGACAGACTAATGGTCTGTTCATATATATATATATATATATATATATATATATATATATATACACACACACATACACATATATATAATATATAATATATTATACGCTGCAGTCTTCTGACACCTTGGGCACACATCTAGAGCGTTGACGCCAAAACGCTCAAGTTGCACCGTGTCAATGCCAGATTCATGCCATGCTGATGCCCAAAGATGTGCCGCAAAAATGCAGGACGCCCTAGACGTGTGTTCACATAAACTTTGCATATAAACTGGACGCCTTTACGCTCCGGTCTGAACGACCTTAATAATAAAGGCTTATTCAAATGTGTGTGAATAAAACAAAACAGAACTTTTGCCATGTTTTTGATGAGGTAACAACATTATAAGTTGGCTATTTTTAATATACAGTGGGGCAAAAAAGTATTTAGTCAGCCACCAATTGTGCAAGTTCTCCCACTCAGAAAAAGATGAGAGAGGCCTGTAATTTTCATCATAGGTACACTTCAACTATGAGAGACAGAATGGCAGGAAAGAATCCAGGAAATCACAGGATTTTTAATGAATTAACTGGTGAATTCCTCGGTAAAATAAATATTTGGTCACCTACAAACAAGCAAGATTTGTGGCTCTCATAGACCTGTAACTTTTTCAAGCAGCTCCTCTGTCCGTTCCCTGTATTAATGGCACCTGTTTGAACAGTTTCTCAGTGTAAAAGACACCTGTCCACAACCTCAAACAGTCACACTCCAAACTCCACTATGGCCAAGACCAAAGAACTGCCAAAGGACACCAGAAACTGAACTGTAGACCTGCACCGGGCTGGGAAGACTAAATCTGCAATAGGTAAGCACCTTGGTGTGAAGAAGTCAACCGTGGGAGCAATTATTAGAAAATGGAAGACATACAAGATCACTGATAATCTCTCTCGATTGGGGGCTCCACGCAAGATCTCACCCCGTGGGGTCAAAAGGATCACGATGAGCAAAAATCCCAGATCCATACAGGGGGACCTAGTGAAGTAAAAAAGGCTACCATCAGTAACACACTACGTTGCCATGGACTCAAATCCTGCAGTTCCAGATGTGTCCCCCTGCTTAAACCAGTACATGTCCAGGCCCATCTGAAATTTGCTGTTGAGCATTTGGATGATCCGGAAGAGGATTGGGAGAATGTCCTATGGTCAGATGAAACCAAAATAGAACTTTTTGGTAAAAACTCAACTCGTCGTGTTTGGAGGAGAAAGAATGCTGAGTTGCATCCAAAGAACACCAGACCTACTGTGAAGCATGGGGGTGGAAACATCATGCTTTAGAGCTTTTTTTCTGCAAAGGGACCAGGACGACTGATCCGTGTAAAGGAAAGAATGAATGGGGCCATGTATCGTGAGTGTATTTTGAGTGAAAACCTCCTTTCATCAGCAAGGGGATTGAAGATGAAACGTGGTTGGGTCTTTCAACATGACAACGATCCCAAACACACTGCGCAGGCAATGAAGGAGTGGCTTTGTGAGAAGTATTTCAAGATCCTGGATTGGCCTAGTCAGTCTCCAGATCTCAACCCCGTCGAAAATCTTTGGAGGGAGCTAAAAGTCCGTGTTGCCCAGCGACAGCCCCAAAACATCACTGCTCTAGAGGAGATCTGCATGGAGGAGTGGGCCAAAATACCAGCAACAGTGTGTGAAAACCTTGTGAAGACTTACATAAAACGTTTGACCTCTGTCATTGCCAACAAAGGGTATATAACAAAAGTATTGAGATGAATTTTTTTATTGACCAAATACCTATTTTCCACCATAATTTGCAAGTAAAGTCTGTGATTTCCCAGATTCTTTCCCCTCATTCTGTCTTTCATAGTTGAGGTGTACCTATGATGAAAATTACAGGCCTCTTTTAAAGTGGGAGAACTTGCACAATTAGTGGCTAACTAAAAACTTTTTTGCCCCACTGTACATCACCGTTAGTGTGGATCTAGCTGACAATCTCACACACTTTCTCGACTTCTCGACTTAATTAGCCCGCCATATTCATCTATTGTTCCTATTTTAGGGCTATTGTGGGCGCTCTGAGTTGTAAAACTTTTAAAGCGACACCATTCACTCTCAGATAACGTCAGTAGTGGTGTGTAACTCCTGTCCATTTGCTTTGTCTCCTCGTGTCTCCTCTGAACAATGCTCTGTGTGTCTCAGGCTCTCAGCACTAACAGTCTGTCTCTGCTCCTCAGCTCCTCTCCACTCAGGACTGCATCAGTACCCACGAGGTGCCCACTTCTCTGCTTATTTCTTTCCTTCTATGTTTTCACAGTTTTATGACAATAGAGGGTCACGTATGTAAACTAACAACTTGTGACGTTAAAGATGCACTCTGTAGCTTTTCTGGTGGAGGGTCTGTCATCATCTGATCTTTTTCCATAGAGTTTCACAGTAGCGTTAAACTTATCCATCTTGCATTTACTCAATTACTGGTGTTTTAATGCTTAAAAAACATGAGCAGGGTCACCTATCTTGCGATACTGAAAATCTCTGATCACTAAAATTGCTGCGGGATATGTCTGATCACCACAGCTATAAAGTTTGCGTCTGCTGTTTCCTGTCTATGTCGCTTTGAGAAGTGTTCAAAAGATCAGAGCACTGCACTTTTAGTTAAAACTGTTATTATTATTTGTGAAATGTGGTGTAATACTTCACATACATGATTTTAAAGCGTAAAAGTCCACAGGAAGTAGAGTCACTATCTCTAATCTGCAGCTTCACCTCGATCTGTGCGCTGTGTGGATGTAAAAAGACACACGTGAGGAAATACTCTTGACTTTTTACTTTCAAAGAACGCCTCAAACTAGATTAATAGCGCTGTTTTGTGGACTGGATGTCATTATTTGCGGACGACAGTTTCTATGGATAATGTGGATGAGATGCTGCACTTTAAATTTACCACTTTACGAGAGTTGAGGAATAAAATCTTCTGTTTATTTTCGCTGTATCCTGATTTTGTATCTTGCATCTCTGTGTCCGTCACTCCTATGCCCCTGATGCTCTGTTTTATCGGCTGTTATCGTAGCGTTGTTTATGTTTGGTGGTTACAGTCTGACAGAGCAGCTCAGAGTCACACTGACACCACACACATGAGGAGCACAGCGGCTTAAAAATCGCACACAAAGACACAAAGTCGGGTCACGCCTTCTCGAACTCAGGGAGGAGTAAATCGCAGCCAAAATCGGGCAAATTCTCCTGTAGTTTAGGGACGGACTGACAATCTGTACATTCTGGAAAAGTCCAAACCGTTCGATCGTTCTCTTTTCCGATTTGAGCAACCGATCCTCAGTTTTTTCTGTAGGCCGATTTGTCCGGGAAATGTCCAGGGCAATACTGTGGAGCATTCTGTTCGAGGAGGTAACGGAGAGAGGTCCATGAAGATGTTATTTCATTGTCTGTGATATTAAACTTATTTAAAATGCACTCCTTTTATCATGGGTGTATGTAGCGCTCAAACACACCTTTTAAAAACATGAACAAGGTCAAGGTTAATTGGCCTGGAGATCATTTGTTTAATGCCATACACAGGAATATCCAGGGCAAAGTAATAAAATCTCCATGATGACAAGAAGGTGACGGGTCCTGCTCCGGAAACGTTACACAGTGCACCTTTAATATGGAGTCTGATGACACAGAAAGAAAAATGCATCACTTTTTTAACATTTGAACTATTTTAGAAAGTCTGTATTCATATTCTAAATTGAAATAAAAGTTAATATTTTAGATGCCACTGCTAATATACTTTGACTCTGTGCAGGTTGTGCCCACCTCAAATGGAACGTCTTTTGACTTTGTGACGACTGAGAACGGTCCTGTTTGTCTGGACCTGTACTCCACGCCCCAGTACAAACTCGACACCATCACTGACAACAATGGTAAGGCTTTTACAATCATTATTTAGCTTCATCATGTTTTATCAGATTATTTTTTAATTTAGACTTTTGTTGATACTTCACTTTTTACTTGGAAGACCAAAACAAGCATGACATCATCTTATAGCACAGGTTTAAAGTGGAACTAAACACAAAATCCCCTTTTTCACTACTGTGTTTCTGGTGTTTTAACAGCATTTTCTTAAAAAAAATGTTAACGTCCACCTTTATCAAGATGCTGAGAGAACTCACCACTGCACCAGTTTCACAATGTGTTCTTAAAGCAGCCAAATGTCTTCTTAAGGGGCCCATATTAAACTAATTTCTGATCATTTTAAGGACATATGTTACACAAAATTGACTCTTAGGAAGTTTTAGCCATGTTATAATGTTGTTTCCTCATCACAAACATACCAGGAGTTGTGTTTTGTTTTATTCACACATGTTAAACACACAATTTCTGTGTATTAAGGCTTAGTTCTTTTCTCAAAATCAAAATACGCTGTACCACCTTGTGATGTCATGTGGTAATACAGGAAGAACTCCACTGTGTCTTTAAAGTCCACACACCTTCACTAGAATCATTTGGGTCATTTCAGCCCCGGAATGACCAATATCTACAAAACAAAAGGTAAAATCTAGCAGTTAACCTAAAAACTGCTGAAACAAAACACAACTCCAGGTCTGTTTTTGATGAGGAAACAAAATTATAACATGACTTAAAGCCCACAAGAGTCAATTTTGTGTAATATATGTCCTTTAAATGACAGTTGCATTGAAGTGAGGGGATCACACGGGTGTCCAGGCACAGGGCTGTAACAGTGGCCCGTATGGAGAGCACTGGGGCTGGGACAGACTTGGACTGTCACTGCAGCTTGTAAACCTAATGGACTACATGCTCTATTAAACTCCTCATTAACGTTATTGGATCACAAAATGTTTGCAATTGTAGTGCAAATGAGGTAAATTTGCTGCTTAGCTTGCTGGTCAAAAACACCTAAATCTATGTCTGTGTTGCCTTCGGTGACCTCTGTGATTTCAAGTACTTGGTGACATCGCACAGGACTGTCTTGATCACATTTCTGAGTACAAACACCTAGCCTCCTCCTCGCTCACTCTCCTCTTTAGTCCTCCAGGTGCTTCAAACTCCGCCCCTGCAGCCTGGTGTTTGTATCCGAAACATCTGTCTGTAATTGAGGCAGTCATGAGTGATGTTACGTAGTACTTGAAACTGCATAGGCCCCTGAAGCCAGCACACATTTGGATTTAGACACAAACTTGACTACTAACACCAGATAATGCTACTAAAACACCATATACACTTTAATTGTACCTGTTTGCATGTGTTGTGTGTCCATCAGATAAGAAGGAGTGTGTGCTGGAGGTGCGACTGCCTCCAGAGGACTCAGAGCGAGAGGAGGAGAAGGAGGAGAAGGAAGAGAAGGAGGAGAAGGAAGAGGCGGAGGGAGACTTGGCTCACGCTCGCCTCAGTGCCATGGTCAAAGTGTTCACTTCATCATGAAACAGAGCTACATCTGTGCCCTCATCGCAATGATGGTGAGAGACATTTTAGTGTGTGAATAGCTGTTTACTGTGTCTGTATTTCTTTTTTATTTCCTAACCAGCGCAGTTAAAGCCCTAAGCCAGTAAAACTCATTTTTGAAAACAGTTTAAAGGGCCCATATTACGCCATTTTCTGATCTTTGTTGTAAAGTTGTTTCCTCATCATAAACAGACCTGGAGTTGTGTTTTGTTTCATTCACACAAGTTTAACGCACAAACCGTTCTTAGGCTTTTTCTCTCAAACAGAAAACACCCTGTTCTAGCTTGTGATGTCATGTGGTAATACAGGAAGTGCTCTATTGCATTTTCAAACTCCCCCCCTTCACTAGAGTCATTTGGATAATTTCAGCCCTGGACTTGCCAATCTCTACTGAACAAAAAGTAAATGGTAGCTGTTAACTTGAAAACTACCACTACATAACTACTAATAATAAAGCATTACTCAAACATGTGAATGAAACAAAGCACAACTCCAGGTCTGTTTTTGAGGAGGTAACAACTTTGTAGCATGGCTTGAAGCTCACATTAGTCTATTTTCCTTAATATTTACAGATCCCCCATTGTAATTTTCTTATAGTACATCTGTTTTTGGAGCCTGGGACAACACAGCTAGCTGGGTTGGTGCCACCTAGTGCCTCCGCTCAATTTCGTTTCTCTCCAGTGAATAGGTCAGGAATCAGAATACACTACACGGTTTGCTAGAAACCCGGATGTTGTAGACCGAGCACCGGCCAATCAGTGAAGAGCTGTGATGCCATGACGTCAAACTCAAGCGCCTGTCTGGGTCCCTTTTGTGGTACAGCACAACAGTAAACAAAGCGGTCGAGATGGATGTAGACGAAGACAGATATTCTGTGTTGGCAACGATTCCTGAGATCGAGGCTTTAAAGCTGGAACAAAGAGAATGTTTGGTGAATTTTATCAAGGGGAACGATGTTATTGCCCTTCTTCCTATGGGGTTTGGCGCATTACATACATCATGACCAAATAGAAGCGACTGGTTAAATAAAAAAAGTACCCGCCTACTGTCAAGCGAACGAATCCTAACGCTGCGAGGTCAGACGGTTTCCTCAAAGTGAAACCAGCTGATGAATCAGGCTACAAAACAGCTGAGTTGGAACAAAAGTCTGTGCTACTTTTAATGGACTGCAGAAAAATGTTGTCTTATTAGAATTTCAAATTGCTAGCATTTTTAGATATTTATGGATTATCTGTACTAAAATATAAATAAAATTTGCACCAATTTACTACATTAATAATGCATTGGTCTTATCTTGTACAGTGCTGTTCCAGATACTCAAAGTCGCTTTACGGTTTTGTGCATTATTCATTCACTGCACACTTATTTTGAAGGTCCTCCATTACACAATCTGACTCCTGTGAACTTTGAGCCATGTTATAATGTTGTTACCTCCTTAAAAACTCAAGATGCTCTGTCACAAAGTAGTAGAGAATAAGATAATGCATGACCAGACTTTTTCTTGTATCCTCTCTGTCCTCCTTCCTCTTCCTCAGGCGTGGAGCATCACGTACGTCAGCTGGCTCACCTTCGTCTTCCTCATGTGGTCGTGCATGCTGTGGATGGTGCGCGACCGGAGACGCTATGCCATGCTCTCCTCGCCGTTCATGGTGGCCTACGGGGACCTGGTCATCGTGCTGCAGTACATCTGGAGCTTTGAGGACATGGGGGAGATCTCTGGGCTGTTTGTCAAGAAGAACAACCCCTTCCACTCACTCTCCTCCAAAGGTGGGGCTCCTCTGTGTGTTTGACATGTCATATAAACTTTAAAATCCAAATTCAGATTAAAATCCTTGTAACTGGGGCTTGTACTGAGTAGGGATGCAATGATATTTGATATAATATCCAATCGTTTGATACTGGTGTCACGATTCGATACACGTTTGGTCAATATGTCATTTATTTTGCTCTGAAAGAGAAACCGTAATCGCTGCGTCCTCCTCAGATGCAGCGAGTAAACAGCTCCATAGGGACTTACAGCTGAAATATTCTAACAGAGATGGGTTTTATCTTTCAGTCACTTTTTATTTTATGTTGTTAGACCCAGAAATGACAAAAATAAGAACTTGTAAATACTTTAGAATCGCTTTTGGCCTTACATCGGCTTTCATCAAATATGCTCATATACTCACATGTGATTCAGGTTACATGCGATTTTTTTCTTTGACTCTCTCTCAAAAGTTTTACACTGAAAATGGTCTGTTGAGACATTTCTATACATAGTTTGAGTGGTCAGAAAGAAGATAGGAGAGTGTAGTGTGTGAAAAAAGAGCAGGGTCGTGTGGGAGGAGCTCCTGTGTGTCTCTGCTGCTGCTGAAGACGAGGCAGAGCAACGTGGACACATTGTGAAAGAAAAGGCATAATGAAAAATAAATCATGAAACAATCATCAAAAAAGAAAAAAATCGGATAGTTTCCCATCGCAGTCTATATTAAGACTATGTTATAAGAACTGTTCTCCTTTGAAAGCACAAATCTTATTTTCACTGAATAAAAAATCTGAGCTGTAAATCATTGAACCAAATGAACTAAAACACTTCACATATAAACTACGTCTTTACACTGATTGTGCTGTAATGTATTAAAATGTGATGTTCTCATTAATATCATAGTGTTTAAGTCACAGGTGTCAAACTCATTTTGGTCCAGGGGCCATATCCAACCGACTTTGATCCCAAAGGGGCCGGATAAGAAAACTCATGGCATATAAACCCCAAAAATAACAATATGTTCAAATATTTGTGCAGAGAAACGCAAATCTATTACAGAAATCTTTTTAATTGATGGACTCTTTCTTTTACAAAATATTATAATATTATGAACAACCTGAAACTTGAAGAAAAATGCAATTTCAACACAATGTTTTAACATTAACTTGTGTGCATTTCATAGAATTTAGTCATGCTTTCTTTTTGCTCCTGGATCTTGGCATCTTTTAGCCTGTACAAGTGGATCAATATCAGGCACCATGTCCTGAGTAGCTGCTCTCTTCAGAATGTTATTCAAGTGCGTGTGTGTTGTGTGTTATGTTTTAGTGTTGAGCGCAGCTTTGTTTTATTAATGTTCATTACTGAGAAAACCTGCTCACAAAGGTAGTAACTGTAAATCTATTATTTCTAGTTGCATGTCTGCGGGTACATCAGAGGTTTTGACTGTGAATGGTGTGAGAAAAATTGCTAATTCTGTCTTCAGTTTTTAAAATATAATTAAAATATTTTAGTAGAAAATCAGCCGGATCTGGCCCCCGGGCCGTATGTTTGACACCCCTGGTTTAAGTGATTATATTACGCAGAAAACGTATCACAATCTATTGTGACCCATGTATTTAGATACGTATCAAATCGTTGGAAGACTGTATCGTTGCATCCCTAGCACACATAAATCAATTTGTTTAAATCAATTTGTTGTCTATATTATGCAAAATTTACTCTTGTGAGCTTTAAAGGTGTGCATTGTGTAACTTTTCTGCAGTGTCCGCCACCTGATTTTCTCCATAGAGATGTTATTGCTTTGTCTGAAAAGTTTCACAGTATCGTAATAAACCTTTCTATCTTCATGTAGACCAAACCAGACCAAGTTAATACATGTAACTGAATGAATGTATGGAAGATCTGTTTAATGTCATATTGTGGAACATTTCAAGCAGAGCAATGGCAGCATGCTGAAGGACCCCCAACCAAAAAGTTACACAGTGCATCTTTAAGCCATGTTTAAAAGTTCGTACCTCACCAGAAACAGACCTGGAGTTGTGTTTTGTTTTTCATTCACTTTAATATTAGTCTGTTTGTCTAACAGCTCAAATTAGTCTGTTTGCTCTGTACACTGCACCTTGTGATGTCATGTAGTGGTAGTTTTTATGTCAACAGCTTTTACCTTTTTACCTCTAGTTGAGTAGAGATTAGCAATTCCAGGCCTGAAATCATCCAAATGGATCGACACAATATTTGATATATTCAAGACTGAAAATCTAACTTAAACAATAAACCTTCAAAGTGACAAATTTTATTTTATTTGGAATAAATGGATTAAATACATCACCCCAATCAGAAAAAATCTTGTAACTTCTCCACTTCTGGTGAAGATTAGTTATATTTTATTTTACACTATATAACATATATATATAAGTTTTGTGTCTGTGAGCTTCCCTTTTCTTATAAATAGTTTAGTTTTTGTTTTCAGTCTTTTTTTCTCCTCTTTTTCTTGTTATTTACCAAAATTGGAAAGACCGTCTTTGAATTGAATTTGTAATATGTAAATATATATTTCCAAATAAAAAGAAAATAAAAAAAAAAAGAGAAGGAAATCATCCAAATCATTCTAGAGAAGGTGGAGCGCTTCCTGTATTACCACTCGATGACATCACAAGGTTGAACAGAGTTTTCAGATTGAGAGCACAGCCTAAATATGCAGGGTTTGTGTGTTAAACATGTATGAATGAAACAAAACACAACTCCAGGTCTGTTTTTGATCAGAATACGAACAAAAATATAACAAAAATATAACAAAGATACAACGTTTGGATAATAGAGACCCTTTAATAACAGCACAAATAATGTATACACGTGTCCTGTAGAGCTCGTAATCCTGTCTATACTAAAGGGCTATTTTAAAACTGTATTTACATATGATGTTACAGCACACTTGCGATCCTGTACATTGTGATTCACCCAGGCTCTTGTAAATCCCAGGCAGCGATCATATCTGGCCCTTAGTATTGAGTAAATGCCATTACTCATCAGCCATCGGTGTTTATTTAATGTGTGTGTATGCCGTGTCCCTGTGCTTCCACGCTTCCGTAGGTGCTGTGTCTGCTGACTTTCTGGCTGCTCCTCAGACAGACCCTAACGGAGAGGCAGGAGAGAGCCGACCAAGACCGCGCCGGGTTATCGCAAGTGCAGGTGGACGACCAAAAGAAGAAAGGTACGACAAACGATTCTCTTAAAAAGTGCACTGAGGAATTTTTCTGGTGGAGGGTCCATCAAATGCTTTTCTCCGTGGAGACGTTATTGCTTCGTCTGGAATGTTTCACAGTATGGTATTAAACCTTTCTATCTTCATGGAGACCAAACCAGACCAAGTTACAGGTCAGATCTGTGAAGAGGCGACCCCGCTCACAATCAGAATGTTGTATTTCTAGGTCTTTTTGAGCTATAAAACCATCTGTAATTGAATAAATGGAGCTAGGGCGAGAGCTGAGTAACATTCCAGACAGTATAATGACATTTCCATATCACCGAGAAGATGACAGACCCCCAATCGAAAAGTTACACAGTGCACTTTTAAAGGTTGTCAAAGTATTCTCTTTAAAGGTCCTGTACTATGCAGAATTGACTCCCATGAGCTTTTATTGTTGTTATTTCGTCAAAAACCTGGAGTTCTGTTTTGTTTCATTCATTTCATTCACACATGTTTGAGTATTGCTGCATTATTGGGCTATTTATTGATACTTTGTAGTGACATCACACTGGGGATGCTCTACATGTATGTGTGTGGCAGAATGTTCAGCAGTTACGGCGGCACCATGCAAACACAGCCAAAAAAGATTTTAGATCTGAAGTCTGAAACCTCAAGAAAAAGTACAAAATTGTTTAGGCGTTCATAGTCCTGCTTAGTACTGTTTACGTGTTCATAATCCTACTTAGGAGCCTTCATAGTCCTACTTAAGAGCAGTCATTGTCCTGCTTAGGTGTTCATAGTCCTGTTTAGGTGTTCATAATCCTGTTTAGATGTCCTTAGTCCTGCTATTGCAAATCTTTTATAAGCTATTGTTTGTGAATATGTCCTTGAAGAGTGTAAAATTATAATTCAAATATTTCTGCCAAAGTAGGTGTTTACTGGAGAAAAAGACACAGAGTTGAGAAGAATGGGTGCTTTTATGGCTTTAAATGTGAACCAGCACGCCTGTGATTGGCTGACAGGGACAGACAGTAGGTGGGCTTTGGTTAAAGATAGACTGCGTAACTTTTCTGATGGATGGGGCACCACCTGCTTTTCTTATAGAGATGTTACTGCTTTGCCTGAAGGTTCCTCAGTGTGGCATTGACCTAACCTATCTGGTAGTCCAATGAGGTTCATTTGGTACTACGAGTAGATGTGAAGCTAACTGAAAGCACTGCTCTGATAGAAGAATGCCCCTCAGCATTCTGACTGAGAGGCAGTTTAAGAGGGAAAATGCTTCTTTGTTTTTTCTTTTTCTTGCCACATTTTTATCCATGGAGTTGTTGTTTTCATCCACAATATTTTTTTTACTCAACATCCAAGCTCAGGAACATCTTATTTAAAGATCCTATATTACATAAAATTATTTTTTGTGAACTTTAAGCCATGTTAAAATGTTGTTTCCTCATCAAAAACATACCTGGAGTTGTTTTTGTTTCATTCGCACATGTTTGGGTAATCTGTTATTACTCTGTCTACATCTTCAAAGCTCAAAATGCTCTGATCCACCTTGTGATGTCATGTAGTGATAGTTTTCAAGTTAACAACTACCTTTTGCCTTTTATTCAGTGGAGAGTGTCAGTTCCAGAGCTGAAAACATCCAAATGATTCTAGGGAAGGTGTATGGAGTTTAAAAAGACAATGGAGCTCTTCCTGTATGACCACATGACATCTGTTCGAGAGAAGAAAACACGTAAATGAAACAACAAAACTCTGGTTATGTTTGTGAAGAGGAAACAACATTATAACATAGATCGGAAAATATTGTAATCTGGGCCCTTTAAGAAGAGAAAGGTTCAGTTCAACAGTGTCTGATCCAAAGTCTGTATCACTGACAAATGTGTGGTCTGCATTATCCCTATTGTTTAGCTAACTGTTAACAGGTTTTCTACGACTGTTTACCCGATCTTCCTTTAGATGTGTTTAGAGCTTTTACAGGAGAAAATGTTATAACTCATGACTGACACTCATATATACTAATAATAATAGCTTTAACACTTGATAATAAAGTTCCAAAGGTTGCAATATCATCTGCATAATGTCAATACCGAGTCCAATACCACAGTGATAATAAAAAATACTTTTTATTTTGACAATAGAAGGTAATTTTCATATCTGTGTAGTCCCTCAGTGGTTCAGGTTGGTTCCACAGTGGTCCATGTGCGTATATTAGTCTATGCGCTCTTATATTTGTTCTGATACAGCTCAAGGTCTTTCTAAAGCTTCAGAAAAGGTTCATTTCTGTCCTGTGAATGTGACTTTTTAGCATCAATACCTGTGCAAATGAGTAGTTTCGATACTAGTTTCTGTTTCAGTTAGTATGTGATTTTCTGTACTTTTGACAACTAAAGGTTGATTTTTTTTTTTTTTTTTAAATGGCCCTGCTGTAGGTTTATTGGACTTACGGTTAATGGTTTTCTCTGGCGAAATATCTGTGGAAATGTCTCGTGTATTTTCCAGCAGCTTCATAAATCTGCCCCATCACCAAATCTTCATCCAACAAGGTCGACAAAGAACTGTCCATGAAGAATTTATCCACAACTATCAAGGTAAGAAAGATGAAAACGTAAAGGTGAACAATGACGAGCTTTATTGAACTACTCCTGAGCAAAACTAACATTATGGTCATGAATAAAGCATAAGTAACTTGTTAACTCAGATTGATTCTACAATTAAAATTAAATATCAATTTCACTATGTAGATATTGGCAAGAGATTTGTGCAGTTTAAATGTCTAGCCTTTAAACTGCACAAATCTCTCTATCTATGCTAATATCTTCATCGTGAAATAGACTATTAATTTTAATTGTAGAATCAGTCTGAGTTAACAAGTTACTTCTGTTTTATTTATGACCATAATGTAGTTCACTAATACTAGTCGTTATTGTTAGCCTAAGTTTTCGTCTTTCTTACCTTGATAGTTGTGGGTAAATTCTTCTTGGACAGTTCTTTGTCGACCTTGTTGGATGAAGATTTGGTGATGGGGCAGATTTATGAAGCTGCTGGAAAATACACGAGACATTTCCACAGATATTTTGCCAGAGAAAACCATTAACGTAAGTGACGTTTACCCTACATCGCGCCACTTCCGGCCGTTGTGAAAAAGCTCTATTGCGTCTCGTGAGCTTTAAGTCATGTTATAATGTTGTTACCTCATCAAAAACATACCTTTCATTTACACATGTTTGAGTAATCCTTTATTATTAGTCTGCATGTCTACGTCTCTAAAGCGCAAAATGCTCTGTTCCACCTTGTGTCATGATGTTGTAGTTTTAAAGTTAGCTGCTATCTTTTAGTTTTTGGTCAGTACAAATTGGCAAGTCTAGGGCTTAAATCATCCAAAAGGCTTTAGTGAAGGTGTATGGAGTTTAAAAACACAGTGGAGCACTTCCTGTATTACCACACAACATCACAACAGAACAGAGAGAAGAACTCCTAAATATGCAGGATTTGTGTATTAAACATGTGAATGAAACGAATCACAACTTCAGGTACATTTTGGTTAAACAAACATTATAACATAGATCAGAAAATAATGTAAAACAGGCCATTTCTTTTGTCACATTTCCTCAAAAATCTGTCTAAACTGTTGTGCGTTGTGTGTTCCAGAGGAGGAGGGCGCAGAGGACGGGGCCGAGCAGGACACCATGCATGTTCTGGGCAGTATGATCATGGCCATCCTGGTCAAATACTGGATCTACATCTGTGGAGGCATGTTCTTCTTCGTCAGCTTTGAGGGGACCATCGTCATGTACAAGATTATCTACATGATGATGTTCCTGTCCTGCGTCGCCCTCTACCAGGTCAGTACCACTCACCTGTAAGCACTGCCCTATCTGAGGCGTGTTAGATTTTATCCAGTCTCCTTTATTTCTATAGCACATTTCATAAATAAAGTGCAGCACATACAAAAATAATATAATCAGCTATTTAATACAATAAAAAAAAAAAGTGTAAAAATAAAAACAACTAAATAAAAGTGTAACCTGATCTGACCTGTAACTTGGCCTTGTGATGTGGCCCCATGAGATAATTAAATGAAATGCCATATTGTGGAACATCCATCCATCCATTTTCCTCCACTTATCTGGGGCTGGGTCGCAGGGTCTAAGTAGGGACTCCCAGACTTTCTTCACCCCGGACACTTCCTCCAGCTCCTTGCCTCCTGAGGCGTTCCCAGGCCAGCCGAGAGACATAGTCCCACTAGCATGTCTTGGGTCTTCCCCGGGGCCTCCTCCTGGTGGGACATGTTTGGAACGTGCCCAAGAAGTATCCGGAACATATGCCCTCCCTCCAGCTGCTCCTCTTGGTGTGGAGGAGCAGAAGCTCTACTCCAAGCTCCTCCTGTGTGACTGAGCTCCTCACCTTATCTCTAAGGGAGCGCCCAGCCACCCTGCGGAGGAAACTCATTTGGGCCGCTTTTATCCACGATCTCATCCTTTCAGTCATTACCCAAAGCTCATGACCATAGATACTGCAGAACATTTCAGGAAAAAACAACAAGCAGGTACCAGAAAAGTTACACAGTGTGCCTTTAAACGTCTCACACATAAAATTACAGACACAAGTTTTTCAGTTCGTCACTCTCACCTTTTAAACACAGGACCATGAACGCTCATATTGATCACAGGCTCACCTATTTTGTATTTTCTTGTGTTTTCAGACTATTTTAAAACTTGTTATAGCTGCTCATGTGTGCTTTGTGTCACCGTGGTAACTTCTAAATATTCCAGTATTAGAAATACATGTAAAACCTCCCCAGTATGATGCCCAGTCAGTTACATTACTTTACTATCTCAGGTGGGTGTGATTGACAGATGGATTAGCCAATCAGAGACACAAATGATTCGTCCATATCAAAATAAGTGTGTTTGCTTATGAGGAAAAAAGAAAGGAAAAAAATATTACAGTGGACTGAAAACATGGCGGAGAGAAGTTTAATTTTGTTGATAGGTGAACAATCAGCTTCTTCTTTTCTCACGTGTCTCTAAAAAAACAAATCAGAGTGGACGATCATGTTTGGTTCTGATATCCCTCATGCAAACAGTGAACATGTCAAGACAAAACAACACTTTTTTTACAGTGCTATTTTCTAACTACTTATTTGCTCACCACAGTTTATACTTTTATGTCATTAACTGCATATTTTTAGTAGAGTTGTTGGCAAAAGCTTTTGAAGTACTAAATTAAAGGTGATTTTATAGCTCAACAATACCTAGAAAACAGATATTCTGACTGAGCGGGGTCGCCTCTCCGCAGATCTGACCTGTAACTTGGTCTGGTTTGGTTTTTATGTTGACAGAAAGGTTTAATGTCACACTATGAAACTTGAAAAGCATTTGATCGACCCTCTACCAAAAAAGTTACACAATGCACCTTTAAATCAACCCAACTTAACAAGATTCATCAAGATTATTATATATTTGACTCTTAATGTTTATTCTTGTAGATTTTCTTAAGAGACAGCCTTTTAATAGATTTATTTTTTGCTCTTGTAACAAAATTGAGGTATCGGTATCAGATTGGAAACCACAAAAATGGTATCAGAACATTAAAATTTTTAGGTGTACAGTAGAAATGGCATTTGTGTTTCTATTTTTTCTTATTTTGTAATTGAAGTTATTACATTGTGTGAAGGTTTTGTTGCAGATTTAGTACCTATCCTTAATTACTTCTCCAAAAACAGTGGTAGGGATAATTTAATGTTGTCATAACTCTCACCTCAGGCTCATATTGCGTGATGTTTTTTACAACGGTGATCACAGTAAAAACCATCCCCTGAAATTAAAATGCTCTGTGCGCTCTGTGTATCTTTATGCATATGGCCTATTAAAGTTTGGTAAGCAGTAATTCTGTGGCAATATAATAAAGAGAATTCTCTATAAACCTGAGATTACAGGTTGAGTAATAAGAGGGATGTGTTATTATAATCTTATGTACAAATGTTGACTTGGAGGGAGGATGTTTGGACTAAACCAGGTCTAAAACTAGATCTAAACCAGGACTAAACCAGGTCTAACCCGGGTCTAAACCAGGTCTAAATGTGAACTAAACCAGGACTAAAGCAGGTCTGAACCAGATCTAAACCAGTTCTAAAGCAGGTCTGAACTGGTACTAAACCAGCTCTAAACTGGGACTAAACTAGGTTTTAACCGGGAATAATCCAGGTCTAAACCGGGACTAAACCAGATCTAAACCAGGTCTAAACCGGGACAAAACCAGGTCTAAATCAGGACTAAACCATGTCTAAACTGGGAATAAAGCAGGTCTAAACTGGGACTAAACCAGGTCTAAACCAGATCTAAAGCAGGTCTAAAGCAGGTCTAAACCAGGTCTAAACCAGGACTAAACCAGGTCTAAAACTAGATCTAAACTAGGTCTAAACCAGGACTAAACCAGATCTAAAGCAGATCTAAAGCAGGTCTAAACCAGGTCTAAACCGGGTCTAAACCAGGTCTAAATGTGAACTAAACCAGGACTAAAGCAGGTCTGAACCAGATCTAAACCAGTTCTAAAGCAGGTCTGAACTGGTACTAAACCAGCTCTAAACTGGGACTAAACTAGGTTTTAACCGGGAATAATCCAGGTCTAAACCGGGACTAAACCAGATCTAAACCAGGTTTAAAACGGGACAAAACCAGGTCTAAATCAGGACTAAACCATGTCTAAACTGGGAATAAAGCAGGTCTAAACTGGGACTAAACCAGGTCTAAAACGGGACTAAACCAGGTCTAAAAAAGGTCATAACCGGGTCTAAACCAGGTCTAAACCAGGTCTAAATATGAACTAAACCAGATCTAAACCAGATCTAAATATGAACTAAACCAGCTCTAAAGCAGGTCTAAAGCAGGTCTGAACCAGATCTAAACCAGTTCTAAAGCAGGTCTGAACTGGTACTAAACCAGCTCTAAACTGGGACTAAACTAGGTTTTAACCGGGAATAATCCAGGTCTAAACCGGGACTAAACCAGATCTAAACCAGGTCTAAACCGGGACAAAACCAGGTCTAAATCAGGACTAAACCATGTCTAAACTGGGAATAAAGCAGGTCTAAACTGGGACTAAACCAGGTCTAAAACGGGACTAAACCAGGTCTAAAAAAGGTCATAACCGGGTCTAAACCAGGTCTAAACCAGGTCTAAATATGAACTAAACCAGATCTAAATATGAACTAAACCAGCTCTAAAGCAGGTCTAAAGCAGGTCTAAAGCAGGTCTGAACCAGATCTAAACCAGGTCTAAACCGGGACTAAACCCAGGTCTAAACCAGATTTAAACAAGGTTTAAACTAAACCAGAACTGAAGCAGGTCTAAACCAAGTCTAAAACAGGTCTAAACCAGGTCTAAATATGAACTAAACCAGAACTAAAGCAGGTCTAAAGCAGGTCTGAACCAGGTCTGAACCGCTTGCTTTCTCTCTTTCTGTATCTGCAGGTTCATTACGAGTGGTGGAGGAGGATCTTGAAGTACTTCTGGATGTCAGTGGTGGTCTACACGATGTTAGTCCTGACTCTGGTCTACACCTATCAGTTCAACAGCTCCCTAGACTTCTGGTCCAGCGTGCTCAAGATGGACGCAGAGGGGTGAGATCGAAATTTACGGATATATTTATGTTTTCTTGGCAGATATTTACCTACTAACGATGTCCAACCTGATTTATTGCCCTTGTTTTTGTGAGGAAATTAGAAAATCAGTCACATCAGTAATCCCATCATGTTGTTGACTGAGTGGGACTAGTACAGTGGACTGTCACATACTTAGAACAATGGAGCTGGAGAATATGAATAAAGATTTACTTCAGACTGCAGCCTAAAGTGACCCAAATACGATTTTGGGGGCCGGGACTAAACCAGATCTAAACTAGGTCTAAACCAGGTCTAAAAGTGAACTAAACCAGGACTAAAGCAGGTCTGAACCAGCTCTAAAACAGGTCTAAACCGGGACTAAACCAGATGTAAACTAGGTCTAAACTAGGTCTAAATGTGAACTAATCCAAGAATGAAGCAGGTCTAAACTAAACCAGGTCTGAACCAGGTCTAAACCAGATCTAAACCAGGTCTAAATGAGAACTAAAGCAGGCCTAAAGTAGGTCTAAACCAGGTCTGAACCAGATCCAAACCAGGTCTAAAACAGGACTAAACCAGATATAAGCTAGGTCTAAACCAGGTCTAAATGTGAACTAAGCCAGGACTGCAGCAGATCTAAACCAGGTCTGAAACCAATCTAAACCAGGTCTAAAACAGGACTAAACCAGATATAAACTAGGTCTAAACCAGGTCTAAATGAGAACTTAACCAGGTCTAAATGAGAACTAAACCAGGACTAAAGCAGATCTAAACCAGGTCTAAACTAGGCCTAAACCAGGTCTAAATGTGAACTAAACCAGGTCTGAACCAGATCTAAATGTGAACAACATCAGGACTGAAGCAGGTCTAAACCAGGTCTAAATGAGATCTAAACCAGGGCTAAAGTAGGTCTAAACCAGGTCTAAACCAGATCTAAACCAGGACTAAACCAGGTCTAAATCACGTCTAAAGTAGGTCTAAAGGAGGAGTTTTTAGTCCACGAGAGTCAGCTGGTGTTTTGTTTCATTCACACATGTCCGAATCTCTGCATCTCCAAAGCTCAAAATGCTCTGTTCCACCTTGTGATGTCATGTAGTGATAATTTTCAAGGTAACAGCTCCTTTTTACCTTTTGTTTCGTGTAGATTCCAGGTTTTAAATGATCCAAATGATTCCAGTGAAGGTGTATGGACTTTAAAAACACAATGGAGCAAGCCGGTGTTGTTTTCCTTTCAGTCTGAAGGATCTCGGTCTGGAGAAGTTCACTCTGGCTCGGCTCTTCACCCGGATCTTCATACCCACGTCGTTCCTGCTCGTCTGTATCCTGCACCTGCACTACTTCCACGAGCCCTTCCTCCGACTCACCGACCTGCAGGCTGTGGTGGCCAAAGAGCAGAGCACCATCTACAGGTGAGGAGGACAAACAGGTCAGGAGGTTTAAAACGGTAATATGGTTATGGAAATATCTAAAGAAATATCTAAAAATTTGCACTTTGTAACTTTTTGGTTGTGGCTCCATCACCTGCTTTTTTCATTGGTCTGCCTGGAATGTTCCACAGTATGACATTAAACAGCTCTACGTCACATTTATTCAATTACAGGTGGTTTTATAGCTCAAAAATATCTCAAAAAAACAGGCATTCTGACTGTGAGATCTGATCTGTAACTTGGTCTGGTTTGGTCTGTTTGAAGATTGAAAGGTTTCCTGCCATACTGTGAAACATTTCAGACAAAAATAATAACATCTTGATGAAGAAAAGCATTTGACCGAGCCTCCACCAGAACATTTACACAATGCACCTTTAAATGTAGCTCGCTATTATTCTAGAAGTGGAAAAGGCATTGATTATACTGTATAGACCTTTTTCACTATGGCCAGAAGTGCCGCGATGTAGGGTAAACATCACTTAGGTTAATGCTTTTCTGTGGCGAAATATCTGTGGAAGTGTCTCAGCAGCTTCATAAATCTGCCCCATCACCAAATCTTCATCCAACAAAGTCGACAAAGGACATATTCTGTCCATGAAGAAATTATCCACAACTATCAAGGTAAGAAAGATGAAAACGTAAAGGTGAACAACGATGACGCATTAGTCAATTACTGAGCAAAATGGTCGTGATGGTCATGAATAAAAGATAAGTAACTTGTTCACTCAGACTGATTGTACAATTAAAATAAAAAATCTATTTCATGATGTAGATATGAGCATAGACAGAGAGATTTGTGCAGTTTAAATGCGAGACAATCTGTGAATTTTAGTGTAGTGTAACAATATCCAAGTCTCAGGATACGATATCGTCATGGTACGAATCTCATGGTACGATATTTATTGCGATATCGTGGGAAAGCTCACGATTAGGGATGTAGCAATATCCAAATCTCTCGGTACGATATTTTCACGATATACATCTCGCAGTACAATATTTTTTGCGATATTTTGTGGAGGCTGCAAACAAAACTGTTAATATGCCACTTTTTCCTCTTAAAATGCCTTGACAAAACTTAATCCAAAGAACTAAGACTTAAAAGTGCTGTTATTTCTTCATGTATTCTGCACTGAAATGGAGCAAAGGATCATGGTCTATGTAGTTCCCTCTGTCTGTTTTTTAGCTATTGCTGTACAATAACTTTTAATTTAAGCAATGAGACTTGTAATTCAATATATTGTGATGGTCCACGATATTATTGTGAGAACTTTGATGATACGATATCACGATATTTCGGTTATTGTTACATCCCTAGTGAACATCTGTAGCATTTAAACTGCACAAATCTCTCTATGCTAATATTGACATCATGAAATAGATTTTTTGAACAAGTTACTTATTAATGAATTACTTATTACTTATCTTTAATTCATGACCATAATGTTTGTTTTGCTCAGGAGTAGTTCAGTAATGCGTCGTCGTTGTTCTTCTTTAAGTTTTCAGCTTTCTTACCTTGATAGTTGTCGATAAATTCTTCATGGACAAAATTTATCCTTTGTCGACCTTGTTGGATGAAGATTTGGTGATGGGGCAGATTTATGAATCTGGTGGAAAATACACAAGACATTTCCACAGATATTTTGCCATAGAAAATCATTAACGCAAGTGACGTTTACCCTACTTCCGTCACTTCCGGCACTTCCGAAAAAGGTCTATTGTAGTATAACATTTTAACTTTGTGTAACTTTTCTGGTGGAGCGCCTGCCACCTACTCGTCTCCATGGAGATGTTGCTGCTTTGTCTGAAATGTCCCAGTATGGCATTAAACGTATCCATCTTGCCTTTACTCAATAACGTGGGTTTTTATTGCCAGAAAAACTTACATTTTTACTGTGAGTGGGCTTGCCTCTCCATAGATCTGACATGTAATAGAGATAGACAAGTGTAATGCCATACTGTGGAACATTCCAAGTAACTTCTCCATGGAGGGAAGCTGGTGATGGATCCTGCACCAGAAAAGTTACACTTCAAATTACAAAACTGAGCTAATTTGCAAATACAGTAAATAATACCAAAAAAATACCAAATAATTCTTGATTTTCTAGATAAATTACAGATATTTTTCTGACATTTCTTCTCATTACTTCACATTTGCATTGCTTTAAGTCCATTGATCTGATGTATCAATGCTTGTTTTTTCATCACTTCATGCTCATTGTTGCTCGTCTGCTTAAAGGTTCGGTATGTAGTGAAGTAGTGAGTATTTACAGGTTCATACACGACCAGTCAAAAGTTTAAACTCACCCTCTCATTCTGTGTTTTTTCTGTATGTTTACTGTTTTATATGTGTTATATACAAACAGAAGACTACAAATATACAGTATAATTAAGTCAGAAAACAAAGAAGCAAAGTTAAATTAAAAGTTTAAGTTAAGATTTTATAACAGCAAAAGAGAAATTCAATTTGTCAATTGGACAAATGTTTATTTAGGTTGAAAACATCAAGCATTTTGCAGCTACATGTACTGAATGAGATGATGTGTCCAAACTTTTGACTAATGCTGTTTAAACATGCGTGACCCGTGAAAAGTTTGGACACCTTCTTATTCATAGTTTTTTTTTTTTTTCTTTTCTTTTTTCGTACTGCTTTTTACATTTTAGATACATAAAAAAAGTGAAATCTATGAAGAAAGATATATGTAAGATTTGGTAAATAAAAAAGGAAAATTACTAAATAAAAGCAAAGCAAAAGATGTTTTTTTCCATTCCAATTTTTTTTTCCCATTTCATACCTTACTTCATATATTTGATGTCTTTGATGTCCAAAATTAAGTCGTGGGCCAAACTAAATATTTATTGATAAATTTCAACAACATCTTCACATGTTTTCTCTTCTTTTGAGATATGTAATGTTAAACCTTTTCTTAGTTTTAATAATGTAATAATAATATAATAATAGTTTTGCTTAAACATTGAATCCAGAACAAGTATAATATAAAATAATATCAAAATTTTAAATAAATAATGTCTCTGTAGCTGTAGTCTATCTGTAGCTGGCGAGCAGCTCTAATACATATTTGATATGATCTTACGGGCCAGATATTATTATATCATCGGCCAAAATTGGTCCCCGGGCCTGAGTCTGACATGTCTGTGCTAGAATATAAAATGTAGAAAAAATATCAAACGTATAAAAAGAAACATTGAATGAGAGGGTGAGTCTAAACTTTTGACTGGTCGTGAAGATGAGAGAGTTCCTTTTAAGGATTGTCTTAAGTTAGTTCTAGTTTTGGTGTCTGGCAGCAGAAAGTCTGCAGCTCTTATCTGATTGGATGATTTCTTTCAATCTGAGAGAGCAGGCAAAGGTTTATTTAATAATTCTACATACCCGACCTTTTAAATTAACATTAACATCTTTGTCTTAATGTTAACTGAAGTCATGTGCAGCTTGCTTGGCTCATCTCTGCTTTTGTCCATTACCTCCATCTCTCTTTCTCTCTTTCTCTCTTCTCTCACCCCTTTCTCTCTCTCCATGTCCCTCTCTTCTCTCCCTTTCTCTTACCATCTCTCGTCCTCTCTCTTTCTCTGTCTCCATCTCTCCCTCGCTTATAATATCCCACCGCCTCTCTCTCTGTTTCTCCTTCTCTCTCTCTTTTTGGTTATCTGGCTTTCTCCCTCTCTCTTTTTCGGTCTGTCTCTTTTCTCCTCCCCTCTCTTTGCTCATCTTCGTTTCTCTCTCTGTCTGTCCTTCCATCCGTCTTCTCTCTCTCTTACTTCCTCCTTCATCTGTCTCCCGCTCTCTCTCCATCCCTCTTCTTTCTCTTACCTCCCCTCCATTTCTTTCCCTCTCTCTCTCTCTCTCTCTCTCTCTCCTCCCTCTCCCTCTCTCCCACCTCCTCCTCCATGTCTCTCTCTGTCTCTTTCCGTCCCTCTTCTCTCCCTCTCTCCCACCTTCCCCTCCATCTCTCTCTCTCTCTCTCTCCATCCCTCTCTTCTCTCTCTCTCTCTCCCTCCTCTCTCTCTCTCCTCCCTCCATCTCTCTCTCTCTCTCCCACCTCCCCTCCATCTCTCTCTCTCTCTCCTCTCATCTCTCTCTCATCTCTCTCCCTCTTTCTGTCTCTCCATCCCTCTCACTCTCATCTCCACCTTCCCCTCCCTCTCCCTCCTCCTCCTCTCCTCTCTCTCTCTCTCTCTCTCCTCTCTCTTATCTCTCTCCTTCCATCTCTCTCTCTCCTCTCTCTCCCCTCCATCCCTCTTCTCTCTCTCCCTCTCCATCCCTCTTCTCTCTCTCTCTCTCTCTCTCCATCCCTCTCCCTCTCTCCCACCTCCTCCTCCATGTCTCTCTCTGTCTCTTTCCGTCCCTCTTCTCTCCCTCTCTCTCACCTTCCTCTCCATCTCTCTCTCTGCATCCCGCTCTTCTCTCTCTCTCTCCCACCTCCCCCTCCATCTCTCTCTCTCTCTCTCATCTCCCCCTCCATCTCTCTTTCTCTCTCATCTCCCCCTCCATCCTCTTTTCTCTCTCTCTCTCTCTCTCTCCATCTCTCCCTTCCATCTCTCTCCCTCTTTCTGTCTCTCATCCCTCTCTCTCTCTCATCTCCCCCTCCATCCCTCCCTCCCTCTCTCTCTCTCTCTCTCTCTCATCTCCCCTTCCATCTCTCTCCTCTCTCCCTCTCCATCTCTCTCTCTCTTCTCTCTCTCTCTCTCCTCTCTCTCTCCCCTCCATCTTCCTCCTCTCTCCCCTCTCTCTCTCTCCTCCCCTCCATCCTCTTTTCTCTCTCTCTTTCTCTCCCTCTCTCTCCATCTGTCTTCTCTCTCCCTCTCTCCATCCTCTCTCTCTCTCCTCTCCATCCTCTTTTCTCTCTCTCTTTCTCTCCTCCATCCTCTTCCTCTCCCTCTCCATCCCTCTTTTCTCTCTCTCTTTCTCTCTCTCTCCTCCATCCTCTCTCTCTCTCCCCCTCATTCTTCTCTCTCCCTCTCCATCCCTCTTTTCTCTCTCTCTTTCTCTCCCTCTCCCTCCATCCCTCTTCTTCTCTCTCCCCTCCATCCCTCTTCTCTCTCTCCCTCTCCATCCCTCTTTTCTCTCTCTCTCTTCCCTCTCTCTTATCTCCCTTCCATCTGTCTCCCTCTTTCTGTCTCTCCATCCCTCTCTCTCTCTCATCTCCCCCTCCATCCCTCCCTCCCTCTCTCTCTCTCTCTCTCTCCCTCTCTCTCATCTCCCCTTCCATCTCTCTCCTCTCTCTCCCCCTCCATCCCTCTTCTCTCTCTCCCTCTCCATCCCTCTTTTCTCTCTCTCTTTCTCTCCCTCTCTCTCATCTCCCTCTTCCATCTCTCTCCTCTCTCTCCCTCTATCTCTCTCTCCTCCCCTCCATCCTCTCTCTCTCTTTCTCTCCCTCTCTCTCCATCTGTCTTCTCTCTCCCTCTCTCCATCCCTCTTTTCTCCCTCCCTCTCTCCCTTTCTCTCTCCATCCCTCTTCTCTCTCTCTCTTTCTCTCTCAGTCATGCTAAGGTCAATGGGCGTGTCTATATGATCATGAGTAGGTGGGTGCTGCTTGCGTTCTCTGCTCTCTCACCACAAATTTCACTTTTTGTTATTTTATTTTATTTTATTTTCAAATCCTCCCTTTCTTAAATAATGAAATATATAAGTTTATTTTTGCTTGTGGCCTCCTATGGGGTTTTTCCTGGGTCTTTGAATATCCAATTATGTCTTGTTTAGAAATCCCTGTCCTTATTCGGTAGTTTTGAGTTACTAAAAAAAATACAATTTCTATTTTATCAAGCCTCATCTTATGTAAGTTTCCAGCCTTTTTCCAACCAAAATGAGTTTATAGAAAAGCATGTGTTCAAACTATAGTCCCTCCAACATGTGTGGTCAGCCATATTCAAGACTTCACTCACCAAAAACATGCCTGAAGAGATTTTAGATGTCATCCGTGCATGTTTGAGTAATTTAGTGATCTCTCTTGGGCTTCATTCAAAACCTTTTTATGGTTAGCTGTAAAATTCTGTCCAAAGATCCTCCCACAAGCCTACATACAGAATTTCTCCAAAAAATATACAAAAACATGATACAAAACAGTAAACAACAAGTTGACAAACCTGATTAGCAGAATCCACACTGATTGTGTTGTGGTAGCGCTCTGAAGGGGGAGTGACTTATCGTGGAGAGCAGAGTGTCAAAAACCACTGTGAAACTTATTAATTCTTTAATATCCCCTGAATATTGTGTTAATATTGTGTTAATAATGAAATAATGTAGATTTACATTTTTGTCATTATTGCGCACCCCGAGGCCTAGTTAAAGTGTACAGGGTTCCCACGGTCATGGAAATCCTGGAAAAGTCATGGAAATTGAAAATGTCATTTTCCAGACCTGGAAAAGTCATGGAATTTTGTGAATTCAATGAAAGTTTTTGAAAAGTCATGGAATTTTTGTATCTCTTTCACACAACTACAGCGTTCTGTTAAGTTATCATGAGACTATTATGATTATTTCTGAACGTCTGCGCCTTTTGTTTAAAAGAGACGACAATAAATGCACTGACAGTATTCTGAATGTTAAAAAACTATAACACCAAACCATAAGGTGAGGAGAAAGGGTGAACATTTCATATTTAGTCCCAAAAATCTGATCAATTCTACACATGTAGGTGCTGTAAAGTTATATATAAATTCACTTTAGGTCATGAAAAAGTCATGGAAAAGTTTTAAAATTTTGTCAGTGAAATAGAGTGTGAACCCTGAGTAAAGATTTACTCTTATGAGCTTTAAGCCACTTTATAATCTTCAAAAACATCAAAAACATTCCTGGAGTTGTGTTTTGTTTCATTCACGCGTTTGTATAATCTTTTATTATTTGTCTGTTTACATCTTCAGAGCTAGAAAATTTCTGTTCCAAGTGATGCATTTCAAGTTTCAGCAGCGACCTTTTAGTTTTTCAGTAGAGATAGGCAATTCCAGAGCTGAAATTACCCAAATGACTCTAGTGAAAGTGTAGGATATTTAAAAACACAGTGGAGGATTTGGTGTGAATGAAACAAAACTCAACTCCAGGTGTTTTTGATGAAGAACCAACATTATAACAGCCATCAGAAAATAGTTTTTACTCTTAAATGCGATAGAATATGGCTGGCCAGGCATCCTCTGAACCACCCTTGCCCTTAATAACAGTTGTTTCCACTACCCCATAATACTGTGTCACACTTAAGCCCTCCCATTCTCCATGTAACCTGTGTAACCTTACTGTCCGGAGCAGCATCAAGAAAAGAATCCCTTTACGACAGTCCAAGTGAGTATGAACATCCCAGGGTTTAACCAGTGCCTGCTTTGACTTGGGTCGACCCTCTGCCTGAGAAGTCCAAAAAAAAAAAAAATCACCCAGAATTCAAAGCGCTGATGCATCTTTTTCCTGTGGGAGCTCCCCAGACTCTGTTGGACGAGAGTCTAACCTAGAGAATGCAACCGGAATGCACCCTGCTTTACTCTTAAATGCCTGATGTAGTGCTCATGAACACAAAGTAGACTTCTCCCCATTATCTCTTGCATCGTCAGAATGAAAACTAAATATCTGGATAGTTTTGTATGTATACCTTTGAGGACATTTCAAGTCAAGCTTCTCTACATCATACGTGGGGCAATCTTTGAAAGCTGGTTGGAACTTACACTGTGAAATTGGTTTGTTAAACAGCAGTGGTTCTCAAATGTTGTCTTTACTGAATAATATTCCTGCTTTAAAAAGAGGTAAGGGTAACCAGGGTCTAAATGGTGTAGTTTTGAATCAAGATTGGACCAAGACTTCTCAAAAATGTGACAGATTCAATCCAGGACTAACAGCTGGTTTAAACTTTGACTAAACCAGGACCAAATTTAAGCTTTATACGGAACAGAAGTCATGACTCATGAGTATTTTTTAGGACTTGAGACTTGACTTGATAAAATGGACTAATACTTGGGACTGAACTTGGACTTGAAGGTCAGTGACTTGGGACTTGACTCGGACTTAAGGTCTCTGACTTGAGAAGACTTGAGAAGCACTTGTAAATCTGAATTCTTTCTATTCTGACCATAATGATTCACACTAAGATCTTGTCAAGACATTTAAGAAAGGAAAAATTAACTAAATTAATTTCTACAATTCTTATATACTCTATAAATACTCATATATAAATATACTATGATATTTTTTAAGTGCAATTTATCTTAAAAATTCATATAAACTGCAAAAATCTAAGCTATATTTGGTGCTTTGGTTTAAAGACTTGAAATGACTTGAATCTCAAAGCAGACGACTTGGACTTGAATTGGACTTATGGCCCAGTGATTCGAGACTCGACTTGGATTTGCCTGCATTTGACTTGGGACTTGACTTGGACTTGAGGTTAAAGACTTGAGACTTCCCTGAGACTTGCAAAACGACGACTTGGTCCCACCTCTGCATAAGAGTACTGGACAAATCCTTAAAGCTACAGTATGTCACTTTCTGGAGATGGCATGTCAGCTGCGTGATTCCATAGAAATAGAAAGTTAAAACAATACTCTGGGACATTCTCCGTTAGGGCTGGGTATCATTAAGAAGTTGCTAATATGATACATACCTTGATATGTAGGTTACGATACGATACTTATCTCGATACAGTGCACTTTCGATTTGATACGATTCAGTACGATATATTTCAAATCAGTTCGATATGGCTCAACAAAAAATAATGGCTCAAGTCTTTGTTAAACCACTTCTTGTGCGAAATTAAAATGAAACACAAACATTTTAATCATAAAACCAGTGAAAATGTCAAATGTGTCGCATAAACAAATTTCCTTCCTCTGAACAAGCAACAAAATTGTAGCGCTCTAACAAAATAATTTAGTAAAATATACCAAAAAATACTCTTAGTGATATATTGATACAGCAGGCCCTGATATCGATACTGTATCATCACATTAAACAATACGATATATCGATATTTCAGTAGTTTTGTACACCTCTATTCTCCGTGGAGGTAAGTTTTATGCCGTACCGTGGAAGATTATTATCCAGAAGGACAACATCTTCATGGAAACAAGCAGGAAGAGATCCTCCTCCAGACCAAACATGAATCATGGTTGTTGTAGATCCAATCCTGCTCAGAGTAACGACCATAGACTGTATAAAGAAGTGGATTAAGTGGAATAAGTGGATTTATAGCTTTCGACTCCAGCCAAATGAAGCTCACTGAATTTTAGAGTTCCATATTTGGAAATCTGAGCTTGCATATTTGATTATTTATTTATTTATTTCGGTCACACGTATATTTTGACATTAATTCACAGACAGTCATATTTAACACACACAGACCGAAAAGGTGCAGGCTGAAGCTTAAGCTTATTATGCCTTTACCGTTTATTCCTTTGTCGAAGCGTCATCTTGACACCAGTTCATCTTCATAAATACAGCAAGAAGAAACAAACAAATCAGAAACAGAACAACAAAGTACTACGGCACAAACTAAGTATCATATTTCATCTGTCCAGAGTTAAACATTTAAACTTCTTTATAAAGTGAAAGAGACGAGTGCACAGTTTAAGGTTTTCTGTACAGTTGTTCCAGAGCTTCACCCCTTTAACAGATTTACAAAATTTCATAATGTTTGTTCTGATTTTCTTTTTAATAAACATGGTCGTGCCTCTGAGCTCATATTGGCTCTTTCGGATTTTGAACATGTTCTGTGAAGATTTTGACAGGAGATTATTGTTTTTTCAGAGTAAAAAGGTCGACTAAATCATAAAATTTCAGAGTTTGAAGGTTTATAAATAACGCATTGGTTGATTCGTTATAAGCTGATAATGTGATTGCTCTTATTGCATTGATGGAGCCAGAAGAGCGCCCGTGCTCACTTCCTTTCCTCACTGGAACTTGAATAAACACAACCAAAAAATAAATAACAACATCAAAAACAATAAAATCATGCTTTTATTTTAATCTAGTTTTGAGCCAAAAAATAACATACTGTGGCTTTAACTAAACCAAGAACATTTTATAAACTTTATAAACCACACAGATAGTAATGTGAGGTATAATAACCACATTTTGAGAACCCCTGCACTTAGGCTCTGTTCACGCTTACGTCACAAACCAGGAAGACTTTTGGAAACATGTGACGACAACTTCCAGTGTAGTTCCGCGACAGAAAATAATTGGGGAAGCACTGCTCTACAATAACATGTAGTTGAAGAAAACTGGACCATTTTCTCATTTTCCCGAGATTTTGTCAGACCTACTACTGCAAACAGAGCCCGTCGGAAGTTCTCATCGTATGTTTCCAAATGTTTTCCTGGTTTGTGACGTGAGCGTGAATAGAGCCCTTTGAGTTCCACTTGCAGCAGAACAGCTGAAAGTAAACATTCGAGTAATATCTGTTCCTCATAAGTATATCTATACAAGTGTGTTTATAGCTCTAGTCTGGATTCTAACTGACGTCATATTTCCAGATTGGCCCATCCGGAGGGCAGCCTGGCCGACCTCACCATGCTCAGCGCCAGCTCCGTGGAGGCCGCCCTGCCCCCTAGAGACGAGGAGGAGAAGGTGCAGGACAGGCAGGAGGAGTGGGAGGCGGAGAAGGAGCAGGCTCTGGTGGTGGTGGACGACGACGGCGGCGGCGGCGGCGGCGATGGGTTCAAAAGCAAAAGTCTGTCAGACCTGAGGCAGTCCAGCTCAGAGAGTCAACACTGCAGCGCCAAGACGGAGCCCGAGCCAAGCACAGAGCAGAGTTCAGGTACACACAAACTAGGACACAAAACTCGAAACTCAAAACTCAAAAATCAAAATACAAAACTCGGTACACAAAACTCAGTACAGTCGGTGTTAGGGTTATCTCTCTTTCTTTCTCTTGCAATTTTTCTCTTTTTATCTCTGTCTTTCTTGCTGTTTTTCTCTATTTATCTCTCTCATAGTCTCTCTCTTTCTGTCTCTCTGTTCCTCTCTCTTCTCTCTCTTTCTCTTTTCATCTCACTCTTTCCCTCTGTTCCTCTTTTGTTCTCTCTATTTTTGTCTTTGTCCCTCTCCCTCTTTCTGTCTGTCTGTCTCTCTCTTTCTTTGTCTTTTTATCTCTCATTGTCTCTGTTTCTCCCTTTCTCTCACGCTTTCTATATCTCTTGCTGTTTTTCTCTTTTTATCTCTCTTTCTTACTGTCTCTCTTCCTCTTTCTTTCTTCTCTTCTCTTTCTCTCTCTCGCTCTTTCTCGCTGTTTCTCTCTTGTTCTCTCTATTTCTGTCTCTTTGTCCCTCTCCATCTTTCTACCTGTGTGTCTCTTTTTCTTTCTCTTTTTCTCTGTTTATCTCTCATTGTCTCTCTTTCTCTCTCCTTCTCTCACTTTGTCTATCTCTCTCTTTCTTACTGTCTCTCTCTGTCTCTTTCTCTCTGTTCCTCTTGTTCTCTCTATTTCTGTCTGTCTGTCCCCCTCTCTTTTTTCTTATCAGTCTCTGTCTTTCTCTCTCTTTTACTCTTTTTATCTCTCTTTTTCTTTCTTTCTCCCCCTCTCTCTTTTTCTGTCTCTCTCTCTTTCTTGCTGTTTTTCTCTTTTTATCGCTCTCTTTCTTACTGTCTCTCTCTTTCTGTCTCTCTGTTCCTCTGTTTCTCTCTCTCCTTCTCTCTCTCTCTTTGTTCTTCTCTTTCTCTCTCTGTCCCTGTCTCTCTCACTCTTTTTGTCTCTCTTTTTATTTTTCTCTCCTTTTCTCTCTCTTTTTTACCATTTTAACCCCTCCCCCTCCTCTTTCACTCTGTTTCTAACTCAATACAGTAGATGTTAATGTTGTTCAAAAGTATCGAAAATCATTTACTAATCAACATTAAGTCTAGTATCGAAACTAGATACTCATTTGAGCCGGTATTGGTACTAAAAAAGTCACATTCACACGACAAAAATGAACATTTCCTGAATAGTTTTAGAATGATCTTCAGCTGTATCAGAACAAGTATAAGAGCACATAGACTAGTACCGTATTTTCCGCACTATTAGTCGCTCTGGATTATAAGACGCACTGTCATTAGAATGGTCTATTTTCCAACTTTTTTCACAAATAAACGGCACCGGACTTTAAATGAAAAACAACAGTTGGATGGGTCAGTGGGACTTTGTTTGTTTGTGGCGTTCACGGTGACTCTGGGCTTTGTTCAGTTGTGGCGTGTAGGGAGGGTGCTGTCTGGGACCGCTGGATTGTCGGCGTGTTCGCAGTGACTCAGTTGTTCAGTCGTGTCTAGAAGTGGCACATTGCACTCGCTTTTTTGGTTCGTTCCTCCGTTCTGTTCCTCGTCGGCGTGGAGTGATGAGTGTGTCTGCGGGTGTTTTCTGCTGTGCGGTCGCTGTCTGCTCCGTGTGTGTTTGCGTGCGCTGCGGATGATGCGGCTTTGTAGTTTACTGAAGTCGTACTGGGACACCCGAGTAGATTCGTGTACAGGGCGCTCTGGATTGTGGGGCGCACAGTCATTTTTTGATGGGGTTGGAGGCTTAAGAGCGCGTCTAATAGCCTGGAAAATACAGTATTCACACATGGACCACTATGGAACCTACCTGGACTATCTAAGGAATTATAATCGATTGAAATGGGAGCTGTGAAATGGCACCTGTTTTGTTTTGATCCCCAACTGATTTACCTGAACTACGCCCAGAGCCACGCGCTTTGACGAAACTTTACAAAACCACCTGTTAACTGGATCCTGGATTGACAGGCGGGTTAAACATTCAGAGGGACTCATGCTCTATTTGCGTCAAAACAAACGACGTGGACGACAGCGATGGGTTCAAACGCAAAAATCTGTCAGACCTGATGCAGTCCAATTCAGAGAGTAAACACCGCAACGCCAAGACGGAGCCCGAACCAAGCACAGAACACGACGGCGATGGGTTCAAACGCAAAACTCTTACACGGAAGTACTATATGGAAGATAATGTGCTCCATCAGATTTTGAATTTTAAATACTGCTTAATTACTCACTTAGATTTTTTTTTATCTGAAAAAAGATGTTTGAATTATTTTTATTCTGAATTTAGTTTAGTTTTTTAATATGTTTAAAATTCTAAATAAAAAATTCTCATATTTTCAAGCCCTCAAATTCAACAGTCAAAATTCAGAATGTAAAATTTGCTAATTCTGACCAATCAGATCACTTCACTGCACCATTTCCTGCTTGGTTACTAAATTTTGTTGGATCGCTTTGGATCGATTGCTTCGGCCTCGGCGTCTTGCATCTTTCCTGTGAATTTTTTTCCCTGCGAATTTTACACTTTGAATTTTGACTGTTGAATTTGAGAGCTTGAAACATATCTGTGCCGAATATTTAAAAGGTGACATTTTTTGTTTTGAATTTTAAACACTTGTAAATGTACACTTAAAATCTCAGCAACTAAAATTCAGAATAAAAATAATTCAAACATGTTTTTTTTCAGAGTTAAAAAATTCAAAGTGAGAAATTTTTTTTTTAATTTTTTTTTGTTTATTAAGGACATCACAATCGCATTAGACAAGCCAGATGCATTGCTTTGAGTGTTTTAGCACAAGTGATTCAAGTTTTCAACACCTGTCGATATAAAAATATAAACTACAGGCATAAAAACAGAGAATACAAGACACATAAATTACACACAGATAAAATATATACAGTACATTTTCAGTGGATGCAGTTTTGATTGGAAACATACAATAATTTAAATTTCCTTTTAAATTTGTTGTTGTTGGTTTCCAATTTTAAATGAGCTGGTGAACCGTTCCACAGACTGGCCCCTTTAAAAGAGAACGAGGACTGACCAAGAGTCGTCCTGTACCTGGGAACATCACAATTACCACTAGTAGCGCCTCTTGTGTTCGCTCTGTGTGAACATTTTATGGTCCTGGTAAATTCTGAGTGTAATGATGTATCGCAGTTAAGACACTTAAAAAATAAATAAGATTATTAAAATTGATAAAATTTTCAAAGTTAAAAAGTTGATGTTTCTTTGTAATTTCAGAGTGGTGCCAGTGTTTGGGCTTTTTGTCAAGGATCTTAAGGGTCAGTTTGTAAAATGAACAAAGCGGTTTCAATGTAGTTGAGGAGGCCTGTTACCATAGATAGATAGATAAGATAGATGAGAGAAGATCATTGCGTTCATGAATAGTTTAGAGGTGTGGAGCGATAGATCTTTATGAAACGAAAGCAACTGAGACTAGTCTTAATCTTCTTCACCAAGTATTTTGTGTGACCGGTAAATTCATCTAGAATGAGGCCAAGGTATTTAACTTCACTGACTGCTTGAATTTTCTCATTGTGCGTAGTCACTTCAAAGTCACAGTTTTTTGTTTGTGTACACACTGAAAAACAAAGAGAAACTGTTTTTTTCACATTTAAAGTCAGATGTGACACACTAAGCCATTTTGAGACAATTCAACAGCAAATTCAGAATCTAATGAAATAAATTATCTTCCAAATTATCTTCTAAAATCTCGGATAAGTTATGTATTGTATTCTGATTGATACGAGAATTTTCTAGCAACAGAAGTAGGACCGTCCCAAGTTAAAAATAGCTGTACAGTTTGATTCCAGGACCCTTCTAGATTCAAGCACAATGTGGAAGAGACTGGACCAATTCATGACGTCAGTGTCCCAGAAACGACTAGACTCACGATCAAATCAATTGCAATGAAATGTTTAGAAATCATCGCGTTTGTGCTGTCATCCACACGCCACGATCAATCTTCAGTACTGGTCTTAAGAGCTGTTAAGAGAGAATTTATTCTGCTCTGTGTCTCGTGTGAGTTCTTGGCCCAATCTTCTCTGCTCTCCGTCTTTTCACTGGGGCTTTGAGCTATAGGCTGACTCTGCCTGCTGCTAGTTTTCTGACCATAATTCTTAGACGTTTCAGAAACTTTGTCCCGAAGGCCTGAGTTTTTTTTCTGCCATGCTTCATTCCTTGGCAAGTATATAAAACATAATATGCAAATTTTCAAAGTTTTCAGGACCAAACATGACGTAAACCCCACTCACATGTTTTGAGCTCTTCTTTACCTCTCTCTCCTCCTCCTTCCAGACTCCTCTCTCTCTCTCTTTCTTTCTCTCACTCATTATTTCTCTCTTTTACTCTCTATCTTTCTGTCTCACTCTCTTTCTGTTTGTCTGTTCCTCTCCTGTTCTCTTTGTTTTTCTGTCTCTCTTATCTTTGTGTTTCTTTCTCGTTCTCTCTCCCCTTCTCTTTTTCTCCCTGGGTCCTCTCACTCTTTTTCTCATTTTACTTCTTTCCCTCTCTTCTGTCTCACTCTCTCTCTCTCCTTCTCTGTCATTCTTTCCCTCTGTTTCTTTCTTTTTGTCTCTCTCTTTCTCCCTTCCTTTTTTTCTGTCTCTGTCTCTCTCTTTATCTCTCTCTTTCCGTCTCTCTGCCTGTCACTTACTCTCCATTTTTGTCTATCTCTCTGTCCTGCTTTCTTTCTCTCCTTTTCTCTTTTTATCTCTCTCTCTCACTCCCTCTCTTTCTATCCATCTGTTCCTCTCCTGTTCTCTCTCTTTGTCGTCCTGTCTCTCTCTTTTTCTGTCTCTGTGTTTCTCTCTCGTTCTCTCACACCCTCTCTTTTTCTTTTTACTTCTCTCCCTCTCTTTCTGTCTCACTCGTACTGTCTCTCCTTCTCTATCATGCTTTCTCTCTTGTTTTCTCTTTCTTTCTTTGTGTCTCTTTCCATTGCTTGTTCTCCCTTTCTCTCTCTCTTTCTATCTGTTCCTCTCCTGTTCTCTCTCTCTGTCTGTCTTTCTGTCTCTCTTTTTCTCTCTGTTTCTCTCTTGTTCTCTCTCCCCCCGCTCTCTTCCTCCCTGTGTCCTCTCTCTTTTTCTCTTTTTACTTTTTCTCCCTCTCTCTCTGTCTCTCCTTCTTTATCATTCTTTCTCTTTGGCTTTCTCTTTCTGCCTCTCACTCTGACTTCCTTTCTTTCTGTCCTCTTTATCTCTCTCTTTCCATCTCTCACTCGTTCTCCCGTTCTCTCTTTATATCTCTCGTTTTATGTTTTTATCTCTCTTTCTCCCTCTCTCTTTCCGTCTGTCTGTCCTCCTCCTGTTCTCTCTCTCTGTTTTTCTGTCTCTGTTTCTCTCTCGTTCTCCCTGTGTCCTCTCTCTTTTTCTTTTTACTTCTCTCCCTCTCTCTTTCTCTCTCTTTCTGTCTCCCTCTTGCTCTCACTTCCTTTCTTTCTATCTCTCTCTCTGTTTATCTCTTTCTTATTCTTGTCTCTTTCTGTCTCTCTCTCCGTCACTCACTCTCCGTTTCTCTCTCTTTCTATCTATCTCTCTGTCTCTCTTTTTCACTTTTTATCTCTCGCCACCTGAGCATGTCTCTTGTTTAAACACCAGCTCCTCCCATCTCCTCCTCCCCTCTTTCCTCTCCTCCCTCCTCCCTCTCCTCCCTTCTTTCCTCTCCTCCCTTTCATACATCCAGCTGTATTTCTTCACAGACACCACCATTAAAAAACCCAGTGTTCTACAGAGATTTGGTACGGGGCAGATTTACTCCAAGTTTAACTCATAAGTCACTTTCGGTGCGCTCCCTTTCTCCTCTCATTCCTTGTACGACCAACACAAGCACAGTATTCGTATTTCCCACACACACGAACGCACCACTCTTAAATTAAAGCGTTGTATATACACAGAAAATAAAATAGGTGATAAAACAGAACTGCCAGACCCCTCTACATGTAATGAGCTGCTGCTGTATGAACTATATAAGCTCTCGGTGCAAACAATGGGACCACTATTACTCCAAAAATAATAGAGCTTTTAGAAAACACGGGCTATATTGCATTATTTTAATATACTTGGGAGAATATAAACATTTGATTGGAGTCAGAATTCCCCAATTAAATAATACGGAGTATGCTTTGCCAGTTTTAAAGGTGTTATAATGCTTATGTACTCGCAGTGACGTCATGGCTACGTTCAGACTGCAGGGCTCAATTTGGATTTTTTTGTGAAATCTGATTTTTTTGGCGAGGTTGTTCACATTTCCAATTTAATGCGAATTGTATGTGATCTCCAGTGTGAACTTTAAACGCCCCCAAAGTGTCCCTCATTCGCACTGGAGGACACGACGACGTCACACGCAGCGAGTAGCCTGAACGCTTGGCTTGTCTTCCAAAATACATTTCAGTTCTTCGTAAAGTGGACAGGCTACACGTCCACGGTCGCTTTGTTTGTTTGAGTCTTTAGCCTCCTTGTATTTGACTCTCAGGCTCTTCATTTTTTGAGCCAAGACCGACTGTAGCCATACTCGGACACTTCTTTGGGAATCATTTCATAAACTGCCCGGTTCCGATAAGACCCTTCCAATTTGGCCTGAATGCAGCGATCCCCCGAAATATTAATAAACTCTTTAACCTCACTTTTGACTAGACTCTGAGCCTGACTTGTAGGTGGGATGAATGCGACTTGGCCGTTCAGACTGAAGTCACATGTCAAAAGATCGGATATGTATCGGTTCTAGGACCACATATCCAAGTGTCCTGGGTCAAATTTGAAAAAATTGGATCTGTGTCGTTCAGACTGTCATTAAAAGATCAGATACAGGTCACATAGGGGCGAAAAAATCAGATTTGAGTCACTTCAGGCTGCAGTCTGAACGTAGTCCATGATGGGGTTGTTCTGTGCAGTCGTGGAAGAAGTACTTGATTTTGATACTGAACTAAAAGTACATATAGTGAAGCAAAAAAAATACTCAAGTAAAAGTAAAAGTATCACATGAAAAAAATAACTTAAGTAAAAGTATTAAACTACCCTTTTAAAATGTGCTTAAAGAGTAAAAAGTAAACATATTTCATGGAGATTTTGATATCTAATACAACTTAAAATAATCAGAAAAATACTTCAGTCCAGTTTAAAATCTTAGTGGAATAGAAAGTACAGGTATCTGTTCTCAGATGTGGTGAAGTAATGTATGTATGTCTATGGCAGAATGTTCAGCTGTTACCACGGTGACATAGCTGACCCATTAGCCGCTGCATTCAGACTCCTGAAAATGCAGTGTTATAAATCTATTTGGTGTTTTTTTTTTTGTTTGTTTGTTTTGAGTCTTAAAACTTTTTTGTGTCACCATGGTAACTAGTGAGCATTCCACCATACAGATAGACGTACAACACCCCCAGCATGATGTCACTGTGAAGTATCAATACTCTTTTTTTGTTGTTGTTGTTGTTTTCTCCAAAATCGTGCGAACCTTTTTCCAAGTAGCAGAGATCGACTCAAATTCCGACTTTATTGGATGAGACGTATCTGACCTTTTCATGCTCGGAGACTAAACTATGTGTTCTGGTTTGAATCAGTGAAGAATCTTCCCCAGAAAACAACAGAGACATGTCCAGGATCGGGCCTTTAAAAACACGGCGCTGTGATCTGCAGACACCTGGAAATGCTCCCCTCCTCTTTAAAACATCTCTGCGCTTCGTCTGGCTTTCATTCTGTAAACTATTTTCCACCACTCAGACAGAATAGTGACGGGAGATATGAGGTGTGTCCTGAACCAAAACACCTATTGATACTCTGCAGCTGACCTCGATAACGTTCCCTGGGGTGGGTGATGCTAACTGTGGGCACTGCTTTGTCTGAAGATCTGTTAGAGTTTAATCTGAGTTTTGTTTGAACACAGTCTGACCACAAAGAACTGGTTTTGTACTGTTAAACAAGTCCCTCTCAAATAACAATAGTCACAAGTTTTCTGAAAATCTAAACAGAATTTAAACTCGTATTGATCACACGCTCCTGTCATTTGAATCCATTTTGTGTTTATTCGTAAGTTTTCAGATCATCTTAAAACTTTTTTGATGGATATTGCTGTTGTGTGCTTTGTGACACCGGTGTTATTGCTGAAAATTCCACCATAGACATACAGGTAAAACACCCCCAGCTTGATGTCAGTGCAGGACGAAATCAAAACAAAGAAATAATCTGTGTCTAAAGCAGAAGTAAAACAAATACTAAACTGATGAAAACAGGCAATAATGATAGGTAAACTTGGACTTTTGAATTTTTTAGAAGGAGAGAACCAATCTGCAACTATGATGTTTGTCATACTAAATGATACAAAAATGTAATTTCTATGAAAAAATACTACACTAAAAATACCATTCTTTATTTAGACAATGGAGTGTCAAACATTAAATCTTAGTTCTTTTCTTTTATATTAGCCTGATTCGTCAGCCGGTTTTTCTTGGTGGAATCCATCTGACCTCACAGCATTAGGATTCTTTTGCTTGATGGTAGGCGGGAATTTTTTATTTAACCAATCGATGCTATTTGGTCATGACGTATCTAATGTGCCAAATCCCGTAGGAAGAAGGGCAATAACGTCTTTCTCCTTGATAAAATTCGCCAAACATTCTCTTTGTTCAGGTTTTAAATCCTTGATCTCGGGAATCTGTTGAATTACTGTTGTACTGTACCACAAAAAGCACCCAGACAGGCGCTTGAGTTTGACGTCATGGTCTACAACCAGGGTTCTTGCAAACTGTCTAGTGTATTTCCGATTCCTGACCTAGTCGCTGGATACAAGTGAAATTGAGCAGAGACACTAGGTGGTGCCAACCTGGCTACTTTTATATTCCCATGTGACCTTAAAACTTTTCAGGACAAGTTTCATTTTTGTCCTGTGAATGTGACTTTTGTAGTATCAGTATTTCCACAAATGAGTATCTAGATTTGATACTAGTTTTAGTCTTGATTAGTATCTGATTTTCAATAACAACCCTGTATAATAATCTACTCTGAGCTTTGTGTTCTCCTCTCATTGATCAAGACATTATTTAAATATAGTTTTGTATGACTGTAGCAGAAGTTACAGTGTATTTTGTTTCTTTGTCTCCTCTACGTGTTTCTCATTTGTCTTTTGAGTATTTCTGATTGTATGTCTGAGTATTTCTGTGTGTATATTTCTGACCAGACCTGAGGAATAAGTGGCACTTGGTGGTGGACCGTCTGACCGTGCTCTTCCTCAAGTTTCTCGAGTATTTCCACAAACTGCAGCTGTTCGTCTGGTGGCTCCTGGAGATCCACATCATCAAGATCGTGGCCTGCTACATCGTCCTGGTCTCCGTCAGAGAGGTACGCCAAACAACAGGGCAATCATTTCAAAAACCGCCCGCTTCTGATAAGACCCCTTCAATTTGGCCTGAATACAGCGATCCCCTCTAACATTAATGAACTCGCTAACCTTGCTTTCCCTCAGTTGACTAGACTCCGAGCCTGACGTGTAGGTGGGATGAATGTGACCTGACCGTTCAGACTGAAGTCGCATGTCAAAAGATCAGATATGTATCGGTTTTAGGAGCACATATCCAAGTGGCCTGGGTCACATTTTAAAAAATTAGATCTGTGTCGTTCAGATTGTCTTTAAAAGATTAGATACAGGTCGCACAGGGGTGAAAAAATCCGATTTGGGTCACTTCAGGCTGCAGTCTGAACGTAGCCTCAGTTCTGCTTTAAATTCCACCAACAAAAAATACAATACTTTTATTTACCGGCTCGGACAGTAAAGTTGATTAATTCTAATGTTTTTTTTCCTTCCCCTGTGTACTGCCCCCTGTAGGTGTCCCTGTTGAACTACGTGTTCCTGGCGTCGTGGGCGTTTGCTCTGCCCTACAGTCAGTATCGCCCCCTAGCGTCCAGCGTGTGTACTGTCTGGACCTGCGTCATCATCATCTGCAAAATGTTGTACCAGCTCAAGTCCATCAACCCGCCCTCCTACTCCAGCAACTGCTCCATGGTAAAGTGACGCCAAAAGTGCATCGTTATTCATCCACAAGAGTTTGTTTGTACAATTAAAAACATTTATGGACTTAGAAAATGTTAAGTTTGTTTGTGATAATCTTGGTTTGGAGACTGGACCAATCACAGAGAAGCTTTGTGGTTTAACTGGAAGCCAAAGGTGAAGTGCCAGGACTAAATCAGGACTAAACCAGGACTAAATCAGGATGAAATCAGGATGAAATCAGGACTATACTAAAACTAAACCAAGACTAACCAAGGAATAAACCATCATTAATACAGAACAAAACTTAGACTAACATAGAATTAACCAAGACTAAACCAGGATTAAATCAGGAATAAATCATGCCTAAACCAGGACTAACACAGAACTAAACCAGGACTAAAATAGAATTAAACCAGGACTAATCCAGGACTACACTAGAACTAAACCAAGACTATCAATCAATCAATCAACTATAACAACAATATAAAAACATTCTAAATTAAAACTAAACCAGGACTAAACCACACCTAAACCAGGACCAGGACTAAACCAGGACCGGTAGGACTGAACCAGGTCTAAACCACAATTTAACCAGGGCTAATCCAAACAAAACCAGGACTACAGCAGGAGTAAATCAGAACTAAATCAAGACTAAACTACAATTAAATCACAACTAAACCACAACTTAACCCATAGTAATCGGGGAGTAAACCAAAACTAAGCCAGGACTAAGTCAGGACTAAACCAGGGCCAAACCAGGACCACACCATGACTAAACCAGGACTATACCAGGACTATACCAGGACTAAACCAGGATTAAACCAGAACTACACCAGGACTAAACCAGGATTTACACCAGGACTAACCCTCTTGCTGCCTTCTCTCGCAGCCGGACGGTTACACCGAAGCGCAGGAGCAGGAGCTGAAGGACTCTCTCTTGTACCGGGACCTCGTGGATCCTGCCAACTGGGTCGGTCTAAACAAGGCTGACGACGTGTTGTCATACTTACGGGTGAGCATCAGGTTTAAATTATGTTAGACGATCTCATAAATGCATGGAGAAACTTGTATTTTCAATCAAATTATCACATTAGCACAAGATATAGCAATAATGTTTTGATGCAACTAAAATCGCATGTTTATTTTGTCCATGAGCAAAATATATAATTAAATTGCAAAATTATTGTACAAATAAAAATTATTTATCACAGTTAATAAAAGAAACAAGTCCACTGATTTGTACAATAGAAAACTGTGGTGCCCAAAGGAAGCTGATGTAGCTGTAAACATCATCACGACAAAGAGCCATGCAGTTGTTGACAGCTCTGACGGACGGCTGCACATCACACTATTTTATTTACTTATTGTTTGTTTGTTTGAACAGGGACAGATATACAAACTTAGATTAACAATTAAGTAATCTCATGTAGGTATCGCAGTGTTTGTAGCCAAGACTAATTCACAAACCACTTCCCAGAAGAGCTTTTAAAACTGTTTACTAAAAAGCAGTGGGATTGTTGGATGAAAAAACAGTAAATATAGTGAACGCGTCAAGAGAATCAATTAAAATATTACACATGTACAAACTCACACACACTCATTTCACTCTTTCTCATCCCCCTCTCATCCCTGCACTCCCATTCCCTCTCTCTGCAGGAGCCAGTCTGTTTTTAAAGGTTTACAGTCCAGTCATAATCTTTATGTAGCAGGTAGAGGATTAGAGAGCGAGTAGAGGATTTTTTTTTTTCATTTATACCAAAATGACAACGTAGTGCTGCTGAATCCTACATGTATAACCAGTTAGGAAAGTAAAATTGGAGAAAGGAGTAAGTACAGAGAGGGTAAATCAGAAGGGAAACTACTATAACATGGTAAACAGCTCTAAAAGATTGATTTTTGCAGAGAGACTTTAAGGTTTTACTACTAACTTACCCCATGTTAGTGTCCCCGACTACAGCAAGTGTGTGAGAATTTAGTTTTTTTGTCTGTTTAACAACCATTTTGTTATGTGTAAAATCCCTCACTCATCCAGGTAGAATTCTTGGCAAAGGAGAAGTTCAATTTGTCAACTGGACAAATGTTTATGTAGGTCGAAAACACTGGTGGACACTTCCTTAATGAGCAGCATTCTGACCAGAACTGAAGAAGCAGCTTGGATGAGCAAAACATTTTTGACCTAAATAAATGTTTGTCTAGTTGACAAATTGATTTTGTCCTTTGCTGTGGATTCTACCTGGACAAGTGAAGGATTTTACACATAACAAAATGGTTGTTAAACAGACAAACTAAATAAGCAAGTTATTTTGCGTATATTTGGAAATAAAATTATTCCACATCCTGTCTTGTGATTCATTTTATTATTGTCCATTGCTAATTTGCAGTTAAGTCATTTTAGATCAGGGGTCTCCAACATTTTTCCTCCAGTGAGCTACTTTTACAAAACGAAAATGCGCAAGAGCTACTCATTTTAATGGTCACAAGAAATTGAGCATATATAAGAACCATGGTGAGCCTTAGATGAGGTACAGTTAGACGCCTATTAAACATAAACCATTTTCCATTTATGAGTGTACAAAGTTAGGCATCAAAATGATACATTTACAATAGTAAAAGGCATTTAATTCATCAGATTTTACTTATTCAGCACAATGCATGTAATTCAGAAATACCTTGGTGAGCTACTTTAAAGGGGGTGGAGAGCTACTGGTAGCTCCTGAGCTACAGGTTCGAGACCCTTGTTTTAGATCAATATTGCAATTTAAAATGTTCAAATTATAACACAACAATCCAGAGGTGTCATACATATAACTATATATAACTATACAGCAGACACAAGCGCAGTATGTCTTCTTTTACAGTATTTACTAGTATTTATTGATTTAATGTGTTTCTCCTCTCAGAATAACCTGTTGATGCTGGCGGTTCTGGCCTTCGAGGTGACCATCTACAGACACCAGCAGTACTACAGACTGAGGAACAAGCTGAGCCCTCCGGCCGCTCGCATCATCTTCCACGACATCACCAGACAGCACCTGGACATCGGCATTGTCCACTTCGTCAAATACTTTGTCAACTACTTCTTCTACAAGTTCGGACTGGAGGTGAGCGTCAAGAAACTCAGTCATAAAAAAGAAGAGTCTGTGTATTTGTAGTAGTGGCCTTTTCTGTGTTTTTCAGAACAGATTTGCTTTAATAATCAGCGGTGTCTAGTACTCAGTTAGGTTTAATAACTTTTTAAAGATTGCTTTTCTAGCAGCATACTTTTACTCCTACTTGTGTAATAATTTGTATTGAAAAAAACAGTACTTAAATTTTAACTTTCGAGTAAAAGTTGTGGCTTCTCTTCCCACTGTGAGGAAGTCTAATGTGACGCTTTATGTTGACAATATGAAATGATTTGAACATTTGTGTTTCTTGCACCACTTCTTCAAATATGATGTTGTTAGTTGTTCTAATTTTATGTCAATCCTTTGAAAGTACCAGATTTTTTTGGTTATATTTATTGTTTTGTCCTTCAGATTACTGTATTTTTCGGACTATAAAGCGCACTGGATTATAAGGCACAGAATCAATAATGTTGAATTCTCTCGTCTATTTTTGGATTATAAAGTGCATTAAGTGAAACAAACGGACGACACTTGAGACTGATCCCTTAGCCCAGGCGTCCATGATCCATTGGCAGATCTTGGCGTAAAAAAAAATAAGTTTTTTAAAATTTCCTATGAGGAGGACTCAAATATACATTGAGTAATAATGTGTTTAATTGCGCACATTTGTTTACATTTTACAGAAATGAAACTTAAAACCGCATGCCTAATTTACATTAACTTGTGAGCTGGTGCGGTTCAGCTTCTGTGCCCGTGAGGCTCTTGACTACAGTAGCCATAATGCTCTGACCATCCATCAAGCGGTGCGGCTTCGTAGTTTATCAAAGTCATATTAAAACATTTTGACAGATTTTTAAGCGCCATGTATCACATAAAATCAGTTCAAGGTCAGTAAACACAACCAAAGTACACCAGGCACACTGGATTATAAGGCGCACCGTCGATTTTTGAGAAAGGATTTTAAGTGCTCCTTATAGTCCGAAAAATACGGTACTTTAACTTCAAATTATAAACCAGATGTTAAGATATCCAGACTCATGGGTTTCTGGCATTTCTCACACTGTCTCTCTCCTCAGACGTGTTTGTTGTTGGGGGTGAATGTGATTGGACAGAGGATGGACTTTTACTCCATGCTGCATGCGTTCGCCCTGATCGCCGTCATGTACCGCAGGAGGAGGAAAGCCATCGCGGAGATCTGGCCCAAGTACTGCTGTTTCCTGGCCTGCATGCTCACCTTCCAGTACTTCATCTGCATCGGCATCCCACCTGCAGCCTGTAAAGGTGGGTGTGGGGAAACTGCATTCTTCTGATGACCTAGAAAACACAGGGAGGACTGGAAACTTAAAGGTGCACTGTATAACTTTTTGGTTGGGGGTCCAGCATCTGCTTGTTTCTATGGATACGCCAATGCTCCACCTGGAATGTTCCTCAGTATGACATTAAACAGCTCTACCTTACATTTATTCAAATAGAGTTGGTTTTGTATCTTAAAAATACCTAGAAAAACAGGCATTCTGACTGTCAGTGGGGTCGCCTCTCCACAGAACTGACCTGTAACATGGTCTGGTTTGGTCTCCATTAAAATAGAAAGGTTTAATACCATACTGTGGAACATTCCAGACAATAACATCTCTACGGGGATACTTTTAATGGTATGGTATGTAGGAGTGTGCAAAATATATCGATTGTTTAATGTGATGATATTGTATCGATATCGTGGGCTGCTGTATCGATATATCGCCAATCATCAGGCTAATTACTTAGGGTTACAGTGTTGAAATACTTTTCTACTATTATATGTTTTGTTAATTTGTGAAAGAGGTTCCCTGGCTCCCCAACCTGTTCGAAGTTTGTATGTCTTTAAAAAAAAAAGCAAAAGCAGGAACGTGTGATATCATTCTACACATTGCAATGTGTAATCTGCTTTTTAAATAAAAAGTAAATTTCATGACATCACAGGGTAGAAGAGAGCATTTTGAGCTTTGGAGATGTAAACAGATTGGTAATAAAGTGTTACTCAAACATGTGTGAATGAAACAAAACACAACTATAGATACGTTTTTGAGGAGGTAATAACTTTCTAACATGACTTAAAGCACACAAGAGTCAATTTTGCATAATATAGGACCTTTAATATATATGTTTTATATTTTTTATTTACAGATTATCCCTGGAGATTCCCCAACTCTACAACAGACTCCAAAGTGGTGAAGTGGCTCTATGTCCCTGATTTCAAAACAAAACCCAACCCCTCCTTTCTCATCTGTACGTGGTATTTATACATATTTAGATTATTACAAAAACATGTCATACAAACGTTAATTCACCTCTCTTCTTTTCTCACAGATGACTACATGCTGCTGCTGTGCGCCTCGTTCCAAAAGCACGTGTTTGATGATGAAAACAAAGCGGCCGTTCGGATCATGGCTGGAGACAACGTGGAGATCTGCAGGGACCTGGACGCAGCTTCCTTCAGTGTCCACAACCCAGTGCCCGACTTCATACACTGCAGGTAAACCATCTTAATGCTCATCGATTCTGACACTTTAAAATCTACATTTATTTATTTACTTACATTTATTTCATTTATAAAAACAGTGTTAATTCTGTAGATTAAAGGGCTCATATTACGCTGTTTTCTGATCTATTTTATAATGTTTCCTCATCAAAAACATACCTGGAGTTTTGTTTGTTTGTTTCATTCACACCTCACAAACGCTGCATATTTACACTGAGTTCTTCTGTCAAATGGAAAGCACATACAAACAGGAAGTGCTCCACTGTGTCTTTCAACTACACACTGCAAAAAAACTAAATCTAGTCAAGTTAAGATGGCTTGAATTAAGAAAGTTTTATCATGATGTAAGTAAATTTCACTTGACAATCAAAATTATCTGCCAGTGGGATAAGACTATTTGTACTTAAAATATGAAAATACATCTTGCTACACTTAAAATAAGAAACAAAATCAAATGTTGCTTGAATTAAGAAAAACACACTTGGATAATTTTACTTGTCAAGTTGAATCTACACTTGTTTTTTTCCAGTGCATCTTCACCAGAATAATCTGTATAATTTCAACCTTGGTCTCCGCTGAACTAAAAGTAAAAGGCCCTGTTCACATGTAAACTACCACTTCATGACATCACAAGGGGGAACAGAGCGTTTTGAGCTTTGGAGATGTAGATAAACTAATAATAAAGTGCTACTCAAACATGTGTGAATGAAACAAAAACGCAACTCTAGGTATGTTTTTGCTTAGGTAACCAGAGGCGGCGCTACCATTAGGCAAAAGTAGGTGGCTGCTTGGGGCCCCCAAATCTTGAGGGGCCCCCAAACTATTGCCCTCAGTGCCACTAATGGTCAAAGCCTCAGAGCAATTTGATTTTCTCTCAGTATGACCTTAAATGAGAGTAGTTTACTTTAAAACAATCATCAAAAGAAAAATAATAATCATATGTGATGGATGTAAACAAAAATGTAATTGTACTAGAAAAAAAAAAAAAAAAACTTCTTTCAGTTCTGGTTATCTAGTAGACGACTGAACTAATAAGACAAGTTTCCAGTCCACCGTAATTCACGTAAATATAGATGTACATGTCTCAAGAACAATGGAGGAAAACAGAAAAAAAGAAAAACATTATATTGAGGGCCCCAAACTCAAGTTCACCTAGGACCCCCAAATTTCTAACTTCGCCACTGTAGGTAACAACATTATAACATAACTTAAAACTCACAAGAGTCAGTTTTGTGTAATATAGGATGTTTTAACTTTCACTTCCATCCAGACTTGTGTTGTTTTCTCACACTTTGGTGCAGCAGAGGTCTGGGGCTAATCATTGTAACCCGACTCTCAGTGATTCACTCAACACAGGAAACCTCTCATTACATCACTAACACGCTCACATGCTAACAACATACACATAGATCTGTCTTTCAAAGTGACTATTGTAAAGGAAACCACAAGCAGGAATCAAATCAGGAACAAAAACAAATGTAGACTGCACAGATATTTACATGAGTTCAAATTGAATCAGGATATTCATATTGATTATGGATGCTTTGACTGGTAGGGCTGTAAAATAGTTATGATTACCGCAAAACTAAAAAGAAAACTGAAAAGCATATCTTAATTGTTAAGAACTAAAAGCTGGTAGCAGAGTACATTTAGTTTGCCTCCCATTAACTCAAACACATGTGATACCTGCACCTTTGAAAAGCTGCTCTTAAACTTTGAACACACACAGAAATGAAATGCATGTGAAGTAGGGATGTAACGATATCGAAAACTCACGGTAGGATATTTATTGCGATATTTTGTGGAGGCTGACAAAACTGTGAATATGCTACTTTTCTAAAAGTGCTTTGACAAGAATTTGAAGAACTAAGATTTAAAAGTGCTTAGAACTGCTATTTCTTCATATAGTTTGCACCAAAATGGAGCAAAGGATCATGGTCTATGTAGTTCCCTATGTTTTTTTAAGCTATTGCTGCACCATCACAATTAATTTAAGCAAAGGAACTTGTGATTCGATATATTGTCATGGCCCACGATATTATTTTGAGACTTTTGACGATACGATATCACAATATTTTGTTTAATGTTGCACCCTTAATGTGACTAATAGAGATTTGTCAAAGAGTTTGTGAGAGTTTTGAAAATTACCCCTGCTTAAATATATTATACTATATCAACACAAAATTTACACATAGTTTTATGCAATTTTTATCTGAAATTATCTCGATTTGGTCAAGGCCTACTTGATATAGGCCTTACACTGCAAAAAACAACATCTAGGCAAGTTAAGATGACTCAAATTAAGAAAGTTTTATCATGATTTGAGTAAATTTCACTTGACAAGTAAAATTACCAGCCAGTCGAACAAGACTTTTTGTACTTAAAATATGAAAATACACTTAATCTTACTGCACTTAAAATAAGAAAAACAACAACTTATTCCAATGGTAGAAAATTTTACTTTTCAAGTTGAATCGACTCAAATAAAGTAAAAATTTTATTTAAGTAATTTTAACTTATCTAGATATTATATTATTATATTTTTTCTCCCAGTGTATTTTATGTGATGTATTTATCTTAACTCAGGGTGGTGCACACTGGAGGCTGCAGTGACCCGATTTAGTGAAACATGAAAATAAAAATGTGAAGTTTTATTTTGACATTTTTGTAGTTGAACATTTGTCAAAATTGTGTATTAAATTAGGCATAAATGCAACTTAAAGGTGCATTGTGTAACTTTTCTGGTGGAGGAAAAGTTATGTTTCACCATTCTATCTTCATGGAGACCAAACCAGACCAAGTTACAGGTCAGATCTGTGGAGAGGCAACCCCACTCACAGTTAGAATAATTGTTTTTCTAAGTATTTTGGAGCAATAAAACCACCTGTAATTAAATAAATGTAAGGTAGAGCTGCTTAAAGTCATACTGTGGAACATTCCAGGCAGAGTGATGACATCTCCATATGAACACGCCACCAGAAAAGTTACAGAATGCCCCTTTAAGCGCAGCCACACGGATGTATAGCCACAGTTTGCATCCCTTTTTCATCAATGGCGAGGAGAAAATAACCTTCCATCTTAGCAGCTATTTATCGACTTGAGTTTCGACCCCAGGGCCAAAGTGTCTGTGCTTTTTGACGGACACGTGTTTTTTTGTGGATTATGGATTTTTCTGGCCTCCACTCACAAAAGCGTAATGTGATCCCGGCGAGGAGAGCAGGGATATAAGTGCACGGGTCTGTGTGGTGTGGTGTGGACAGACTATAGGACAGGTTTTCCTCCTCCTCTGTGTTCTGCTATGGGGCCCTGTTGATGGACACAGAGTGCGTTAATAAAAGACTTGTCCACTTTGCACATCACAACAGCCCAATGTAAAGAGAGCAGCGATCGATGAGCAGGTGAGGATGCTAAGCTTGTCTTCGGATAATGTCCTGTACTCCACACACTTCACACGCACTGTAAAAAAAAAAGGCAGAGCTGCTAAAAGAAAATGCAGTGTTGATGTAATGTTTAATGTCATATTTTTCAATTTTAATACTTTTTATTAATTGTATCAAAATGCCAAATACAAAAGCACTTTTTGCTTTAGACAATAGAATGTGATTTTCAACATTAAATCGTACACAGCAAAAACTGGAGGGTTAAAATTTTAGGTTAAAATATTTCAGAGTTGTTTTTAACACAAAAAGTGTTATTTTAACTATTTGAAAGTTAAATGGGGTGTTGAGTGTTCTTCTTAGTGGTGTTAATTCAATTTGCTTAGTGTTAGTGCTTAGTGATGCTTAGTGTTGCTCTTAGTGTTAATTCAACTTTCTCTTAGTGCTTAGTGTTAATTAAGTGTTAATTCAACTTCTTCCTTAGTGTTAATTCAACTTCAACTTCCTTAGTGTTAATTCAACTTCCCTTAGTGTTAATTCAACTTCTCTTAGTGTTAATTCAACTTCTCTTAGTGTTAATTCAACTTCTCTTAGTGTTAATTCAACTTCTCTTAGTGTTAATTTGGGTCCTTTCATTCACCACTTCAAACTCTTGTGAGAGAAGACCAGTTTGAACCAATTTTGTACATAATTTCATTTTAAATGAACTAAAATAAAGGAAAAATATAAATAAAATGCCTCTGTGTGTTGTTTAGCTAAATCAGGATAACCCTGCCAAGTGTTATCTGTTTACTCTCTAAACGTGAATATAACTCTGGATTTCGGGGTTAAACAGGAACTTTGGTCCAGTGTTTCTTAATGAACATTTCCAAAAATGTTAAATTAACTCTAGAACAGATTGGACTCATATAAACTCTGAGAAAATGTTAAAAGTGATTCTGTGAGAGTCAATTTTAACACTCCACTTTTTGCTGTGTAGTACTTTCTTTTATATTTCCCTTATTCATTGTACATGTGCATTTATACTTGTTCTGATACAGCTCAACATCTCCGGTGTGACTTTTTTAGTATCAGTACCTGCTCAAATGAGTATCTAGTTTTGATTAGTATCTGATTTTCAAGACTTTTGACAGCGCTACTTTGGATATTGCTCTATACTCGACATAATTCCCACACGTGCACTGCAAAAATGTGCCAGTTTAAATATTGTTAATTGTACTAAAACGCCAAATATCAATATGAAATTCTAAATATTAAAGATAAGCTTGTCTTCCTTCTCTACACACACACGCTGGGTGAAATACTATCAAAACTGTTCAAATGTTAACTTAAAGTTGATTGTGCACTGTAAAAAAGGTCAAACCTGCTAAAAGAACATTCAGTGTTGGCATAATATGTAATGTCATATTTTTTTTATTTCAATTCTTTTTATTCATTGTATCAAACGCAAAACATGCCTCACAGGTCTCCAAGAACAGCTGATAGCCAAGGTCGGTTAAATACAATCAATCAATGAATCTGCCCAGAGATGACAGGTGGAACTTAGCACTGATGCTACAACCTGATGTACAATGCATCTCTCCTGTAAAAAAGGTTAATGTAAAAATTGTGCGCTGTCCCTGTTTCAAATAAATAAACAAATAAAATAAATGAATAAAATGCAAAATATTACAGATAAGCTTGTCTTCGGATAATGCCCAATACCACTTGCACTCTGAGGAGCTGAGGGACCGGCCTCCTGCTGGTGCCCAGAGTCAGGACTAAACACGGGGGTCAGAGTTTCAGATTCATGCAGCTAAAACCTGAAACAGTCTGCAGAGTTGAGACAGACTCTACTTTGACTCTGTTTAAATCTAGGCTCAAAATGGTCCTGTTTAACTGTATGACTGAAAGGTTTTTGTTCCACACTCTTCTCTCTAATTTATGTAATTAATGTCTCTCTTTTTAATTTTATTTATGTTTTGATTTTGTTTTTTATTGTGATTTTAATGTATTTCTTATTATTACTTTGTGTACGAATTGTGGTACACAAATAAACTTGCCTTCCTTGCCTTACCAGTGGTTCCCAAAGTGAGGCCTGGGGACCTCTGGGGGGCCTGAAAAGCTTTGCAGGGGGCCCTAAACTTTGTCACAAGAAAGAAAGAAAATTGAGGTTTAAACAAACTAGATATTTCTTTATATTTGATGATATTAGTATTAAGCCCGCAGGAATGTATTGTAGTTTTATATTCACAAATCAATCTAAAAAGAAATCATTGCATTTTGTTTATATTTAGTATAAAATATTATTAGAGGGGCCCTGTGTGATATTGGGATCAAAAGAGTTTGGGAATGGCTGCGGTATATGACCATCAATACACTTACACTCACTGCAAAAAATGTTTTAGGCAAAATGCTCTAAAAGAAAATGAATGAAGTAGTAATCTAATAAAAGTAATCTTGTACTAAAATGTCAAATTAAAAGAAACAGAAAACACACACCAAAATTCTTGTAGAGGTGCAAATGCAAGGAGCAGGAAGACAAAAGTGAAAAAATGCAAAGCGCACTCAGATGGCCGATGTCCAAAAGCTTTTTTATTTTTTTTAAATAACGTTTCGGCAAAAAGAGCCTTCGTCAGATATTTTTCTTACTTTACTGTGGTCCAAAGTGGCCATCTGAGTGTGCTAAAATGTGACATTAACAGATGTGTTTGACCTCGTATAATGTTCTATATTCTCTGCACAAATCACACATGTGCGCTGCAAAAAATCTTAAAAGGGTCCTATTACTCTGTTTTCTGACTTATGTTATAATGTTGTTTCCTCATCAAAAACAGACCTGGAGTTGTGTTTTGTTCCATTCACACATGTTTAACACACAAAACCTCCATATTTAGACTTATTCTTCTCTCAAGCAGAAAATTCTTTGTTCCACCTTGTGATGTCATGGGGTAATACAGAAAGTGCTCCACTGTGTTACCATTATTTGGGTCATTTCAGCCCTGGAATTGCCAATCTCTACAGAACGAAAGGCAAAAGGAGCTGTTAACTTGAAAACTACCACTTCTTGATATTACAAGGTGGAAAAACATGTGCGAATGAAACAAAACACAACTCCAGGTCTGTTTTTGATGAGGTAAAAACACAATAACATGATTTAAAGTTCACAAGAGTCAATTTTGCGTAATATTGGAGCTTTAAATAATCTTTGTTACTTGTACTAAAATGCAAGCTGAACTCTAAACTCTGCCTCCTCTTCCTCTCTCAGGTCGTATCTGGACATGCTGAAGGTGATCATGTTCAGTTACCTGTTCTGGTTCGTGCTCACCATCATCTTCATCACCGGGACGACTCGTATCAGCGTGTTCTGCATGGGCTACCTGGTGGCCTGTTTTTACTTCCTGCTTTTCGGAGGCGAGCTGCTGCTGAAGCCCATCAAGAAGATCCTCCATTACTGGGACTTCCTCATCGCCTACAACATCTTCGTCATCACCATGAAGAATATTCTATCTGTGAGTGTCTCGATACTGAACCGATACTACCGATACCACAATGATAATAAAAACCATTCTTTCTTTAGACAATAGACAAAATTGACCCTTAATTTTCTGGTGGAGGGTCCGTCACCTTCTTGTTTCTATGGAGATGTCATTGTTCTGCCAGGAATGTTCCACAGTATGGCATTAAACAGCTCTACCTTACATTTATTCAATTACAAGTGGTTTTATAGCTCAAAAATACCCTCAAAAACCAATCATTCTGACTGTGAGCGGGGTCGCCTCTCCACATATCTGACCTGTAACTTGGGCTGGTTTGGTCTCCATGAAGATAGAAAGGTTTAATGCCATACTGTGGAACATTTCAGACAAAGCAGTAACATCTCCATGGAGAATGGACCACTTCCACCAGAAAAGTTACACAATGCACCCTTAAATCATGTTATAATGTTGTTACCTCCTCAAAGACAGACCTGGATTTGTGTTTAGTTTCATTCACACATGTTTGAATAACCCTGCATTATTAGTCTGTTTAGATTTAAGTTCAAAATGCTCCACTTTGTGATGTCATGTAGTGGTAATTAAAGTTAATAGCTACTTTTTTTTTTTTTTTTTTTTTTTTTTTTAGTTCAGTAGAGATTAGCAATTCCAGGGCTGAAATTATACAGACGATTTTAGTGAAGGTGTATGGAGTTTAAAAATACAGTGAAGCACTTCCTGTACTACCACCTGTATGACATCACAATGTGGAACTGAGTGTTTTCAGTTTGAGAGAAGAACTCAGCCTAAATATGCAGGATTTGTTTGTTAAAATGTGTGAATGAAACAAAACACAACTACGGGTTTGTTTTTGATGATGATACAGCATTATAATATTAATCGGAAAATAGCGTAATATGGCCTTTTTAAATATTAGTACTTTCTTTTATATTACCATGTGGTCTTACATCTATATCTATAATCCCTCAGTGGCCCAGGAAGGTTCCATAGTGGTCCATGGGCATATACTAGTCTATGCGCTCTGAGACTTGCTCAAGATCATTCTAAAGCGATTCAGGAACGCTTCATTTATTTAATATTGAAATATCGATATATCGTATCATTTAATGTGATTATACAGTATCAATCTCATGGGCTGCTGTATCGATATATCAGCAAGAGTATTTTTTGGTATATTTTACTAAATTATTTTGTTACAGCGCTACAATTTTGTTGCTTGTTCAGAGGAAGGAAAATTGTTTATGCAGCACATTTGACATTTTCACTGTTTTGATCATTAAAATGGGCATGTTTCATATTCACTTTGCACAAGAAGTGGTTTAACAAAGACTTTCAGTGTCACAAGCAATGATTTAGCTTTTATTTTTTACTGAACCGTATCGAATCGATTTGAAATATATCGTATCGAATAGAAGGTGCACTGTATCGAGGTTTGTATCGTATCGGCGACTTCTTAATGATACCCAGCCCTACCTGTGAATGTGAGTTTTTAGTATTGCTACCTGCTGAAATTAGTATCTAGTTTTGATTCTAGTTTTTAGTGTTGAATAGTAGCTGATTTTCGATACTTCTGACAACTCTACAGGAGCCATAAAAATGTACTGGAGATTTACTGTTGAGTCACATTACATTATCGTTATTTGTTTGGAAGTGGCTTTACAAACTTGTCATATTCTTCTCATGACTCAAAGTTTTGGAGCTAGTGACACCACTTTTTGTAACAGTTGAACTCGTGTGTGCAGATCCTGGCGTGTGGATACATAAACTCTCTGGTCCGGCGCCAGTGTTGGCTGATCCAGCTCTTCAGTTTGGCCTGCACCATCAAAGACTACAACATCGTCATCAACCAGGACAAACTCTGTAAGTCACCATTTATATGCACAGTACTTACAATTTAAAGGTCCTGTCACACAAATTGACTCTCATCATGTTAAAGTGTTGTTACCTCCTCATAAACATACTTGAAGTTGTGTTTTGTTTCATTCACACATGTTTGAGTTTTGAGATTGACCTTGATTTATTGGGCTGTCTACATTTCCAATCCTCAATGTGTCAGTTCAATTCCAGGGCCAGTTTAAGAAAAGAGCGGCTTCTAAATTTACATTATTATTTTGGTAAACATGTGTAAATGACACAAAACACAACTCCAGGTATGAATGAGGTTACAATATTATAACATAGATCAGAAAATTACACAATATAGGCCTTTTATATAGGTCCTGTGAAGTGCATATAGGTGAGATATAGGTTTCACTAAAACATTTAGCTTCATTATATTTAACATTTTATAAATCTTTTCTGTTTTGCCATAGTTTGACCATTTAGATTAATTAAAATAAAGGTGTTTTTACTAGTTTGAGACAGGTTTTGTCTCAAACTATGGTCATATATTAACTGCCTGTGTTAGACCAGGAATTTAAATTAAAACTACAGTGTGTCACTTTCTGGAGCCGCCTAGTGCCTCCACTCAATTTCATTTCTCTCCAGAGACTAGGTCAGGAATCGGAATACACAAAACAATTTGCAAAAACCCTGGAGGTGTGAGTCTGGGCACCAGCCAATCAGCAAAGAGTCATACGTTGTGTGTTGGCTATGGTTCTTGAGATCAAGGATTTAAAGCCAAAACAAAGAGAATTTGTTGAGAGTTTGGTGAATTTTATCAAGGGGAAAGACGTTATTGCCTTTCTTCCTACAGGATTTGGGAAAAGCTTAATATACCAGTTAGCCCCGTTAATGGTTCATTACATACATCACAACCAAATAGCAGCGAATGGTGAAATAAAAAAAAACCCCGCAAACCATCGAACGAACTATCCTAATGCTGCGAGGTCAGACAGTTTCCACGAAATGAAACCGGCTGATAAATCAGGCTGGTCTCCTGCATGATTCCATAAAAATAGAAAGATAAAACTATGTTTTATGCCATACTGTGGAATGTTATAGACAAATTAACAACATTTCTATGAAAACAAGCAGGAGGAGGCCCTCTTTCAAGTAAGAATCAGGTTTGTGGAGATGCAAGCTGCTCACAGTAAGGGCAAATGCATGTTTTTCAGTGTAATAAACACAACCACAAACAAAAACAAAAAAAACATGCTTTTATTTTTTGGCTAATAAGTTACATACTGTGGCTTTAAATACTTCATCAAAATTTTAAAACTGGAAAAAAAAACTTCAGAAAATCCTAATTCTAATGTGTAGTGGTAGTTTTTTGTGAATGATGAGTAGTCTAACCTGTCACACGCTCTTTAAATCCATAGAAGGTACATTTTTGTTGTGATTTCTTGCTCTGATGTCATGTTTTGTGTTTGCCAGCGGCAGAGGAGCACTGTGACGTGCCCACAGGGGAGGCGGGCATCATCTGGGACAGTATCTGCTTTGCTTTTCTCCTGCTGCAGCGGCGAGTCTTCATGAGCTACTACTTCCTCCATGTGGTGGCCGATGTCAGAGCCTCACAGATCCTCGCGTCCAGGTACATGGCAAAGCTCAGATACGCACAGACCTGTCACAATAACAACATTTATCACTGACAGAATTTTTAAAAAGGCAGCAATATCCTCAGAAATATTCTAAATATAAAATATTGTTAAAACATATAAATATAAAACACGTTCTATGTTGCAGTGTTGTTTTCTTGTCGAAAACATGCCTGAAGTTGTGTTTTGTTTCATTCACACATAATTTTAATATCACAAGTTGGAACTGAGTATTTTGGGCTTTGGAGATGCAGACAGACTAATAATAAAGGACTCAAACTTCCTCAAACATCTGTGAAAAAACACAACTCCAGGTTTGTTTTTGACAAGGTGACAACATTTTAACACGACTTAAAGTTCACAAGAGTCAATTTTGTGTAATATCAGACCTTTAAGTGTAGTTAAGTACTTACGTTTGTATCTGTAATGAGTCATGGATGTTATTTATTCAACCCTTTATACAAATTATATTTCCATCCATCAGTTATTGGAAAATATTAAATGTACACTACTGGTCAAAAGTTTTAGAACACCCTAATTTTCCCAGTTATTTATTGCAATTCAAGTCCAATGAAGAGCTTGAAATGGTACAAAAATAAGAACAGAACAGACAGAGGTTAAAAAAAAAAGATAAAAGATACAAAACACAAGTCCAAGCTCTGCCAAAACTACCTCAGGAAAAAAGAACAAGATGGTAAAGCTTGAAAATATGGAGTGTCCAGCACAGTTTCCAGACTTAAACCCCATCAAGCTGGTTTGGGATGAACTGGACAGAAGAGTGAAAGCCAAGAAACCTACAAGTGCCACACATTTATGGAAAACTTCTGCAACAGACTTGGGAAGAACTTTCTGAAGAATATTTGATTTTTATTGTAAAAAGAATGAGCCACGAGTGTGTTCAGCTGTTATATCTTCCAAAGGTGGACACTTTTATGAATCAAAAGTTTACAATACGTTTTGGGCAACAGTAAACAGCAAAAAATTGGAAAAAGTGTGGTGTTCTAAAACTTTTCACCGGTAGTGTATTTTATATTCAAATTGTCCAAGTACCCACCCTTTGCTTGGTGAGTTATTTATTTTTCTTTACTAAATAATTCCATAGATGCTTGCTTCATATATTTTATTTCTTCTGTATGTATATCAAATGTAAAAATTAGGAAGAAAAAAGAAAAAAAAACTGTATCCAAACTTTTGAGTGGTTGTGTATATTAATTAATCTATTTATGTATGTATTCTGTGTTTTTTTTTTGTTTTGTTTTGATCACAGAGGGGCAGAGCTGTTCCAGGCCACTATTGTGAAAGCTGTGAGAGCCAGACTGGAAGAGGAGCGCAAATCTGTGGAGCAACTCAAGAGACAGTGAGAATATTTATATAATAATATATAATATTTACATAATAAGACCCCGTGGAGAGCTAATGTTTTGACCTTTGAAAAATTTTGATAACATTAGATATAAAGGAAATTCCAGTTGTAATTTCAGCTCAATTTCAGTCATACATAAATACGTAAATAAAAAAATTATAAAAGTAAATAGGCTGGGTACATTTACATGACCAGATGCCTTTTATTTGGGTATTTTTCTAAACAAAGAGTAGCCAAAAATTGTATTCAAGTAAGAGTACAGTACTTTAATATTATTCAAGTAGAAGTATAAAGTGGTCTAAGAAATTACTTGAGTAAAAAAACATACTTGGAAAAACTACTTCTACTTACTTATTATTCGAAGCTAATGTAATTTGAGTGACAAAACTTTAAATAATACACAAAATCTGGTTAGAATAGACACAGGATAGACACAAATATGAGAAAACCTACATCACATTTGAAGGAACTCACAGTAGGAAGGGGAACCACAACTTTTACTCAAGTACTCAAAATTCAATAAAATGTTACTCAAGTAGGAATTCTTGAAAAAGTTACTCAAATATAGTGTCCTTCAAGGTTCGATAAGATACTCAGTATACGGCTCATGATTCGATATTATCACGAAATGGCGATACTGCAGTTTTTTAAGAGCCAAATGCATTTAAGCAACGATATTTCTTTGTAAAACCACTTCCAGTCCAAAGTTAATATGAAATATATGTATTTTAATAATCAAAACAGTGATTATTAATATGTGTTAAGTGTCCTGCATAAACAAATTTCCTTCCACTAAATAAGCAACTAAATTGTACAGCCATCACAAAAAAAAAAAAAAAAAATGCTGTTGATATATATCGATACAGCAGCCCACGATACGATACTGTATCACCAATGTTAGTATCACGATATTTCGATATTTCAATATTTTTGCACAAGTACAAATAGTAGTGTGAATGTAGAGTCTGGAAAAGGGGGCAGAAAACATAAGATCATATTCCCTCTGCTTTTTTTCATTAATTTGTTGTACGTTTAATGTTATTACACTGTTGATGCCTTTTTATATTTTATGAATGAAATAAATGAATAAAAAAATACAAAATAAATTATAAATAAATAATAAAATAAAAAGAATACTATAAAAATCTGAAGTTGCCGATACGATACATACCTCCATACATAAGCCACGATACACGGTACGATTCGATACGATTCAATACAATATATTTCAAATCAGATCGATACAGGTCAATAAAAAATAATAGCTAAATCATGGCTGCGATACTAAAAGTCTTTTAAGCCAGTTCTTGTCCAAAGTTCATATGAAACACAAACATTTTAATCACAAAAACAGTGAAAATATCAAAAGTGTTGCATAAACGAGTTTCCTTCCACTAAACAAACAACAAAACTAGTGCTGTAACAAAATAATTTTGTAAAATATACCAAAAAAATACTCTTGGTGATATATCGATACAGTAGCCCACGATATCGATACTGTATCATCACATTAAATGATGCGATATATCGATATTTCTATATTTTTGCACACCCCTAATAAAAAATAATAACAAAAATAATAAATAATAAAAATAAAGATGTGTGTATTATAACGTAACATTAAAAAATTTAAATGAAAAATATATGTGTATGTATGTATGTTTGACTTTTCAATAATCTGATATCCAGAAATCAGATCATAATCAGATTTCTGGTGTGCATGTAAACAGTAAAAGGTTCCTTTCTACTGTACTACTCCCCCCTCCCTCCACTATCACAGTTGTATCATGCCGTCTGGGTGTGCGTAATTGCCCGCAGTTGTTTACACACAGTCTGTGCGTCTCTCACGTCTCCTGTCTGATCTAATGCAATCAGGATGGAGCGCATTAAAGTCCGCCAGCAGAAGTTTAAGAGGGGCAAGGAGAAGATGCTGAGTATTGCCCAGGAGTCCGGAGAGGGGCAGACCCTGGGCCAGGCCGAAGAGGACGATGACGATGGTACGCTGCAAACAGACAAACGCACACACGCAGGACATCTGAGTATTTACAGGGATTCACAGGGAGTTAAAGGACACATATTATGCATTAATTTTGTAGTTACTGGCCTTTGAGTACCTGTGCTTTGGCGTGTCATAGTTTAGAACTTAAAACAATGACCATTATTTTCCAGCTTGGCCTATTCTGGAATCTGGTGTATGGCTCCATCTACTGGGAGAAGTTAGAATTACCATGAGGGAAAACAAATCTTAGCTAATAACAAACATGCCCTAATATCTTGTACGGCACAAATCTCGTAATGATTAAGTCAGGGTTTCTGCCTCTGACGTTACAATCCTGGGAAAATTCAAACTACTACTACTCAGTACTTTTTTCTGATGCCTGAGGTTAAATAATTTCTATAGAGGGTTACTGAAACCAATTTGAAAGCTGCAAAATACAATTCCAGGTACGCCTTTGATTAAAAATTAAAGTCTATTTTGCATAATATGTGTCCTTTAATGAAAGAATATACAGGCCAAAGGGACAGTATGGTCATCTGTGATTGGTCAGGGAGAGAGTTACAGAAATTATTATTATTATCATCTTAGGGTGCGTTCAGACTTAAAAAAAAACAAAAAAAAAACATCAAAATTGTGATTAAACTGTAGAGCAAAACTTGGACCAAGCTAGGACTAAATCTGGGACCAAATTCAGTCTACATAAGGACCAAATGTGACAAGTGTGAACGCACCCTTAGATCCAGATAATGCACGTACAGTCCACCAACACATTTAGAATGACTGTAAACAGAATATTTATTGTCCAAAGCGTGATTACAATGTTAAGAAACACAGAAGCCAAAATGTACAAGTAATGCTCAAAATTAAAATATGAAGTCTGTTTAATAAACCCCAAATTCTGCACTAGAATTACAGAGATAGAGCCTCACCTCCATGTCCATGGCTGCCACATCTGTAACATTTAGCCCCAGGCAGCCGTGGCAACCCATCTTAAAGGTCCTATATTATGCAAAAGTGACTCTTGTGAGCTTGAAGTGTTATAATGCTGTTACCGCATCATAAACATACCTCGATTTGTGTTTTGTTTCATTCATACATGTTTGAGTAACCCTTTATTATTACTCTGTCTACATCTCCAAAGCTCAAAATGCTCTGTTCCACCTTGTGATGTCATGAAGTGGTAGTTTTCAAATTATCAGCTCCTTTTACATTTAGTTCAATAGAGATTGGCAATTCCAGGGCTGAAATTATCCAAATGATTGAAGTGAAGGTGAAAGTTTTAAAACTCAGTGGAGCACTTCCTGCATTACTAGATGACATCACAAGGTGGAACAGAGTGTTTTCAGTTTGAGAGAAGAATTCAGAATAAATATTCAGGAGTTAAACACGTGTGGATGAAACAAAACAGAACTCCAGGTCTGCTTTTGATGAGGAAACAACATTATAACATAGATCAGGAAATAGTGTAATATGGGCCCTTTAAAGTGTATCTCTAATTAGTATTTTGTTTGGTGGTGGGATAATAATTGTATTAAATATTTGTAGTAATAGTTTTACACCAAACAAGTGTGTGAATAAAAAGTAGACTTCACAAAAATAAAATAACAGGAATTTGTGCTGATTTCTAAAACATGTTGATGACATCACAAGAATAATTCCACCATATAACTCACATGTACGCGTAAGGAACACATTTCTGACTTTTTAAACATCATTTCAACGTCATTTAACAGAATTAAAATATTTACATATATTTATATGTTTTATGTTAATATCTATTGTGTAAATTAGACTATTGCAGGAAGTAAAATTATAAACCATAACATGACTAAACTGGGGGTAAAAGTGGTCAAAATGTGTAGCACAATCTGAAATACAATGACCTGACCTGCACTTTAAAGTGTTAGATTTAAATTCAAGGGTTTACTCCAATCACAGCAGACCATCCCTTTGGCTTGTAGGTGCATTTAAGGGCCCATATTACACTATTTTCTGATGTTGTAATGTTGTTACCTCATCAAAAACAAACCTGGAGTTGTGTTTATTTCATTCACACATTTGAGTAAGACTTTATTATTAGTCTGTTTACATCTCCAATGCACCAAATGCTCTGTTCCACCTTGTGATGTCATGTAGTGGTAGTTTTCAAGTTAACAGCTGCTTTTTACTTTTTGGTCAGTAGAGATTGGCAATTCCAGGCCTGAAATTATCCAAATAATTCTAGTAAAAGTGTATGGAGTTTTAAAACTCAGTGGAGCACTTCCTGCATTACCACATGACATCACAAGGTGGAGCAGAGTGTTTTCTGTTTGAGAGAATTTGCGTGTTAAACGCCAAGTAATAACATAACATAGATCACGAAAGAGCATAATATGGGCACTTTAACCTTATAATACTATGAATAATATAACTGTATAATATAATTCTTTTTCATGCCATAGATCTTGTACATATTAAGTTTTAGTTAAAGTTTAAGATGACTTCTGTTCTGTGAAAATAACATATTTACTGTGAAATGTTGCATTGATGTATTTGTGGAATTTTAGGAGCACAGCGAGCGAAAGCCAAGACCAAAAAAAAGCATTGGTGGAGGCCGTGGGTTGACCATGCGTCCAGTAGGTTTCCTCTTCTCTAATTGGCCCTTGTGTCCTTGACCAGAAAGCTCCGGATTCCCACACTGGCCTAGGGCTCTGAAGGCACCACCGAGACAGGCATTAGTCATTTTCTGTTTCTGTTTAAGGGAATTTTGGTTCGTTCGTTAGTCAGCCTAATCATTTAAATGGTAGAGAGGGAAGGAATGTACAATTCAAACCACAACCAGGCTTCACTAATAACATGATGGTAGGACGGTAATAACATAGTGACAAGAAATAAATGAATACTTTGCAGCTGATGTCATCAACATTCCCGGGGGGGCGATGCTAACTAGAGGCACTGCTCTGTCTGTCTCTCTGTGACTCAAATTAGCATCGTTTTAACACAATCTGACATTAAACAGCTGATTTTGTGCTATTTAATTCCCTCTCAAATAACATTACACTCACAAATTAACTCGCATTAACTAACCAATGATTTTTCAGTTAGTTGCAATTACTTTTTTGTTAAAAATCACCTAAACAGGACAATAAACACTCATATTGATCACAGGCTCCCTAAAAATGTGCAGTTTAAATCAGTTTTGTACTTTTTCTCAAGTTTTCAGATGATCTTTGAGGGTTTTTTTGTGTCTCTATTGTGTCATTATGATAAATGCTGAACATTCCTCCATAGACATACATGTAGAGCCCCCCCATCATGATGTCACTGCAAAGTATCAATAATGCATTGGAGGTGAGTGTTGTGTCTTTGCTAAGGACACAACGACAGAAATCATATTAATATAAAAAGCAGAATGACAGATGTGTAATAATAAAGTATAAATATGTTTTTACTGTAATCCCACTTTAATTCCCATGTTATTACTGTCCTATTACCACATTTTTACTGCGTTGTGATGTAAAGTACTACCAAAAATACATAAAAAATGCAATTCACTAAATTCAGTCTTCATATTTTAATCTCTGTCATTACTCACAGTAGCAAGAAAAAACACATTTTCCAATATATTTTATGTATTCTTCTTATTCATTTTATGCAGATTTCTAGATACAGTTTGAGTAAGAGACCGTATTAGTAAATATAAAGTGATTTATTTATTTTTTTTACTGAGTTGCCTTAAACAGATATTGGACCACTGGAAAATACTACTTCCCGACGGTGTGTACCTGCTTTTGCCTGACGAGCCTCCAGTCAAGAATCCGTATCATCATCACTATCACGCAAAGACATGAATAAGACTAAACTTTACTCTACATAAAGCTTAGAGACTTGATTCATTCTTTGCCTGCAGACATGAGCAACCAACAGACGTAAAAACATGCATTTGAAAGTTAATGTATTGTGAATTCAACCAGGAATGAGGAAATTTGGTGCGTAGACCCTGGCAGGAAGAGTGTGGTCGATTTGCAAGTGAAATTATTTTTGCGGTGCTGAAGAGGAAATGGAGAAGCTTGAGGAGGCAGTTGATTTTGCTGCTGCGGTGAACAGGGGAAAGAGAGTGCATTCACTTTGTATTTTATAAACTGAATGAAAAGTTAATGATTTAGAGGCAAAGGTAGCAAGAGATAGTGAGGTTGAGGAAGTTGTTGGTACTGCTGCTGCGTTGAAAATTAAGTGGATATTGGTGTCGATCCTGGACATTTTGCTGGATCGGATATTGGTTTCCAGATAACGGTTCAGTTGATATCCTGAATCCGTGTATCATTCATTCATTCTTTTTTCAATATAAAACCAAAAATAAGAAAACGAAAAAACAGTTTTCTTCATTATTTGTCTCCAAAACCAAAATGAAAAAGCAGATAACGATTTGTTTTTTCAGTTTTCTATTTTTTGTTTAAATGAATAATGGAGAAAAAAAAAACGGATAATGGCATTTCCATGATTTAAACTGCGATGCCGGACTTTTGAACTGCATAACTGAGTAAACCAGGACTGAATCAGTACTCAATCAGGACTGAAACAGGACGAAACCAGGACTAAATAGCTTTCAGTCCTGGTCTGGTCTCAGTCTCAGTTCTGGTCTCAGTCTCGTTCTGGTCCCAGTCCTGGACTCAGTCCTGGTCTGGTCCCGGTCTAAGTCCTGGTCACAGTCCCTGTCTGGTTCCGGTCTGGTCCCGGACCAGGTTTAGTCCTGGTTCAGTCAGTATGCAGCGCAAAAGTCTGGCATCGCAGTTTAAGTCACGGAAATGGGAAACTGCTGTTATCCATTTTTTACATTATTCGTTTAAACACAAAATCGAAAATTGAGAAAATGAATCGTTATCTGTTTTTTCATTTTGGTTTTGGAGACAAATAATGAAGAAAACTGTTGTTTTTCTGTTTTCTTATTTTTGGTTTTATATTGAAAAATGAATGAAAGAATGATACATGGATTACCCTGATTGGTCATATAAATTGCTGTAATATGACTATTACTGTTCATAGATGGTCCATAAATGCTAGATTGATATGTTTAATGTCATACTATGGACCCTCCACCAGGAAAGTTGCGCAGTGCATCATCTGTATAAAGGAAATAAATGCTGATTTCAGTCTCTGCACTGGTATCGATGGATATCGGCAGGTACTTACAGCTAGTATCGAAACTGATATCATAACTGAAAAAGCTGGATCGGTGCATTCTTAGATTGTAGCAAAAATGTGTATTTGTTGAGAGGTAAAGACAGTAGGCTGTGATTGGCTGATAATAAAAGGAAGTGGGGATAAGAAAGAAGTAGAATATTCCTGTTTGAATTTACAAATCAAATTAATTATTTTAGACAAGGCCAGGCAATTAATCAAATTTTAATTGAGAATGTGATTTCAAATGGTCAGTGATGGACTAATCTACAAGACCTGTAGCTGTCTGCGTGGTTTGAACTCATGTCTCTAGCTCACCCCCCACATCACATTTTGAAATTATTTCTCCATTTCATCTTTGTCATTTGGTCATCCCCCCCAGCCCCTCCCCGCTGTGTGCACTTCTGTTCAAGGACATAAGCCAGCCTCCATTGCTTCAGTATCATACGTAGTCCTGGTCTCACTTGCTCTGTCTGTAGCTTTCTATATGAGCTAAAACACTACATTTGTTTTCAGTCGTACAGTCTGCTAACAACCCACTGACGTTTTCACTGCCACACTGCAAAAAAGCAAGATTTGAAATGTTTTGAATGCAGAATTTCAGTCTTGAGTTGAATAGTTTTGGTAATTTAGATCGATTTACTTCATCAGAATATATGACCTGATCTGTTTCAAGTTATTTCTAGTGGCACCAGTGGCGTAGTATTTAGTGTTTAAACCTCGCAGCGAGAAGATCCCAGGTTCAATATCATGAAATGTTTGGGGTCTTTCTTTGCCTTTGCGTGTTCTTTAAGATCAAATCTCAGTAAAACAATGGTCGTTAAAGCCCACCGTGTAACTTTCTATCCAAAAATAGACTCAAACTTAAATGTCAATGCATGCCTTTTTCATTTTGGTTGCGATTATTGCGCTGAAAAACATGCATCCTGACCGTGAGCGGGCTTGCATCTTCCCAAACCTGACTCGTACTGGGCTTGCTTGTTTTCTCCTGCTTGTTTTCATGGAAATGTTGTTCCTTTGGCCTTAATATTCCACAGTATAGCATAAAACTCTGTCGAATTTCTGTCGAATCATGACGGTCACAAACCATAGCACCTCCAGAAAGTTACACGGTGTTGCTTTAGATTAAGGTTGAATATAAAGTCTATACATATAACTGACTGACTAATTTCCAAGATGTTTTATTCGTGTAAAAATGTAGCTTGAAATACGGAAAATATACGTCCAGAAATATCTTGAAACATGTCAAATAAAAATACATGTAAAACTGTTCAACTCAACATTATCATTCTGAATACAAGTCATTTTAACTCCTTCTTTTTTGCAGTGAATTTCTAACATTTTTAAAACTTGTATAATATAAAAGTGTGTTAGTTTGTGTTTCTAGTTTGTGCTTCTAATGCTTCTTCTGTGCAGTAGTCTGGTTTAAAGTGTGGGTTTTGGTTGTGTTAATTGGATTGTGTGTGGCTGCGCTTGTCTCAGTGGTGAGAAGTGGAGACTATTATTTATTTGAGACGGACAGTGAAGAGGAGGAAGAGGAGGATGACAAAAAGGACGAAGAGCCGCCGAAGAAGTCTGCCTTTCAGGTAAACTATGTGTAAAGCTCAGATATGTGTGAGGACAGAGGTGGGTAGTACTCAGTTATGTTTACTTGAGTAACTTTTTGAAGAAATTGTACTTTTTAAGGTACTTTCTTGCAACATACTTTTACTCCTACCTGTGTAATATTTTTTATTGAAGTAACAGTACTCTTGCTTGAGTAAAAGTTGTGGTTCGTCTTCCCGGTGTGTGTAAATGTACAAGTGACAAAAGCTTTACGTGACAATATGAAATGATTTGAACATTAGTCTTTGTTGCGGCGCTCCTTCAGATCTGATTTAGACTACGTTCAGACTGCAGGGCTTAATGCTCAATAAGGATTTTTTTGCGAAATCAGATTTTTTTGCGAGGTCATTCACATTTCTAATTAAATGCAACTTGTATGTGATCTCCAGTGTGAACTTTAAACACCCCAAAAGTGTCCCGCATGTGCATTGGAGGACACGACGACGTCACACTCAGCGAGGGTGCTCAGGGTTCATGGAAGTCGCCTAAACACTGCGCTTGTCTCCCAAAATTCGGTCCAGTTCTTCGTAAAATGGACAGGTTACACGCATAGTTTGTTTGAGTCTTTAACCTCCTTGTATTTGACTCGCAGGCTCTTTATTGTGTGTTAACATTGGAGCTAGGATTGCCTGTAGCTGTGATGGGACATTTCTCTGACAATCATTTCAAAAACCGCCCGGTTCTGATGAGACTCCTCCAATTTGACCTGAATACAGTGAGCCCTCCAAATATTAATGAACTCGCCAACCTCGCTTTCCCTCCATTTAGATTCTGAGCCTGATGTGTAGGTGGAATGAATGTGACCTGACCGTTCAGACTGAAGTCACATGTCAAAAGATCGGATATGTATCGGTTTTAGGAGCACATATGGGTCCGGTCAAGCGGTAACGGAGGGGCAGATTTTTTACATTCAAATGTCTCTTATTCAGAAACTAGAGGGACTATTGAAATAAGTAAAGTATCAGAATGTAGGAAAGAGTTAACACTCCAACAGGGTAAAGTTAAACCTGTGATATTCTTTCAAGTTGTTGACAAAAAATGTTAAAACTCATGTTGGTAACGGAGGGAATGAAATATGCAGTACTTTTCGGGCAATAAATACAAACAGTGATAACTAGTGGTTCTCACTTACATATCCTTAACAAACTGGTTTGAATATTTGCTTCATATAGTTTTCTACCATATGGTACAAGATTAGGTTGAAAAACCTCTTACTTTTTGAGTAATGAGATTTTTTATTAAGAAAGGTCATGGTAACGGAGGGAAAAGTAACGGAGGGAAAATTGTGCAAACAAGTAGAAGGTGCATGATTTTACATCATTTGTCAACTTTTTTCTTCTGAATACTTTAATATTACTTCAAAATGAAAGGAAACTATTTCTATAAAATATATCAGTCCTTCCAAGCAAATTTTTATCATTTTAAATACTTTTTTTTTTTTTGAAAAATCATGTACCTTCATCAACAGTTCAAAGATGGAATAACACAAGATATGATGAAATACATCCATTTATTTACATGATTTGCAGGTCTTTGAAATTTGGGAAATAATTTTTGTTCCATGTTGCATACATGGTCTGTTTAAAACGTATGTAACTTTAGAACCAAAAATGGTACAGAAAAAAGGTAAACAGTTTCATAAACTAGAGTACATATGTATCTGTTGAATACATTTTTATATCAGATGCATTAACTTGAATTTTTGGCCTTGCTGTATACTTCTGCTTGACCGGGCCCGCATTTATACGCGCTGAATACATCAACAATAAATATTTCTCCACAATTTTTTTGAGTTGGAAGTGTTACAAAAATTAGTCACATTAGTATTTGGTTATGATGATCAGGCAATGGCTGTGCTGAGGCCCCTGCAGCGAGGAGGTCTGCGCCGGTCCTTTCGCCTGTGATCACTCGACGGTCTACGTGAGCGTCTGGGTCTGTCCCGACACTCAGTCATGGTTTAGCCCTGGTTTGGTCTTGTTGAAGTCCTGGTTCAGTCCTGGACCCTCATGCCACAGGTCACTATAGGACAGTACTGGAGATATCAGTGTTTCCTGCAGTATTTTATAGTTAGGGCGGCCGACCTTGACAACAATTGCCCCTCACCTTGACTATGTCCCTCCGAACCACGTGAATCATCGCAAAACTACGGTCATGTATTCTGTATAATAAGATGCTTTTATAACCATAATATAGTTATTGAGAAGTGGATTGTTTCAGACGGAGCACTACTGAAGGCCTTGGTGTGAAATGCACAGTCCACCACTGTATTTCTTTGACATGAAAGGACACATGGAGTCAACACAATGAGCACCAAGTAGCGTTTTTACTGTAGATCTGCTTGGTGTGAGCTTACTCAACACCTCACCCACTTTGCCAAGATATGTAGACAATCAATTATAAACAAAAATTGACAAATAAGTTTGTAAATAAATGTGACAAGTCTAATGTCAGTCCAACTCTTTCCAAAAACTGCAGGAAGTACATGGTTCTCCTGCACACTACAGACTTTACACTATGGTACAGCTACCGTAATCTAAAGTCTAGTTTTTGCATCTGGTGGAACAAGGAGGAGGGTAGGATTTAGTGGAAGGTTCAAGGCATCCGGGGATGCCTGAACTTCGACGGCAAAATGCACTGGATCTTGTCATTGCTTATGCGTCTGAGACATGCAGTGTTCACTGCGGTTGCCTTTGGTACTTTTGCAGATTCAAGGCAAATGGGAGGAAGCTTCACAATTTCTTGCTTAGCTTTTTCCTTACCTAACATAGTTACATTTGTACGAGCGAACATGAAGGGCTGTCGTGCCGGAAGCGTTTTTGGAGGCACAGGCAGGTTGGGCAGGTGAGTGAAGTTTATGACAATGTTTTTTTACGATCTGATTCTCTAACTTGACGTCGTATGTTTGATTCTATTTTCCAAACAGCTTTTTCAGACAATTTACCCTCGTTCTTCCATCTTTCCGTGTATGGAAACAGTCTGTTGTCTTGAGTGTCGTGTCTGTGTTTCTCGGCAAGAAGAGGGAGCACAATGCGATTGTCAGCTCGTGCTTGCTGGATTTCCCGCTCCACATATTCCTCATATGGATCATTTTCCGCAGACCGACTGAGAGCTTCATTCTCTTCAGCCTGCAGCTTCCTGCGCTTAGCCAACAAAGGTACATGTGGAGCAGTTGTGCATTGGCCTCCATGTCCTCTCTGTCCTTGAGTCTTCTTTGCCTTCTCACGCTCCACTTCAAGGATGGCTTTGCGGCGGAGAGTTTCTTTGTTATAGTCAATAACAGCCTGGTTTTGGTGCTGCATCTTCTTTTCTCTCTCCAGCTGGTACCTGGTGACTGCTTCGTGTTGTGGCAGTCTTCTCCCCTTGTACTCCCACACACTCAATCTTTCGGCCCTCTCTTGCTCTTGCTGTTGTTTTTTGACCTGGAGCAGGACCCTGTTATCTTTGTCCACTTTGGTGGCCAAAACAGCACTTCGGAAGTCCCTGAATCTACCCTGGGCCCTCAGAATCTTCACTCGGGTGTCTTCAACGATCTTCTGTTTCTCTGAAGGAGAAGGAGGTTGAAAAGTGAGTGAAGTGCGCACAACTTCCCCTCTACCAACCTCAGGGAATTTTCTCCGACCACTGTCTGATAATTTCAAGGGGATGCTTGGGGCTAAAACACCAAATGTGCATTTGCAGTCCTTGGTAGACATTTTCCTGCGAAAAGATCTGCAAATCCAAATCTTCAAGTGACTGAGTACAGAGACTCAGCCACCTTTACAATCTGACTTTTTGAAGTCTTTGTGATATTACAAAGCAATGGAAGCATTAAAGTAGGTGTTACCATGGAAACAAAGAATGAATTATTTTGAATTATTATACCATGACGACGAGCTGTTTATTATGGATTCTTGTGTCTTACGTCATGTGGCACCTGATTTTCCCAGCGGTCTCTCACCCAAGCACCAACCAGGCCCAGCCCTGCTGAGCTTCTGAGATCTGACAACATCAGGCTTTGACAAGTCCGTATGATGCTATTATGCATTTCAGATCTATATAAAAGCAAATAAGAGAAAAAAATAGATATATATCTGATTATTATACACTGTTTTAAACAACATATATGACATTATCTGTTTATATTAAATAGTTTAGACATTATTAAATAATGATTAAATAATAGTCACAGTTGCACTGATTAAGTAAAAAGTAAAAAAGGTATGTTTTTACAAATTAAGCAGTGGATCTTACCTGGACGACTGACACAGTTACACAGATATAAGGCCACATGGGAATATAAAAAAGTAGTATGATTAAATGAAGTCACATTTTAAAAATCATATCCTCTTGTCTAAATATAGAGTGTTTTTTAATTCTCACCGTGGTTTCGGAATTGATATTGATTTGTATATCAAGTCCATTCCTTAGTATTAGGGTGCGCTCACACTAGAACCGTCCCTAAAGCGTGGTACGTTTGTCCAGTAAAACCTTACAAAATAAAAGGTTTTTCTTTTTTTGCACATGGGTCCAGTCAAGCGGTAACGGAGAGAAACGGGGCAGATTTTTTACATTCAAATGTCTCTTATTCAGAAACTAGAGGGACTATTGAAATAAGTAAAGTATCAGAATGTAGGAAAGAGTTACACTCCAACAGGGTAAGTTAAACCTGTGATATTCTTTCAAGTTGTTGACAAAAAATGTAAAAACTCATGTTGGTAACGGAGGGAATGAAATATGCAGTACTTTTCGGGCAATAAATACAAACAGTGATAACTAGTGGTTCTCACTTACATATCCTTAACAAACTGGTTTGAATATTTGCTTCATATAGTTTTCTACCATATGGTACAAGATTAGGTTGAAAAACCTCTTACTTTTTGAGTAATGAGATTTTTTATTAAGAAAGGTCATGGTAACGGAGGGAAAAGTAACGGAGGGAAAATTGTGCAAACAAGTAGAAGGTGCATGATTTTACATAATTTGTTGCTTTTTTCTTCTGAATACTTTAATATTACTTCAAAATGAAAGGAAACTATTTCTATAAAATATATCAGTCCTTCCAAGCAAATTTTTATCATTTTAAATACATAAAAAAAAAAAAATCATGTACCTTCATCAACAGTTCAAAGATCGAATAACACAATATGATGAAATACATCAATTTATTTACATGATTTACAGGTCTTTGAAATTTGGGAAATAATTTTTGTTCCATGTTTCATACATGGTCTGTTTAAAACGTATGTAACTTTAGAACCAAAAATGGTACAGAAAAAAGGTAAACGGTTTCATAAACTAGAGTACATATGTATCTGTTGAATACATTTTTATATCAGATGCATTAACTTGAATTTTTGGCCTTGCTGTATACTTCTGCTTGACTGGGCCCACATTCAAGTGTCCGGGGTCGCAATTGAAAAAAATTGGATTTGTGTCATTCAGACTTTCATTAAACAACAGATACAGGTCACATAGCAGTGAAAAAATGGGATTTGGGTCACTTCGGCTGCAGTCTGAACTTAGTCTAAGTCTCATTTTGGTCTCTGCCCTTTGAAAACACCAGATTTTGTGCATTATTTAATTATTAATGTTTTGTTCTTCCAATTACTTATCAGATTTTATGTCTTCTTGAGTAGTAGTTTCCCCAAATACTTTTTTTACTCTCACTTGAATAACTCTTGGACCACGACTTTATACTTCTACTTGAGTAATATTACTTTGAAGTAACTTTACCTTTACTTGAGTACAATATTTGGTTACTCTATCCACCTCTGTGTGTTAAATATCTATCAGTACTAGAATTTGTATTTTCAACTATACTGATTACAAAAGCCTCTTCTGCTCTCTACATGTTTTGTTTTATTTTACCTCTTTTATTGTTCTACAGATGATTATTGCATTGTTCTATTCAAGTGTTTAATACTCTTAACTTTGTCTCTGTTTATAATCACAGTACGAAAAGAAGTTTTACAGATTGTTATAAATGCAATGACAGTTGTTTTCCGGTGTATTGTCCCGATATCTTTACTTTTTAATATGTTGTTTTTTGCAAATACTGTATCACATTTTAAAGCGATAAAAGGTAACATGGTGATCTAAATATGCTGTGTTAACATTTAAAGAGCCTATATGACACTGTTTTCTGATCTGTTATAATGTTGTTTCCTCATCACAAACAGACCTGGAGTTGTGTTTTGTTTCATTCACACATGTTTAACACACAAACCTGCATATTAAGGCTGAGTTCTTCTCTCAGACTGAAAACAGGAAGTCCCCCACTGTGTTTTAAACCCTTTACACCCTCTCTAGAATCATCTGGATAATTTCAGGCCTGGAATTAGATAAAGATAACTGTTAACTTGAAAACTACTACTGCATGAACTCAAAAGGTGGAACAGAGAATTTTGAGCTTTAGAGATGTAGACAGTCTAATAATAAAGGGTAACTCAAACATGTGTGAATGAGGCCCGTTTACACGTACACAGGTATTTTTAAAAATGGAGACATTTCCCTTCGTTTGTACCCATCTTTTACACGCAAATGGCAAATTCACCTCTGAAAACAAATCTTTCTAAAAACTCAGACTAGAGTGGAGATTCTGGAAAACTACAGTTTGGCGTTAGTGTGTAAAGTGAGATAAACAAAGTTTTAGGAGCTGACATGTGACCAGTGTTTATCTTTTGCCCTGATGATGATCATGGAGAATCAGAGCAGCAGTCACGTTTCCTCTGGTGAAACACTTTTCATGTGTTTGCATTTGCACACACAGCTGATGAATCAGATCAATGACCAGAGACGAACGAGGCTCAGAGACGAGGCTCAGAGGTCAGCAATTTTGCCACTTCTTTAACAGATCTGTGGAGAGGCGAGCCCGCTCAGTAATGCACATTTTTCAAGGTATTTTTGAGTAAAACTTACAACTGTAATGAAATAAATGCTACAGGTTTGAATCTAATTCAGGTGCCTCCCTGAGACTTGGTGTAGTTATGACGGCGCTCGATGGCATATTTATGTGGGTTGATGTAGACAAAAACATTTTTGAAAACAATGCTATGTCCACGATGTTATTTTGGAAAACAGAGAGAGGGAAATATTCGTTTCTCAACATACCCAGCTATGTGTAAACGTAGCCTGAAACAAACACAACTCCAAATATGTTTTTGATGACATAACATTATAACCTGACGAAAGACAGCAGCCAATTTTGCACAATATCGGACCTTTACTAGAAGTGTAATACCCCCTCTTTTAAAAACATACTCTGTTTTTTTTGTATAATTACCTTTGTAGCTAACTAACTAACTAACACACTAATGAAGTAACTGTGTTTTTCTCCTGTCACTTGAAGCGTGCGATTGGGAAGTTTGTGTCTGCGGTCATAGCTTTGCCCAAGTCTATCATAAAGCTGCCTAAAACTGTACTGCAGTATGTAATGAGGATAGGAAAGGTACTACATGCATGGAGTTTGTCTGCATGCCAACCAGCTAATGCATGCGCTCGTATGAAGAAGAAAACTACTACAAATACTACTACAACTACCACTACTGCTACTACTAAACATAATAACATTTGGCTTGTCATGGAAATGCTTACATACGGGTAACTGCATGGTAGGAATGGATTCTGTATGTTTAGCTATCATTCCGACATACCACCACTCTGACATTGACGTCTAATTGTCACAGTGGCAGCATTTTTAGAGTTTTTACACTTTTTTTTTTCAACATGTTCGCCATTCTGACACACAAGATAATTATTCAATTGAGGTGGTGGTCTTTTCAGGACAATATTTGTAGTTTTAGTTCTGATTTTAGTCCTGATTTTGTTCCTGGTTTAGACCTGGTTTTAGTCCTGGTTTAGACTTGGGTTTAGTCCTGGTTTAGACTTGGGTTTAGTCCTGGTTTACTCCTGGTTTAGACCTGGTGTAGACCTGGTTTTAGTCCTGGCTTAGTCCTGATTTAGACTTGGGTTTAGTCCTGGTTTAGTCCTGGTTTAGACCTGGTTTTAGTCCTGGTTTAGACTTGGTTTTGACCTGGTTTAGACCTGGTTTTAGTCCAGTTTAGACCTGGTTTAGACCAGGTTTTAGTCCTGGTTTTAGTTCTGGTTTAGACCAGGTTTAGACTTGGTTTTAGACCTGAATTAGTCCTGGGTTTAGTTCTGGTTTTGCCCTGGGTTTAGTTTTGGTTTAGTCCTGGGTTTATTTTTGGTTTTTAGTCCTAGTTTAGTCCTGGTTTAGTCCTGGTTTAGTCCTGGTTTAGAGGGACAGCCAGCGTATACAAGACCAAAAAATAACTCTCCAAACTATGAATAGGTTGTCAGAATGGCGACATAAAAGGTGTCGGAATGGGGGCATGTCGGAATGGAGGGTTGTCGGAATGACTGAATGCCGGGGTGGGAATCTGTCGGAGTGATGGTATGTCGGAATTTTTATTCTGTATGAAATAAAAATATATTTCAACTTAAAAATACATCTCTAGATACTTGAAAGTTACATTCAGAACATTAAAGTTTGGTTCAGTTCGTGACAGTGAATTTATGCTGTGAGTCTGTGCACTAAGTAAGTTTTCTGGTCTAACTGAACATATCTATCTATTGTTTTGTTGTTTTTATTACTCAAGAACAGACCGGCCCTAGTTACAGACCTTCCACCAGAAAAGTTACATAGTGCACCTTTTAGCTTATAACGTCCAAGCAGGTTTACCCCCATTGCCTGCTGATACACTTCTTGCATCTAACTTTTTGTCCCTCTTCAGTTCCTGTACCACGCCTGGATCACAGACCCGAAAGCAGCGCTGAAGGCTCGGAGCAAAGAGAAAAGAAAGTTCTGGAAAAAATACACCAAAGGGGTCCGGAACAGGAAGGCCAAGAAAGAGAGTAAGTGCAAGCTGCCACGATGTATCACCCAAACATGGAACTATGACATGAAGCAAAGATGGCGGTGCATTTTTTTTCTGCAGTTATTTGATTTTCTTTTTGGGGGCATTTGTGTCCAGTCTTCACAGTTGTGAAGTTTGTTTAAATGTAAAATTTTCAATGGTACAGAAGTAATGGTGCGATCGACCGACATGATACACACAGGACAGAGGCTCTTTCTGCAGGAGACATGCGCAGTAGAGTGAAGTGACAGTGGTACAGGAGGGACAGGAGCAGCAGATACTGACACACAAGACCTCCCAGGGATGTTAGTGTGTACATTTTAATATATAAGTTGCAATGGAGTACAAGTCACAGGAAACACCCAAACCATGAAAAAAGTGTGACTTATAGACCAAAAAAATACGGTACTATATTATATTATATTTCAGAGTACAAACACATGGCTGAAGGGGCGGAGTTTGAAGTGTTAGACCAATCACAGTGTTCCTTATGTCCTCACTCGGTCGGGTTTAGGTGTTTAGTCCCACTTTAATCTTACCAAACTAACTTTTACATGATTTAAAACATGTAAAATGCTAAATGTCATAGCTATCTATATAACCGCCTCTAATCAAGATTGCATCACGACAGAGGGGGGAGGGTCTTATTCAGGTCTCGTTATAGTTCCATGTAGGCCTGTTACAGTCATTACTCTATCAACTTATCGTTCAATACATGAAAGATGGAACAGTATATTTGGGGCTCAGTATTTATGCACTTTTTTTTTTTTGCAACACAATAGTGGGGAGATTTTTGAAATTTGATGTAATAAAATTTCAGCAGTAGACTTCTATGGCTAATTATTGGATCATTCTGTTGCAACAGCTTATAAACATCGAAAACTACATATCCCATGATTCATTTCAGCGCAGACAACATGACGCGATATGTTTTTTACTTGAATTCTTGGGATTATGATGGAAATAATTCACACCAAAATCTTGTCAAGGTCGTTTAAAAGCAAAAGAGTGTTCCATCTACAATTATAATAGCCTCTTTTTAAATATGGTAATAAATATCGTTTATCGTAATAAGTAAGTCACCCATAGCGTTCGGTTCCAGTCAAATAAAGCTCACAGACGCTTGTAGTTTCGATATTAGGAACAGGAATTTATTTACAAACAAAATAGTGAAATAAAAACACCAGGAACATGTAGAGCAGGCGAATACGAACATTTTAAGACCAAAATAACGAGCAGTTGCAGAAAGAGGGGCGACAACTAGGAGGTGAGCTTTGTTCATTTATATATTCAGTCTATGGTTGCTCTTTATTTTGTGTCAGTGGCATAAAGTGGTTCCAATATTATAATTTATCGCAAAATGTCTCTGTAGCGATGTATCATGCTTCAAAGTGTGTTATCGTGACAGGCCTAGCTTCATGAAAACCTTTTATCTGAACATGTTTTTATATTTTCAAACTGCAGCGGGTCACGTGACTATAGACCTGGGCGAGCTCCTACACAACCCACAAACCGACGACGAGAACAAAGAAACAGATGGACCAGGTGGGTGTCAATATGCCTTAGTTTGGGTCAGTTGAATGAAATAAAAATGACATTGAAATTATTCTTTTAACTTACATGTGGAGAGAGGGGTGGGGAGTTGGGGTGTTGTTGGTTTGCATAATACCTTACCTTTCTGAAAAAATCTCCCCTTTCTCTCCTCAGATAACATCATAAAGCGTGTGTTCAACATCATTAAGTTCACGTGGGTGCTGTTCCAGACCACCGTGGACAGTTTCACTCGCTGGATGAACGAAATGTGCAGAGAATACATCGACATCTCCACTGTGCTGAGGATAGAGAGGTGTATGCTGACCAGGGAAGTCAAAAAGGCAAGTACAAACAGAGGGGTGTAGACTCAAAAGGGGAGAAAAGGTATGAAAGGATAGCACATTTAAAGCTCCTATATTACGCAAAATTGACTCTTGTGAGATTTAAGCCATTTTAGAATGTTGTTACATCCTCAAAAACAGACCTGGAGTTGTGTTTTGTTTCGTTCACACATGTTTGAGTGATCCTTTATTAGTTGTTTACACCTCCACCTTGTGATGTCATGAAGCGTTAGTTTTCAACAGCTACCTTTTACCTTTTTTTCAGTATAAATTAGTTCCTGGGTTAGAATTATCCAACAGATTTTAGTGAAAGTGTATGGAGTTTAAAAACACACTTCCTGTATTATCATGTGACATCACTAAGTGTTTTCTATTTGAGAGAAGAACGCAGCCTAACTGTGCAGGATTTGTGTGCTAAACATTTGTGAATGAAACAAAACACAACTCCGGGTCTGTTTGTGATGAGGAAACAACATTATAATATAGATCAGAAAATAGTGTAATATGAGCACTTTAAAAATAACCACAGGTGCCGAAGGTGCGCTACACAGGCTCAACCTGATAAAACCAAACATGCAAAATGAAGATGAAACCAGAGGTGAGTAGAGTAGCCAGAAATTGTAGTCAAGTAAGATTAGCAAAATATTTGTGGAAACGACTACTCAAGTAAGAGCAACTTAAAGAATTTGAAAGACAACATAAAATAATCTGGTATTTTCAAAGGATAGGCACAAAAAGAGAAAGACTAAATCATATCTGCGGTGCACAAGAAACACAAAACGTCAAAATAATTTCATATTCAAAAAGAAAAGCTGAAACTGACTCAAGTAAAAGTACACATTAAAAGTGTTCGATCCCCGTGTCGCCTGGGCTTTTCTGTGTGTACATGCTACAGGTCTCCAGGAAGAACAGTTGATAGCTAAGGTCAGTTAAATAAATTAATCAATGAAACTGCCCAGGGACGACAGGTGGAAATTAGCACTGGTGCTACAACTTGGTACAATGCATCTCTCCTGTTAAGGTTAATGTAAAAATTGTGCGCTGTCCCTGCCTCATTAAATAAAATAAATAAATAAATAAAATTACTTGAGTAAAAAGTATGCAGTCTGAAAACTACTCTGAAAAGTACAATTTTACAATCTTTAAAAGGTTACTAAAGTAAATATAAGTGAGTGCATATGAGTTTGTGCATTAGAGTGATTGATAAGTTTGTGTGTTAGGGTAACGTCCCGACCAGAGAGAGTATCCACGTGTACTACCAGAAGGCCATGAGGCTGAACCTGTCCCGGGAGTCTAGTCTGGACCAGCTCAGTGAGGACGAGTCCACCTCCGGCTCTGGGAGGGTCAGGAGGAGGAGGGCCGGCTTCAGGATACAGAGCCAGGACTCCACAGCCTCCAGGGACTCCATGTCCAGGTACTGCTCCCTGGGATCAGTGGGTCTGTGGTGAAGAACAGGGTGTGGTTGAAGGAATTAAAACATATTTCAGTGTTTTAGAGGAATATTTATGCTACTGTAAACACCTGAGCACTGTTTAGATTCCAAAAAAAAACTTTCCAATCATTATTTCAGGGCTCTAAACAGCTTAGTTTAGCCGAGTTTACTTAATGGATGGGCCGACCCTGCAAATTATTTACAGTAGATGTTGTGTCTTTGATGATTGGTCTCAAATGTTCTCTGGGTTGAAGTGTTTTCAAAAGTAGAATTTATTTCAGTGCAATAACAGTATCAGTCCATACCTTCTTGAAAAAATGTCTTCAACATATTATTAGTATTATGTGTAGAAGGTGGTGACAAAAAAGCTTTGTGAGGAGTTTTGAAAACTGAGAACTGTCTTCATTTCAACATGATACTATTGTTCACCATTAATCTAAACATCATGCATTTAGAGCCCGTCATTCTTCATGTTTTGTGTTCATATCATCACGTTTGTACCCTCCCGCCTCTCTCCCTCCTCCTCTTCTCTCACCCTCATCTTCCCCTCCTCTCTCCCTCCTCACCTCCTCCTCTCCTCCATCTCTCACCCCTCAGTGCGTACACAGAGGCCACCATGCTGTTCTCCCGTCAGTCCACTCTGGATGAGTTGGATGGGATGCCAGAGTGCGTCCCTAAAACCAGTGAGCGCGCTCGGCCTAAGCTCAGGAAAATGAGGGTCCTGGACGAAACCAACTCCTCTGCAGACAGCGGCAGCAGCTTTGTGTCCAGGTCTCACCTCACTCCCATTCTCACTGTACACTGTTCTTCACATAAACATTCACTTAACAGCATTTTGTCATAGTCATCCATGATTATTGCACCTGGCAACTAAGCTGGAAATATTTATGAAAAGATAAGATTAGTAATTGAATTAACCTTTAAACAGGGAGGCCAGATGAACACACTTCCAGATGACAAAGTAGGTCTAATATATCTTATTATGTAGAGCTTATTATTTGCTTCAAGTCATTGGTCTCCCCCCCAAAAAACTTTTCACTGGCCCTTTTGTTCACCCCTGGAGGTTCACCACCACTCAAAAGTTGCGACACACTTTTCCATTTTGTTTTCTCACTGAATGCATCAAAACTATTTATGACCACAGATCCAGAATACACAATTTACTCTGGTTATCGCTGGTAAATCTCTGTGACTTCAGATGGGCATGACTGACAGGTGGAGTAGCCAATCAAGCAAAAAAAATCACAGGAGACTGAAAAGCATAGTGGATTTTTGCAGAATCAATGAGCAAAGCACTAAACTCTGTTGATTTGAGGTGAGAGAAAGTAGATTTTATTTGTAAATGACAGGTGACCAATGAGCTCCTTCATTTCACGTGCGTCACTGAAAAAACTGAACGGATTGTATGTCATCATGTTTGGATCTGGCTCGAGATGTGACTGAAGCTACGTTTATATGTTGACTGTCTGAACAGAAGATGCAAAAGTGGCATCGCGTCTTCAGTATTTATTCCGCGTTTAGACGAGTGTTTTCAGGAGGAAATCTGCATGCATAAGGTGACACAAAAGTGTGTGGAATACGAATGTGTATGCATGCCAGGCGGCTACGTGGCGACGCTAGGTGGTGATGCAATTGACGTAAACACGGACGCGACCTGAGCAGATCTGGCCAGAGTTTTGTGTCTTGGGCAGTGTTGATGGATACGCTACGGCGGAGCATATTCAACTTTTCCACTCTGAAGGGTGGTTTCAGATTTTTGTGGCCCCAAAAACGCCATCACCCTCTAAACGAAAGGCACTTCCGATAAAATATTTTGTCATTTTTACCCTCAAGCTTTCTTGTGTAAACATGCCCAGAGGGTGTAGGGACCAAACTGATGTCTCTGTATAAAAAAGAGATGATATATAAGAGCAGATACTGAGATATAAAAATTGTGGCCTTTCCGGCTTGTCAACGCCTGATCTCTTCAGATCTCAGAAGCTCAGCAAAGCTGGGATTTTAAAAAATCCACCCTTTGCTTTGATCACTGGCATTTCTTGACTCTGATAGGGCACAGCTGTGAAGTGCAAAAACCATTTCAGGAGACGTCATCATGACTCCAAGTGTTTGCAATAATGTCAGCAAAGTAAAAGGGGGCTACTGCGAGGATTGGAATATAAAACATAATCAATTTAGTTATTAGTTATTTAGTATCTAGTTATTATTATTTACTCACTTTTTTTTGCTACTTAATTCCAGACTTCTTACTTTATAAACAGTATTTGATGTCTTCTGTATGAACATCAAGTGTAGAAAATTGTCAACATTGAATGAGAAGGTGTGTCCAAACTTTTGACTCGTAGTGTAACCGAAACACAGTTTGAGAACCAGTGCTCAAAAAATAAATCCATTTGACTGTCCATTAACTCCTGACTCCTGGTCCATTGCTTTTGCCTCCACAGTGAAGCCACCCAGTGCGTGACGCTGTTCTCCAGGCAGGGCACCGCAGACACCATCGAGGAGGTGGAGGACGAGCAGGACAAGAGCGCAGACAAGTCCCAGAGCGTGGAGCCGGAGATAGGGGAGAGCCCGTGGGGAGAGGGGGACAGAGAGGAGACCCAGGCCGATGTACAGGACGTCCCACAGGATTCAGAGGGTCCTGGGGCGGCAGAGGTGGAGGAGAAGGGCTGGGACACAGAGGGATGGGAGCCTTTTGTGCCAGAGGCGGAGGGTGCAAAGCAAGAGGAGGAACCGTGTGAGGTGAGAGAGTGCACAGATAACATGTTCTTATAATGACAGGGCAGTAATTGTAATATCAACAAAAAGTGTTTTGATTGTCACACCTCTATAGTAGGGATGTAACGATATTATTAACGATTTATTGTGATATTTTGTGGAGGCTAACAAAATTGTGAATATGCTACTTTTTCCTCTTAAAATGCCTTGACAAGACTTAATTTAGATTTAAACGTGCTTAGAACTGTTATTTTTTCATGTAGTTTGCGCCAAAACGGAGCAAAGGATCATGGTCGATGTAGTTCCCTCTGTTTTTTTAGCTATTGCTGCACCATAACAATGAATTTAAGCAAAGAAACTTGTATGAAATATCATCTCATACTGTGCTGTTGAGCCGCTATACCGCACTGCAGGAGAAAATCCCTAACTGCCCTAGGTTCGATCCAGGTGCTTGTACTTTTATACAGTTTTTTTGTCAATGTACTGCCGATACCAAGAGCCACTACCACTTACAGTATCTTACGTCTTAAGGCTGGTTTATAGTTCTGTCTCAAATCAATGCATAAATGAACAGCGCCCAGTGGCACATGAAAGACAGTCAGAGAGGTGTGGTATTTGCTGTGCCTTGTACGTACACCCTGGCCAAAAAGATACTACGTGTTGAGTTTCCGCTGAACACAAGAGCTGTGACTGGCTGATTGGTTCATCTACAAAGACTTTACAGATAACTGATTAAAACCGCTCAGACCAGTGAATATTTGGCACAGAAATGCCGCATATCAGGCTAATATGATTCATTGTCAAGGTAAATTCAATGAAATAAAAAATTCTAATTAAATAGTATGGATTCCCATGATGCACTTGATGAGGTCTGTGTCAGGACATTAGCTCCCAGCAGAGTCAGGTCCTACGCAGAACTATAAACCAGCCTTTATTTGATGCTCACAGCTGGCCTCTCAGCTGAGCAGTGAGGAGCTGACCATAAAGAGGCACATTAACTGTCCTGCACATTAAGTTCAGATTTAATCAGATGTGACTGTCATATGAACTATGCAAAGGTCTTAAAGGTTTTTATAGCTCACAGAGGAAATCAGGACAGTGCTTGTGTTTACAGGAGGAAGGTAACGTGGCTAAGGGGCGCTGGTGATGCTTTGCTTGTGTGCATTGTGACTTATTGTAGTAGCATATGTGATAAAAGAAAGAAAACACTTAAGAAAACATGGATCCTTAGCAATTAGGACAGAGATGAAGTAGTAAATATTAATGTTACTTCTCTAAATAATAAAAGTATACCTCTCTAGTAGTGCTGGGTATCATTAAGAAGTTGCCGATACGATACACACCTCGATACACATGCCACGATACGATACACTTTTCCATACAGTGCACTTTCTATCTAATATGATTCGATACGATATATTTCAAATCAATTCGATACGGTTCAGTGAAAAACAAAGCCTGAATCATGGCTGTGATACTAAAAGTCTACAAAGTCTACTAACTTTGTGCCAAGTTAATATGAAAAACACCCATTTTACTCATCAAAACTGTGAAAATGTCAACACAATTGTAGTTCTTACACAAAATATTTAAGTCTACTAACATAGAGAAAAATCCTGCACACTTGTAAATTGTGAGATTTATTAGGACAAACCTCAAAATTTGCAAGTGGGACAGTGTGTGGGATTTTTCTCTATGTTCTTGGGCTGCTCCCCTTCCTCCAACGCACCCGTCTCAAATAACTGATGTGCGAAGTTCTCATTATTTTACAAAATAATTAAGTAAAATATACTTGGCAATAGATCGATACAGCAGCCCACGATATCGATACTGTATCATCAAATTAAACGTCACAGTATATCAATATTTCAGTATTTTTGCACACCCTACTATCTAGTGATTTGAGTAGAAATTTAAACAGCCTCTCACATAAGCATAATATTCTAATAATCCAGTGAAATGAATTGTAAACACCTGTAAAAATAATGCCTGGTATCGATAAATACACAAAGTGAGGTATTTGTAATAAACAGAATAATATAAATACATAAAAGTGTTAGATTTAGGTGTTGTTTTACTCCCAATTATGACACAAACTCTTCTGATTCTTTTCCCGTCTTCAGCAGCTCCAAAGTGAAGGCGCCTGTGTGTGTCCTGAAGATGTGGAGATCGTGACTTCGGCCGATGAGAAAGGTTTTATCTCTGAGAGTGAAGACGGAGCGGGACAGAGGACCTATCTGTCAGAGGTGGGGAACAAAGCTTAAAGAGGCCGTATTTTACTTCTATGGGGTATTAACTGCTAACACATAACATATTTAGATCACTGTGTTAACTTTTGTTGATTTGAAAACGCTATATTTGCCGAAAACAACGTATCAACATGTTCAATAAGTTTCATTTTTGTTTTTGACACTATGATCTCGCAGCTTTGTCCCCCTTCAGAGCGCTACACTACAAAAAATAAAATCTTGTTAAAGTTAAAATGACTTCATTTAAGAGCATGTTATATTAATTTAAGTGTTTTTGTAGTTGAAACACAAAATGCACCTAGTTACACTGAAGATAAGAAAAATAACAACTCTTTGAACTTAAAATAAGAAACTAAATTGTATGTTCTTTGAATTAAGAAAAAAAATACTTAATCCATTAGTATATTGTTTTACTTGTCAAGCGAAATCTACTGAAATCAAGTTAAATCTTCTTAATTTGAGTCATTTGAACATACTTAAGGCCGCCACACACTACAAGATTTTTCAGTCTTAAATGATTTTTAAACACAGACACGAGGAGAATCTCATGAGATTTAAAATCTCCGTTCACAAAGACTGCAGAGGGATATGTCTGCGGACGACAGGATATAAAGTTATGAGTGCGATTGCGTCTGCCGTTTCCTGTCTGCAATAAAACCACTCGCTTTGAGACTCTTAAGTGTTCAAAATATCAGAGCACTGCACTTCTAGTTTAGATACAAGTCAAAACTCTGTTATTATTATTTGTGAAATGTGGTGCAAAACTTCAGATACATGATTTTTAAAGCATAAAGATAAGATAAAGTCTACAGGAAGTAGAGTTACTATCACGAATCTGCAGCTTCACCTCGATCCGTGCGCTGTGTGGATGTAAACAGACACATGTGAGGAACTACTCTCACCTTTTTACTTTAAAAGAACACCTCAAACTGGATTAATAGCGACGTTTTGTGGATTGGGGTCATTATTTGCGGATGATAATTTCTGTGGGTAAAATGCTGTAGTACAAATTTACCACTTTACAAGAGGTGAGGAATAAAGTCTTCTCATTATTTTCACTATGTCCCAGGTTTGTATGTTGCGCCTCTGTGTCCGTCACTTCTCTGTTTTATTGGCTGTTGCCGTAGCGTCGCTGATGTTTGGTGGTTACGATCTGACAGAGCAGCTCAGAGTCACACTGACCCCACACACGAGGAGCACAGCGTCTTCAAAATTGCACTCGAAGACACAAAGTCGGGTCACGCCTCCCCAAACTCGGAGAAAAGCAAATCGCAGCCAAAATCAAATTCTCTTGTAGTGTGTGGCGGCCTTAAGATGTTACTTTTTGCAGTGTGTCACATTTGTATATTACATGTCGTGTGAGCTGAAAACTGAAATTTATGAATGTGACATGTTAACACGTTGTTTTTGGCACTGTTTATTCTCATCATTGCTTCTCACACGTGCGGCATTGATCCGGTAGGGGGCGCTGCTGTACACCCCGGACACAGACGCCTCTAAAACGTCAGACGCAGAAGTGCCTCCCAGCTACAGTAAAGCCGTGAGCTTCGACCGCCTGGAGGTGAGCGACGACGAGAGCGACATGGACAGGAAGAGGTTAATGATCATGACGCCGGACAGCCAATCAGACTGCAGCAGATCTGACCTGGTCCTGCCCTCCATGACCACCGAGCTGACCGCCAGTGAACTGCTGCTCAACAAGTGAGGCTCAAATCTACTGAAACTACTACGCACTGTGCAACTTTTTGGTTGGGGGTCCGTCACCTGCTTGTCTCTGTGGATTTGTCATTGCTCTGCCTGGAATATCCCACAGACATTAAACAGCTCTACCTTACATTTATTCAATTACAAGTGGATTTATATCCCAAAAATATTTAGAAAAACAGGTCTCCTCTCCACAGATCTGACCTGTAACTTGGTCTCGGTTGGTCTCCATGAAGATAGAAAGGTTTAATACCATACGGCATGTCAAAGATATAAAAAGAAAAGTTATACAATGCACCTTCAAAACTTTAAATCTATTGAAGATAATTTGTTTCATCAGATTTTGAATTTTAAATGCCTTTGAATTTCTTACTTTGAATAGTTTTACTCTGGAAAAACATGTTTGAATTTGTTTTCATTCTGAATTCCTGGAGCTGAATTTTTAAGTTCTCTCTTAATTAAAAGTGAAAAAGTCGCAGTGAAAATTCAACGCTAAGTAATCGATCCAAAGTGAGTCGATTTAACTTAGTACCTACCAGGAAATGTTGTAGGCAACCAATCTGATTTCTTAACTATAAGCAATTAACTGAATTTTGATCGCCATTTCGATTTGTATGTCACATGATCTCCAAACTCATATTATCGAGTTGATGTGATGTAAATGATTAAAGCTTAACAAAGTGTATTTATTAAATTTTTTAAATACAGTGATTGTAGAATAATTGGATAGTTTATGTTGGATACATTTATGTTTTTCTGTGGCAAAACTGGTCTAAGGTACATATTTGTAGCCTATATTTATTTTCGTTTTGAAAGTTTTACGATCAATAACAAAGTGGCTTTTTGAGAGAGAAATGCTGACTAAATGCATTGTGTAACTAAAAAATAATCATTTGAATAATCGTTATTTTAATATTGACCAAAATAATCGTGATAACAAATAAATTTTTTCCATAATCGAGCAGCCCTACAGTAAGCCCCGCCCACAGAGGAGAAAGGCCAATAGGAAACCGTCTGCTTCTGTCCTCCTCAGCTTCCAATTTCCTAATTTTTCCACAACAAATTTTACACTCCAACTTTGAGGGCTTAAAATATATGTTCAGAATATTTAAAAGGTTTAAGCACTTGATGTATACAACTAAAATTCAGAATGAAATGATATTCAAATGAAAATCTGATGAAACAAATCCTGTTTTTTTTTCCTCAGGATGTTTTATGACGAGGAGCTGGAGGAGTCGGATAAGTTCTACACGGCGCAGCCTCTGATCCTGCAGTTGTGTTACGCCCTGTACAACATGCTGGTGGCGCACTCGGAGATGGTGTGTTTCCTGGTCATAATCCTGAACCACATGGTCTCTGCCTCCTGTATCACTCTGGTCCTCCCCATCACCATCTTCCTCTGGGCCATGCTGTCCGTGCCTCGCCCCAGCAAACGCTACTGGATGACCGCTATTGTCTACACAGAGGTAACAACACAACACATGCATAAATTAGCACTTAGGCTACGTCCACACGACAACGCTGGATTATTTCTTTTACGGGCTGAAAAAAATTACATCCACCCACGTATCGGATCCATAAATATTCACGTCCAGACGAAAAAGGACCACGGAGTGAAAACGATGTAATCTGTATGTGGCGCTCTTAACAATGATAATAATATTCAACAATGCAGATGTCATCACAGTTTTTTTAAACTTTTAAGGTAATTTAGCCGATTTTAGATGTATCCCAGAAATATAGCTGTTTTGTTAGTAAGTTGTAAGTTAAACATAAGTTTTTGTTTTTAGCTATAAGATTTGGATGAGTATTATTAGAATAAGTTGGTCTCAAAATCCAACAGTTTAATTACTCTTTGCGTAATCTTGTTATTGTTCCGTGTGTGTCATCTGTGGAGCGTGTTGTTAGTATTAGCGTTAGCAGCGTGTCTCGGTTGCTGGGTGAAAGGAGCGGCTCCATAGGTTACACCTGTCACATTTCGACAACGCTCTTACGTAGAAGCTAGTTTGAAGGCTGCAGGCTTTGCTGCATCGGAGGACGTCATCATTTTCCAAAAGCTGTGGTTTGTTTGTCCACACCACACCACAACGCTGGCATTCTCACATTTCTCCACTCTGGAACCTGTTCTCAAAAAACACAGTTTTCGCCCACCCGCCAGCTCCGTGTGGACGAAAAGACCAAAACGAATATAAACTTCACCGTTTTGACCAAAAAACGTTGTCATGTGGACAGACCTTTAGAGAAACCGTATGTAAAGTTACAGTTAAAATTTCACAAACCTGTTTATGTCCCTGGATATGTTATAGACAATTTCAAGCTTTTACTGACTGTAAGTTGTAATGTGATTTATTCTAAAGTAATTTTCACACATTTTAATGCACTCTCTGGACCAAACTCTGTGTGCCCTTTGTGAGTTAGTTCTGTTTACTTCACTTTTGGTTCAGCCTTGTTCACGTATACCGCGCAGCATTCACCCCAAACATCCCCCATGAGCCATGATCACCAAAGTTATTTCTATATCAATGCACTTCAAACAGCCATAGCCCCATGAATATGCACACACACTTGCTTCCCCTAACGTTCGCTTCTTTCACCTGAGACTAAATACACCATGACACCTAGACTCATTTGCATAAATATACGTGATCCAAGTGCTTTTACCCAATTCCAGGCACTGTTACTGTCACCACAGACTGTGTAGTTTGGCCCGAGGTCCTTTCACATTTGCTAAATACTTAAACTTCAGCGAATACATTTATAGACATGTTTAAGCACCAAAATATCCTCCTAACACTAACCCTATTATTGTTAGGAATAAATGTGAGTTATTGCTTATTGAAAATATCATTCCTGTTGTGCACTGCAAAAACGTTAGTATAAAGAAGAGAAGAAACATGGTGAAACAATAAAAAATAAAAAATAAACTTCAGTACCGACACTCTTGGGCACAATGAGAATATACATACAAGAAACACAGAAGGTCTCTCTTGTCCCAGATTGTGTTTTGAACCTGAACAATGATTTAAATAGTCATGTCAATATTGTTATAATTCACTGATTGGAGAGTCGGTGTAACCATGAAGTGTCTGTGTTCACAGGTCACCATTGTCATCAAGTATTTCTTCCAGTTTGGGTTCTTCCCCTTTAATCAGCACAACCTGGACAAAAACAAAGCGTTCTACCCCCCGAACATCATCGGAGTGGAAAAGAAGGACGGATATGTGCACTATGACCTGGTGCAGCTGCTGGCTTTATTCTTCCACAGATCTATACTCAAGGTAGTCAGTTTTTTTGGTTTCACTTTTCACTTTCACACTATTTTCTGATCTATGTTATAATGTTTTTTGTGTCTGTGAAACAAAACACACTTCCAGGTCTGTTTTTGAGGAGGTAACAACATTATAACACGACTTAAAGCTCTCAAGAGTCAATTTTGCGTAATATAAGACCTTTACGGATTTGTGTTGCTTTCAGAACTACCATAAAACTGAGTGTGTTCGTGTTTTTGCAGTGCCATGGCCTGTGGGACGACGAAGACCCTAAACAGAAGCGCGCCGCTCCCCCTCCTCCTCCTCCCCAGGTCGAAGAGTCCGAAGAGGAGAAGACCAGAGCGGAGGAGAGCGAGAGAGAGTCCGATCCGACTTCACTCCACAGCGCCACAGGGAGCAGAGGGTCCAGGACGTCCCTCAGGTCCATAAACTTCGGGACGTCCGTGGACTCGGGACAGGGACCGGTACAGGAGCAGGGACAGGTCCAAGTGTGCTGTCCTCCTCCACAGACCTACCAGCGACGCAAGAGCTCCACCTCCGCCGGCTCCCTCGCCTCCCACAAGTCCATGCACTCGTCTGCGCGCTCCAAGAGAGGTACGCTTTTGACCACGTTTAAATTTTTTTATCCAGGTCCAGGGCTCTTACTTCATCCAAAATAATTCTTAATAAATATCATCTAAAACATATCTGAATTATACTTGCACTTGTATGACCGATTTCAGTGATTCACAAAAAGACATTTAGTAATTCCAAGTTTGTGGAAACGCTGTGAGATGTGGCTAAAGCTTTTGTCAACATTTATTTTACTTTTCTCTGTGCCACTACGTCACGTTTTAGCATCTCTTTATGTAATGCAGTGGGTTTGGCTAGAGTCATTGTACACTTAATATGTTCAATCTCTATAAACAAGTTGCCATAATTGCAAATATATCAGTTTATCACAAGATCAAGTTCTAATTCTAGACAACAGCGCATCAATTACAAGATCTCACAGACCACCTACAAAGTCCTCCATACTGCAGACTTCTCTAAAATTCTAAAACTTATATCAGGTTATTCATCTTGTTTTCAGGTTTATTATCTACTTACTAGTTCTGAGACAGCTTAATTCTAGTCTAGAGTTTGTTCATTTTAAGATAACTGAAATATTGCTGCACAGACAGATAATTTCACTACTTTTAAGTCATTTTCCAGAAACCTCCATACCTCACTGACCTCGTCCAGCCCCACTCACCCTCCTGCCTCCTCCGATCAGCTGATTCAATCCTCTTCACTCCCAGAGTCAAATCACGGTGCCGGTTCTTTGGGGACTGAGCCTTTGCCATTGACCCCAGTAAACCCTCAGTATTAGAACTGTTATCTGTAAAAGCCAAACTTGATTTGAGTATGTTTACCTCACATCTGGGGATACAGATAGGTCACGTTAATTACATTTATTTTTCAGTTTCTTTTAAACAGAAAACTTCAAGCTTCATCCTAATTACCAACGCATTTCATATCCTCCTTCACAACATCCACGATTCTCCTGTTCTGCCTTCCTGTGGATCTCATGCCACAAACTAGTATTGCAGTCAAGACCGCACTAATAAAGACCAAAGCCAGGCCGAGACCACAGGGTCCCAAGACCAGGACAAGACCAAAACCTCTAATGGTCGAGATCGAGACAAGACCGAGACCATGGCCCATTGAGACCAAGACCAGCTTTGCCATTTTCTACATTTATTTGTATTTTAGAGTTATTTTGGCACATGTATATTAATGTTTTTATAAATCTATCTCCATTTTATCTGATTAATGTCCATTTAGTATAAGCAAGGCCAAGATGTGCTGCACTTAATCACTCTGTGCCCCTTTTTTGAACCCTCACCCACAGTTTGATCACTCTTTCTTTAAGCCAACTTCCACTGGCACTTTACAGAAAACAACTTCAAAGTGAATCAAGAGGGTTTTTTCAAGTTCATAACATTTACAGTTACATTATCTTACTGATTTTGTAGTGTTATTGAGGAGCCTCTGCCAGTGTTGGGGAGGTTACTTTTAAAATGTATTCCCCTACAGATTACAGATTACATACACCAAAATGTAGTTTGTAACAGAATCCATTAAATTACTTAAAGTGAGTAACGTAATCTGAATACTTTGGATTACTTGATTTTCTGTAGAGAAGCAAAGACCAAGAAATCTTCACATAAAAGTTTTGTTTGCTAAAAAACAATAAAATGCCCAGTCTTTCCTTAACCGTATTAAAAATGTTATTGATAGAAGAGGAGGAGGAGACATGGCCCGCGCGGCATGGTTTAGTCCTGTTAAATCCTGGTTTATACCTGGTTTTAGACCTGGTTTTAGACCTGGTTTTAGACCTGGTTTTAGACCTGGTTTTAGACCTGGTTTTAGACCTGGTTTAGACCTGGTTTTAGACTTGGTTTAGACCTGGTTTAGACCTGGTTTTAGACTTGGTTTAGACCTGGTTTTAGACCTGGTTTAGTGTCCGGCAATGAGTGGAATTACGAAAAAAAAAGGGGGGGGGGATATAGCCCAAAAATGTAAAATCAGGAAACTACCGCATTGTAATCCATTTATTTCAACAAAGTAACTGTAATCCAATTACCACTCACTGAAACAGTAACTGTAACTGAATACAGTTACTCATAATTTGTACTCTGATTACATAACTCCGGTACATGTAATCCATTACTCCCCAACACTGGCCTCTGCACATTTACCCGCTGTAATAAAATACGATCGCACTCGTCGAGTGTCAGACCTCAAGTCCGAGACCAAGCACCTTCAAGACCGAAACAAGACAGAGACAAGACCGAGTCCAAATGCACTCGAGTCCAAAACGAGACCAAGACCGTAAAAAGCAGTCTCGAGGTCGTTCTCAAGGCCAAGACATGTCTCGAGTACTACGACATTATCACAAACAACATAAATTAAAACTAGAAAGTGGCTTAATGACTTATTTTAGTAACTTGAATACAACATTTTACTGCATAACTACAATTTGCACTGTCCTTTACAACATGTGTGTATATAAGGTCAAATCAAACCTCAAACATTCATTGCTTTCACTGACAGAAAAATGTCTAATTTTCTTGGCATTACATTCTACGGCAATTTGTTAGAAAGAGGAAATATGCATGTATATAATGTTTGCTATATACTTTTTTTCTGAATTGTGAATTATATGAACTGCTTCCTAAAGTCGTGTAAAATTCCTCACATTCAGTAATTATCTTTTGTAAACGTCATTGACCTGAATTGAGCTGTACCGTCTGCCCTCCTCCTCCTTCTCCTCCTCAGTCCATTAGCATCTGTCTGCGCTTCGTTAACTCTTAAACATGTTAATTGTTTCCACAGGAAGTTCCACGTCTCGCCACAGCAGCCACAGAGAGGGCAGTGAGGCCAGTGTTCGGATGAAAACTCGCAAAGAGATGGTCCTGGAGAAACTAAAGGAACAACTGTACAAGGGCAAAGGATTCATGATCAGGAGGTACGAGCTTCTCTACAAAAACTAAAATCTTGCTCAGTTAAAATGACTTGAATTAAGAACATGTTTTAACGATTTGAGTAAAATTCTCAAGTCTTTTTTATAGTTCAAATCGGAAAACATACCGAGTTACACTGAAGATAAAAAAAAATAGCTCTTTGTACTTAAAATGTATTGTATTAAACCTTTGTATCTTCATGAGACCAAACCAGACCAAGCTACAGGTCAGATCTGTGGAGAGGCGACCCCGCTCACAGTCAGAATGCCTGTTTTTCTTGGTATTTTTGAGCTATTAAACCACCTATAATTTAATAAATGTAAGGTAGAGGTGTTTAATGTCACACTGTGGAACATTCTAGGCAGACAAATGAAGAACCAACCCCCAACCAAAAAGTTACATAATGCACCTTTAATCCATTGATAGTGAAATCTACTCAAATCAAGATTAATCTCCTTAATTTGAGTCATTTTTATTTACTTAGATGTTACTTTTTGTGGTGTAAACTTTTGACTAGGCAGGCAAGTAACACTTAAACAGATAAATAGTCGGGTATACTGATTGTAAAACGGATGCCAAAAGAATTGAAATGTTTATCAATAATACACTTTATTTATGTACTTCAGACTGGACTTACTTTAAGACAGTTGCTTAAATAAAGATAAAATGGACAACGTATTTTATTATTCCTTGAGGACATTAAATGAAGTGCCTTTCATTAAGACAGGGATGGAGTTTTTGGGGCTTAAAAGTGCAAAAAATCTGAAACCGCCCTCCAGAGTGGAAAAGTTGAATACGCTTTGCTGTAGCTTTTCCGTCTGCACTGCCCAAGATGCAAAACTCTGGTCAGATCTGCTCACGTCGTGCACGTGTTTACGTCACATACATACAGTACACAGAAACAAACATGTCGGATCATTTCCATGCATCGGACCTTCAAACAAACAAAACTTACAGGAGGCATCCCAACAGATGTACAGAATATGCAGAGATACTATTAGTGAACAGAGAAGGATCTGCAATCACCTCTGTCAAATTCTGGATGCAGCAGTTTGTCGAAGGCGAGACAGACGGTTATGGACGAGACCTGGAGAACTAATCGATGGTGGGACAACTTTGTGGATGAAAACGCTTAGCTGATGAAAATGCGTGGTGCGAAAACTTACGTATGTCCAAAGATGCTCTTGTTGCTTTAAGTACAAACATACACAATCGAATTCCACACACTTTTGCGTCACCATATGCACGCAGATTTCCTCTAAACGCGAAATAAAAAGTGAAGATGCGACTCCACTTTTGTGTTACTATGTTGTTTTCAGCAAATATAGTATATTCTCAAATTAAGGTAACATGGTGATCTAAATTTGTCATGTGTTAATAATTAAAACCCCATAGAAGTGTAATACTTCCTCTTGAATCTGTGTTGTTTTGCAGGTTTCTGGAGATCTACCTGCCCATGAAGCAGTTCTTCTATAACCTGATCCACCCGGAGTACAGCGCCGTCACAGATGTCTACGTCATGATGTTTCTGGCAGACACTGTGGACTTCATCATCATCGTCTTTGGGTTCTGGGCTTTTGGGGTAAGTTCGGCTTGAAGCTTAGTTTCCGAATTTTGTTTTTTTCAATTACTCAGTGCTCTCGCTCTCGACACACACATACACGTTTCAGTTTTTTCCGCGTGTTTCTCGTGAGTTCTCCTTCTGTATTGCGGTGGACTTCCTCACATCATCGTCTCACTGTCTCTGGTGTCCTTGCGCTTAATGTCCTAAACAGACATGTCAGGTGAGGATGTAACTGTTATCACACGAGGAGAACCAGAGTCCTCAGATCAGACCAAAAGTACTCTGAAAAATATGCTCAATTTAAGATCAGGGAAAATTCCGGTGGGTACTTGGAGATTTGCCTTGTGAGATCGTGGCCAGAGCTGGGATCAAGTCATTGTTTTGCAAGTCTCAAGGAAGTCTCAAGTCTTTGACCTCAAGTCTTTGACCTCAAGTCCGAGTCAAGTCCCAAGACAGGCAAGTTCAGGTTGAGTCTCGAGTCACTGGCCCATAAGTCCAAGTCAAGTCCAAGTCGTCTTCTTTGAGCTTCAAGTCATTTCAAGTCTTTAAAATAAAGTAGCTTACATTTTTGCAACGTATATTATTTTTAAACTAAATTGTACTTAAAAACCATAGTATATTTATATATGAGTATTTATAGAGTATTTAAGAGTTGTAGAATTTAATTTAGTAAATTTTTCCCTTTTAAATGTTTTCACAAGATCTTAGTGTGAATCAGTACAGTCAGAATAGAAAGAATTCAGATTTAAAAGTGCTTCTCAAGTCTTCTCAAGTCACAGGCCTCAAGTCTGAGTCAAGTCCCAAGTCACTGACCTTCAAGTTAGTCAGTTTTATCAAGTGAAGTCTCAAGTCTTAAAAATAGTGACTCAAGTCTGACTTGAGTCCAAGTCATGACTTGTAAGTCCCCTCCTCTGATCGACGCCTATGGCTAGAAGAGTCTGCTTTGGTGGAGCTGTGAAAAAACATTGTCCGTTGTCAGTGTAAATCTGGATTTGTTTCATTTTTTGCAAAGAAATATGGAAGATTGTATTGTTTGTATGTAATATTTTCTCATCCGGTTTGCAGAAATGGACTGTTGACATGAATAAAAAGATACTGAAGGAAGTCTGAAGTAGTGTTGTCACGATAAAAAAAACTCTTCTTGAAGGACTCAAACTTAGATATTAGAAACAGAATGTGATTTTCAGCGTTAAATCATAGTCCTTTCTTTACATTCCCATGTGGTCTTATATCTGTGTAATCCCTCAGTGGTCCAGGTAGGTTCCACAGTTGTCCATCTGATTTTGTTCTATAAACAAGCAAAAACAAACAAAAAAGGAGAAGGATGAAAAGTGCATAGACTGTATACAGTATATACGCTCACATAATCACAAATGAGATCATGACCTTCTTTACACATTTTACAACCTTTTTTCTTATTTCAGAAACACTCAGCCGCAGACATCACCTCGTCCCTGTCTGAAGACCAGGTTCCAGGTCCGTTCCTGGTGATGGTTCTGATCCAGTTTGGGACCATGGTGGTGGACCGGGCCCTGTACCTGAGGAAGTCCGTCATGGGAAAGGTCATATTCCAGGTCATCCTCGTGTTTGGGATTCACTTCTGGATGTTCTTCATTCTGCCTGGAGTCACCGATAAGTAAGAGCTCGCAGAACAATCAGTGGAGACTTTTCCAAAAGATGTTGTGCAAAGTGAATTACTGTTTTGCTTTTATGCTGCCATTACTTTGCTGTTTGTTAAAATAAAAAACCTGGAGCTATGTTTATTGGTTTTATTCAAGACAAGGGATCTCTGTCTATACACCAGGGCAAGTATCTCAAAATGGATTCACTTTGACAGCATTAAATCTATCTCTTAATTCTCAATTCAGATTTTTCTGTGAAATCCAATTTTTTTGCGAGGTCGTTCACATTTCCAGTTAAATGCGACTTTTATGTGATCTCCGGTGTGAACTTTTAACGCCCCAAAAGTGTCCCACGTGTGCATCGGAGGAAACGACGCAGCGAGTGTGCTCAGTGTTTCTGGAAGTCGCCTAAACGCTGGGCTTGTCTCTCAAAATATGGTCCAATTCTTCGTAAATTGACAAGTTACACGTCCATGGCTGCTTCGTTTATTTGAGTCTTTAGCCTCCTTGTATTTGACTCACAGGCTCTTTATTTTTCATTGACATTGGAGCCAGGACCCTCTGTGCCATTTCTTTGGCAATCGTTTCAAAAAAACCCCGGTTCTGATAATACCCCTCCAATTTGTCCTGAATACAGCGATCCCCCCAAATATTAATAAACTCACTAACCTCGCTTTCCCTCCATTGACGAAGACTCCGAGCCTGACGTGTGGGTGGTATGAATGTGACCTGGCCGTTCAGACTGAAGTCACATGTCAAAAGATCAGATATGTATCGGTTTTAGGAGCACATATCCAAGTGGCCTGGGTCACATTTGAAAAAAATTGGATCTGTGTCGTTCAGACTGTCATTAAAAGATCAGATACAGGTCGCATAGGGGCGAAAAAATCAGATTTGGGTCACTTCAGGCTGCAGTCTGAACGTAGCCTATGTTCAGACGGGTTCTTTTTGGAACTGGGCGGTTTTTGAAATGATTGCCAAAGAAATGTTCAAGCAGGCAGTCCTGGCTCCAATGTCAACGAAAAATAAAGAGGCTGCGAGCCAAATACAAGGAGGCTAAAGACTCAAACAAACGAAGTGGCCGTGTAACCTGTCCATTTTTACCAAGAACTGGACCATATTTTGGGAGACAAGCCCAGAGTTTAGGCTCCTGCTGGACACTTTTAGGGTGTTTAAAGTTCACACTGGAGATCTCATACAAGTTGCATTTAATTGGAAATGTGAACGACCTCGCAAAATAATCAGATTTCAGAAAAAAATCCAAATTGAGCATTAAGGCCTGCAGTGTGAACGTAGCCTAAGATGCAATTCAACCTTTTAGCTTTTCATCTTTGCCCAATTTATCAGGCTATTTACTGCTTTTCTTTACTACTTGACTTCTCAGTGTGCCAGCAGAAGAAGTCATTTTGTGCGTTCCCATTTGCGGATTTAGATCTAAACGTTTCTTTTCAGATTTCTAAATTATACATGTTTTATTGTGCTAGGATTTGTTTACACCCATCTAATAATAACCGCTGTCTTTTCTGTCTTCTTCAGGCGCTTCAGTGAAAACCGCGTGGCTCAGATGTGGTACTTCGTTAAGTGCATTTACTTCGGGCTCTCGGCGTACCAGATCCGATGCGGCTACCCCACCCGTGTCCTCGGCAACTTCCTCACCAAGAGCTACAACTATGTCAACCTCTTCCTGTTCCAGGGGTGAGCCATGCTGACGCTATCACTGCTCCAGCTGAACAAACAGACCCGAGGCTAGAGGAGGAAGAGGAGGAGGAGGAGGAGAGCAGGATGAGCAGAGAGGAGGAAAGGGAGGAAGAGGGGTATTACCTCATGAACTGGACTAACTTTCTTGTAAAGTTTATACGAGGAGCAAGGCCGCCGTCAGTCTACCCCTTGATACTTCCTCTGAATATTTTTGTTTGGGCTATGGGTTCATCAACTAAAATAAATAGTTCCAGTACATTTTCAGAGCCTATTACATTCACTTGGTTTTGTATTTAAACGCTGTAGCTGATTTTTACTCTTAAAAATGTGAAAAAACTGAACTAGTGTATTGTTATTGTCAGCTTTTCTCACTTTCCTGACACATTCCTAGCCTCAGTGAGTTTATAAGCGCTTTTCAGAAACCAGAGCAGCTTTTGTGCCATCAACTGTTATGCTAATATCGCACCTCCTGGTTCACAGACAATAAACAGTTCTGTAGTTAGATGCAGACAACACACACGGGTCTGTAAACACGATCTATAAACTTGAACTATTCCTTTATTTAACTGTATATTTTGTGTATGTCGTGTTTAGTTTCCGCATGGTTCCGTTCCTGACCGAGCTGCGTGCCGTGATGGACTGGGTTTGGACAGACACGTCGCTCTCCCTCTCCAGCTGGATCTGTGTGGAGGACATCTACGCTCACATCTTCATCCTCAAGTGCTGGAGGGAGTCTGAAAAGGTGTTTATTTAGAATTAAGGGCCTGTGAACATGATAAAGTTGTGCAGAGCGTTCACCCTCATACAAACACTCGTAAAGCAAATTAATGGTAAATGGTAGATTATCACATTTCTGGCTGTATGGAGGATTTTTTTTGTTTCAAATTGTCAATGAAAGTTTAAAATACCATTACAGAGCAGCCTTGTAATTATGATGACCAAAAAAAAGAATGAAAATTCATCAACCCTGGACATAGGGGGCCAGATAAACGTCAGGTGTGAGGTTGTAAATCAAGCTCCCTACATTTCTAGTGTAACTGACTTGTCGGCGTGCGGGGATTACGTGGTTTATGCAGCGGTTCTTAGAGGATTTTTAAAACTCTAGCTTCCTCACATTTCGCACAAAGTTTGTTGCGATGGCGGATGAGAATCCACAACCAGTTCGCCACAAAAGAAAGTCGGTTTTTGAGTTCGCTGAAAGACAAGGAGAAGGAGAAAAGGAGCAAAGCCAAACTGAGGTGATTCTTGGAGATTTCTTCCAGCGATTGCGCAACTGAAGCAGACGAAGGGTCTAAAAACTGACACGCCGGTCGCTAAGTTATTTCTAGACAGGTCACTTCAGCAGTAATTCTGAACACGCACTGCCTGTAAACAAGCGTGATTTCTAGAGTAAGGAGGCGGGAGGAGATGTTTCTAGGGAGCGGTGGAGGAGGGAGGTGGTGTCACGCTTGCACAACATTTGAAAAAGGACTGTCGCTGTTTTTCTCTTCCCTTAAAAAATCCTCTATACAACCTTTAAGTAGCACTTTTCCACCTTCAAAGTACTCAGAGCGCTTTACGGCAAGAAACCACTCACCCTTTCAAAGAGACATTCATACACCAGTGTACGCCAACATTGGGGTGAAGTGGGTTAAATGTCTTGCCCAAGGACACAACGACATTATTTATCTGTAGAAGCTGGAATCACACCACCAACCTGTGTGTCACTGAATCTGACTGCTCAACCAATGATGTTAATGTCAAGAGTGGGATTCGAACAGTGGACAAACGCTCAATGGTCCCGCACACAAATAAGTACAAGTCAAATATTGTACTGGTAAAGTGAAATGTGCACATAAAACAAGAACTTTACAGGTGGATGATGAGTCCGTTTAGCAACTCATGCTTGAGGCAAACCTATAAAAATATAATGCAAAAATAGGACATTATTGTCGTAACAAAAAGCGGCAGAGCCAGTGTGACGGTGTAATATTGTGGAGCGGATGAGGGCCAATCCACAGTGTGATGGTTTAATATTGTGGAGCCGGTGCGAGCTGATCAATGCAGCTTAAAGCTATATTCAGAAGGTTATTTTTGTCTTCTTTTTGAATAATATACATTTTCCAAGACTGAAAAAAATGCATATGCACAAAAAGCTTAGAGCCTGAGATTTTTTATTCATTGTCTTAATTGAAGAAAATGGAAACTAAAAGGTCCCTAGTTTTTGTGTTTTTATTCTCAATCCAGTAAAAAATTTTACCGTTCCATTACATAATTGTTTAGATAAAAAAAAAAAAAAAGACAAAATTAAATAAATAAAAAACACATCCAAAATAAACGTTAGATATTTTAGACTTAGACTTAGACAAACTTTATTGATCCACAAGGGAAATTATTTGGACAGCTCATACATCACAATATAATATAATAACAAAGAGTACAAAAAAAAAAAAAAAAAAAGGTAATAATAAATTCTAAATAAGTCGCAAAAAAAGAAAGCAAAAGACAGTTGTCAAATAAGACATAATTATATAAATGTAAATGTACAAGCCAAAATAAAATGGAAAGATAAGTAATAAAATATAAAATCCCAGCTTTATACAAGAGATTATAGAGTTGTTGTACAGTTGTAGGGAGTATTTTCCGTTATGTAAGGGTGAGTTGTTGTGCAGTCATGGGAGTATTATCTGTGACATAGGGGTGAGTTGTTGTACAGTTGTAGGGAGTATTATCTGTTATGTAAGGGTGAGTTGTTGTGCAGTCGTGGGGAGTATTATCTGTGACATAGGGGTGAGTTGTACAGTCGTGGGGAGTATTATCTGTTACATAAGGGCGAGTTGTTGTACAGTTGTAGGGAGTATTATCTGTTACATAAGGGCGAGTTGTTGTACAGTTGTAGGGAGTATTATCTGTTACATAAGGGCGAGTTGTTGTACAGTTGTAGGGAGTATTATCTGTTACATAAGGGTGATTTGTTGTACAGTTGTAGGGAGTATTATCTGTTACATAAGGGTGATTTGTTGTACAGTTGTAGGGAGTATTATCTGTTACATAAGGGCGAGTTGTTGTACAGTTGTAGGGAGTATTATCTGTTACATAAGGGTGAGTTGTTGTACAGTTGTAGGGAGTATTATCTGTTACATAAGGGTGAGTTGTTGTACAGTTGTAGGGAGTATTATCTGTTACATAAGGGCGAGTTGTTGTACAGTTGTAGGGAGTATTATCTGTTACATAAGGGTGAGTTGTTGTACAGTTGTAGGGAGTATTATCTGTTACATAAGGGTGAGTTGTTGTACAGTTGTAGGGAGTATTATCTGTTACATAAGGGTGAGTTGTTGTACAGTTGTAGGGAGTATTATCTGTTACATAAGGGTTCCTCTATATATGTGTTAATATTGCAAAGAAAAATATTACAAAGACAAACTTGGAAATGGTGTCCCTTTAGCCTGTTTTTTTTTTTAAGTCCTGTATAAATGTGAATCAGATAACGTGTTCTTTGGGTAAATTCGCGTTCAAACGTACTCAGCTGACCTGTGTTTGTTGTTGTCACGATGCAGAGGTACCCACAGCCTCGAGGGCAGAAGAAGAAGAAGGTGGTGAAGTACGGGATGGGCGGGATGATCGTCGTCCTGCTCATCTGCATCGTGTGGTTTCCTCTGCTCTTCATGTCCCTCGTCAAATCTGTGGCCGGGGTCGTCAACCCGCCGCAAGACGTGTCCTTCGAGATCACACTGGCAGGATTTCAGGTGCTCAATAATATAAATACAAATTCTGGTTTTGTAATAAACGTAGGGCTGTACAATTAATCACACGTGTTCAATTCTATCTGTTTTTTCAGCCCATTTTCACCATGAGCGCTCAGCAGAAACAGCTCCAGAATGTGTCAACAACCGAGTTCGACCAGTTTGTGAGGAAATACCTGGGAAAAGATGTACGTATATGGAGACATTTGTGTAATATTATTGTTAAATTAATTACAATACTTGAAATGTATTTATTTCAAATATTTACCCAAATTGAGCATGTCTGGCCATGAGTTTCAAAGCTACTCACTTTTCACTTAAATAAAATAAAATAAAATAAAATAAATAATCTATTAAAATTCTAATTAATAAAAAAAAAAGACTACCCAGTTATTTTTATACCATATTTTTCAGACTATAAGTCACTCCGGAGTACAAGTTGCACCAGCCAAAAAATGTGTAATGAAGAAGAAAAAAACATATAAGTCACACCGGACTATAAGTCGCACTTTTGGGGGGAAATTTATTATATAAAATCAGAGACCAGGAACCGACATTTCATCTTGAAAGGCAAGTTATAGTAATAACAATAGAAAAGAGACCTGAGGGCTGAATAGGCGTCTGGTATGTTAACGTCACATATGAAAAGTTCTTCAGATAACTATAGCGTAAACAACAGAACAGAACAAGTTTAACAAACTCTCCATCTCACTCCAAATCACTAAATCCACTGAATTCTTCATTCTCAGTGTCACTTCTGAGCAACTCTGCGACCTCCGGAGGTAAACGGAGCGCCGCTTCCTCTTCTGCATAGCTGATTTGTGACTGAACCAGGATTAAACCAGGACTAAACCAAGACTAAACCAGGACTAAACCAGGACTAAACCAAGACTAAATCAGGACTAAACCAGGACTAAACCAGGACTAAACTAGGACTAAACCAGGACTAAACCAGGACTAAACTAAACTAGGACTCATCTAGGACTCATCTTAGACTTGAGAGAGAAAGAGAGAAAGAGAAACCTCAGCCCATGGAGTAGAGTGTCCACAAAGTGCGGATAGGGTGATAGCTACGCTTAGCTTTGTAGGGCGCAGACCTCTGCGTCAGTCCTGGTTCAGTCCTGGTTCAGTCCTGATTCAGGTCACTATAGGACAGTACTGCAGATATCATGAGTCTATGCAGGTTGTTTTCATTGCCAGTAGCTCTGTTTTTGACATTTAAGTTGTAGCTGTTTTATATTTGTTATTTTTTATATCTCACGTCGGGACAAGTGGGTGTACGGCGTACCCCCGCGTACCATGCCCACTACACCCCTGAGTATATCTTAAATTTTGTCCGGATGTAGTTTCGAAACTAGATACTAATTTGAGCAGGTAGCGATACTTAAAAATCACATTCAGAAATGAACCTTTCCTGAATAGCTATCAGAACAAATACAAGAGCACATAGACGTGTATACGCCCATGGACCACTATGGAACCTACCTGGAAGACTCTGGGTTTACACAGATATAAGGTCACATCTATAAAAGTATAAAAGTACATAGCATTCTTTATTTTCATCATGGTATTGGATTTGCTATTGAGTATCCAGTCTATTTCTTACTATATAATTTGCATTTGAAATTTCAGTATCATGATAACACTAAAGAATCTATTTTCTTTGGCCTTGATAACATTGAGTGTCGTGTGTTCGTTTGTGTCCTGTAGGAGGCGCTGCAGTGGCTGGAGAGCTACACGCATGAGGACCTGATCATTGCTGAGCTCAAAGGCAGTTCAAACTCTCTGTGGACCATCAGCCCCCCGAGTCGCAAAAACCTCATCGAGATGTTAGAATCTAACGAAGATTTCCCCATCACCGTGTCCTGGTCTGTGCAGAGGTAGGTTGACCAGATTTTCAAAATAAAACACTGGTACATCCCTGTTTTTTCGGTGGTTGGTAATAATAAAATTGTAAAATGAGTGCGTACTTAAGGAAAATTGTTAAGCAGAGACCATTTGTGACTAAAGTGTGAGTCAGTATAGTCACATTTTCTTTGTGTTTTGATCATTTTTAAGCATCTTTTCTGTATTTTACTGAAACAAATTACAATTTATGCCTCTGCCAACACTGTTGGCAGGTATCAAATTGGTCAAAAATAGGGACACCTGGGACAGTTCTTTTATAAAATTGGGACAAATCACTGGTTTTGGATAAATCTGCTGGGACAGGGGACACAGGGCTCAAAACTGTGACTGTCCCGGGTAAAAAGGGAGTCTAGTCACTCTGTGCAGAGATACAGGGCAGCAGGCCAGCTTTTCCATTACATTAGTCATTAGGGGTGTGCAAGAATATCGAAATATCGATATATCATATCGTTTGATGTGATGATACAGTATCAGTATTGGGGACTGCTGTATCGATGTATCGCCAAGAGGATTTTTTGGTATATTTTACTAAATTGTTTTGTTACAGCTACAGTTTTGTTGCTTGTTTAGAAGAAAGAAACACGTTTATGCAACATGTTTGACATTTTCACTGTTTTGATGATTAAAATGTTTGTGTTTCATATTAACTTTGCACAAGAAGCAGTTTAACAAAGACTTTTAGTATCACAGCCATGATTTAGCCTTTATATTTGACTGAAACGTACTCAATCGATTTGAAATATATCGTATCGAATCAAAAGACCACTGTAATGAGATATGTATCGTATCGTGGCCTATGTATCGAGGTATCGGCAACTTCTTAATGATACCCAGCCTTATTAGTCGTTGTATTGTATTACTGCTACAATAAACCAACACTTAAGAAACTATCACTGGGAACTTTGACATGATCTGTAAAAACAACTAGAAGAATTAGATAACCCAATAATTAGATCATACTTTTTTGTTTGTTTTCATGCACAATAGGAAAAAAAAAAGATACAAAGTATAATGGATTAAAAATTATTCTTTAAATCTTTTTTCTTGGGCATATTATTCTTTTTTTAGTGAAATTTAAACTAAACCAAAGTTGATCTCATGTATTGCTTAATTGGCACAGATAAAGGTGTGTTCTCAAATTTTTCTTGTGGAGGGTCCGTTAAATGCTTTTCTTCATGGAGATGTTATTGCTTTCTTGGTCTGGAATATTTCACAGTGTGGTATTAAACCGTTCTATCTTCATGGAGACCAAACCAGATGAAGTTACATGTCAGATCTGTGGAAAGGCGACCCCACTCACAGTCAGAATGCCTGTTTTTCTAGGTATTTTTGAGCTATAAAACCACCTGTAACTGAATAAATGTAAAGAAGAAGTGTTTCATGTCACACTGTAGAACTTTCCCGGTAGAGAAATGACCATAGAAACAAGCAGGTCACAAACCCCCAACTAAAAAGTTACAGAATGCACCTTTAATCAATGCATTTTTTGAGTAAATGAGGGCAAAACGAGGTAGAGAGCTTTGCTGGGTCATAAATACACATAAATACTGAAATATACAAGTGAGGGTTATGTCCAAATCTTAACAAAATGTGGCCCTTAATCATAAATGTAAAAACAAGCAAGGTCCAAACCCAAGACATTACTGTTACCACTTAATTTGAGAAGGATTTAATTCCTTAATGTCTCATGTAATATTTAATGTCCAGTTTCACCTTTGGCTTGTTCGTAAATGAAATTTGAACGTGTACTATCAGTCGTTTACGTAATTTTTTCTGTGTGAATGATAGAAACCTGAGTCTGGGAGCGAAGTCGGAGATCGCGTCGGGGAAACTGGTGAAGCCTCTGGAGCCTCAGACCAAGACGGAGCTCATCGAGTTACTGAAAAGCTCCACCGACAAGAAAGTGTAAGAACCAGACACAAGTTTACCTTTCATGAGTAATTTAAAGAGTAATTGTTGAGACGTAACATGTGTTTTCTAATTTGATGTATTAAAGTCTTGATTTTGAAGAATCGGTGCAAGAAACACAAATCTTCAACTCATTTAATACTTCATTTTAAACATTTCCAATAAACCATGTAATTCTGGGTTTGTGTTTGTCTTTCAGAGTGCTGCCGGAGCTGTTTCCCCGTTACATCAGAGCGCCCAGTGACTCGGACTCTAAAGCAGTGGAGCAGCTCTATGAAGGTTTGGGTAAATGTTTTTTTTTTTTATTTAGCATGCGATAAATAAAAGCAAATACTGCTTTTATTTGTGTCACATATAGTATATAAAGAGAAAACTTGGGATATGTTATTATTAATGATACATTAAGGCTGCTTGGTGGCTTTTATTAAATCTCTTCTTGTTTCTGGCTATCAGACTAAGTTCTAGTTGATCTTCTCATGCCCCAAGACCATATTATATCATTTCCTCTTCCGGTGTGGATGGGGATATTTTTGAGGTTATATGGCGAGTTCTGATCCAGTTATTCTTCAGCACGTTGGGATGGGTGCACATTTTTGATACTGGTTTTGGTGTCGATGGTCACCCGGGTATCAATTTACCAACAGTGCTACAGATGTCTAATATGTGAACACAAACGCATGTGTCAGTCTGTGCTCATTTATTTAGATTTTGTGGCAGTGTTTGTGTCTTTAGTTTTCTGTTTTGTTTTTGTGTGTGTGTCTTGTGTTTGTCACTATATGGTGTCTTAAAACTTCACAAAATTAAAGGGACAGTCCGAAATTTTGGACATAGGACCTGATTTCGTTGTGAGCCAGAGTGTTGGAGACGTGTGGAGACACTTTTTTAAATATTCCATCCAGTCCTTGTATTTGCAGAGGTCACTGGCGCTAGGCTAGTGCATGTCAATGGCCATAGTTATCCTGCCACTAAAAACAGTCTTACCCACTCCACAAAACACCCGAAACAAATCTATTATTACACCAGACTGTCGATGTGAATGTCTGTGTTGATAGAATAATGTTTGAAATTAAACTAACCTTGCATCTCATGACTCGTCACATGTTGAGGGACTATTTTCTCATATACCAGTCCGCCGCTGCCAAGCTTTCTATCAGGAAGTACAACTCACTGCTGCTGCTCAGACATTAATCCTTCAAATGCAAGGCTGGTTTTACTTCTGAAATTATTCTATTGTTTTTAGTGGCAGGATAACTATGACCATTGACATACACTAGCCTAGCACCAGCGACCTCTGCAAATACAAGGACTGGATGGAATATTTAAAAAAGTGTCTCCACACGTCTCCAACACTCTGGCTCACTAGGAAATGAGACCCTATGTTAAAAATTCCAGACTGTCCCTTTAATAAAAAAAAAAAAGAAAAGAAAAAGCCTACGTCACCCCTGCTCCCACACAATAATTCTCCATAAATATACAAAAGCAGGAACAAAACAACACACTACAACTTCACAAACCTGATTCAATATGCAGTAGTTAGATTGGTAGACTGCACGCTGCATTGTGTTGTGATAGCGCTCTGTGGAGGGACACTCAGAGCACCAAAAACGAAAGTCAAACTTATACCGCATGTTGTTATTCTGTTGTTTTCAGCGAGTCTAGCATTTTCCAAACAAAAATGTAACATGGTGATTTGAATTGTGGCTAATCTTAAGAGTCTTTTTCTCCTCCTCAGACAAAAAGATGTTTAACCTGTCAGTGACATTGATGCGTGGTCAGAACGAGTCGGGGCAGAACCAGGAGTGGTGGATCGTGAGCCAGACTGAAGCAGGGCCACTCAACAGAAAAACGAAGTTTGACGTTGGGCTGGACGTCTACGTGTTCAGCGACCAAGTCAGTCCCCCCAGTCTGGGCTTCCTGGCTGGATACGGGTGAGTCTGAATGTGATACTGTGATACTTTAGCTATAGATCAGGAAGTGTGCCGTCCTGTGTTAGACCTGGTTTAGTCCTAATCCAGTCCAACCAAATGTGAACGTCCAGTCAGATTTGTTGTTTTTGTTTTTTCAGTAATGCATGTAAAACAAACAAGCTCGTTGGCACCTGTCATTTACAAATAAAATTGACCAATTCTCGTGTGGGGGGTCTGCCATCTGCTTGCCTCTATGGAAATGTTATAGCTTAGCCTAGAATATCCCACAGTATGGCATTAAAATAGCTTTCTCTTATTCAGCCAAGTGAAAAATATGCATTATTACTTTGAGTGGTGCTGGTTCTCCACAGATCTGACCTGTATCTTGGTGTTACCTGTTTGTCTCCATGGAAATGGATAATTTGAATGCCATACTGTCAGGGTTCCCACGGTCACAGAAATCCTGGAAAACCCATGGAAATTTAAAAATGTAATTTTCCAGGCCTGTAAAAGTCTTGGAATTTTGTAAATTTAATGAAAGTTTTGGAAAAGTCATGGAATTTTAGTATCTCTCTCACATAACTACAGCATTCTGTTAAGTTATCAATAGGCTATTATGATTATTTCTGAACGTCTGCGCCTTTTGTTTAAACGAGACAACAATAAATGCACTGACAGTATTTTGAATGTTAAAAACTATAATACCAAACCATAAGGTGAGTGGAAAGGGTTAATATTTCATATTTAGCCCTAAAAGTCTGATCAGGTCTACACATGTAGGTGCCGTAAAGTCATGGAAAATTCACTTTAGGTCATGAAAAACCATGGAAAAGTTTTGAAATTTTGTCAGTGAAAAAGCGTGGGAATCCAGTACTGTGAAATATTCCAGGCAAAGTCCCCCATCCCCCATGGAACCAAGTAAACAAGCAAATCTTCAGCTAACTCACTACATACAACTCGCTGTTGCTGCTGTTCTCCTATAAAAATCCATAAAATCTAAATAAAATAAATAGTCGACTAATACAAATTTTGGTCCACTAAGACATGAAAACTACAGTCAGTTTACCATGTGGCTCATAATTGAACAAGGCCTCAGTTCTGTAAAATATATAAAACATGAATGGATAAATGATCAGTGGTGGATGAAGTACTCTATTCTGTTACTTAAGTAAAAGTAAAGATACAGGGGCAAAAAGTATAGATTATGAAAACTGTTAAAGTGTTAAATGTAGTGATATTGATGAAGAACTGTGCACATTTTTTTCATAACAATAACAATTCCTTCACTGTTCGGTGGAATTTCATGGTTATATTTTTGTTTGCTCAAAGCCGAGACTTGAACTCAAAACCTTTTGTCCAGATATTACCATAAAACTGGTAAACCAACCACTGAAATCATTTAAAAAATACTTTACTTTTGAGTCCAGTTTTTTTAAAAAAATGTAGCGGAGTAGAAAGTACAGATCGCTGCTCTTAAATGTAGTGAAGTAAAAGTAAAAAGGATCCACTGTAAAATTCACTTATGTAAAGTACAAATACCTAAAAATTTTACTTAAGTAGAGTAATTTTACTTGTGTACATTGTTTCTTTCCATTGTTGTAAACACTTAACACCGTTCTCTTTCCGTTTCTTCCTCTGCAGTATCATGGGCCTGTACGCCTCAGTGGTCCTCGTCATCGGGAAGTTCGTGCGTGAGTTTTTCAGCGGGATTTCACACACCATCATGTTTGAGGAGCTCCCGAACGTGGACCGCATCCTCAAACTCTGCACGGACATCTTTCTAGTCCGAGAAACCGGAGAACTGGACCTGGAAGAGGACATGTACGCGAAACTCATATTCCTGTACCGATCGCCAGAAACTATGATCAAGTGGACTCGTGAGAAGACACAGTGAAAATAGTTTGACTTTTCGACAAAACTAGGGCTTTTTGGGTTGATCTCAATGTCGCTAATGTTTTGAGCCAAGTTAGCGCGACTTTATAGGCTTAACAAGTCAACCAAAAGAATCAAGGAGGCAAGCTCACTATTTTTAAGCCATCTACTATGACGCAATGACGTGAAAGAACGGTATTGTATTGTTATAGTAAAGCAATTTAAGTTGCTTGGATTTCAGTGGATATTTTGGTCACTCCAAGATGGCCGACCAAGGAATATCATTGCTAACACGTCAATCGAGGACGAACCCAAGCCTTGAGATGACAGTGTCGCCATTTTGGAAGCCATCTACTCTGAAGTAATGACGTGAAAGGACTGTATTCTAGAAGTAATGTAAAAGCAAGAAGTCGCGTGAATTTCGATGGATAATTCAGTCAATTCAAGATGGCTACCGAGGAATATCGTTGCTAACACGTCAATCAAGGACTAATTCAAGCCTTGTGATGACAATCTTGCCATCTACTATTTTAAAAATGCAATCAAACGGATACCTAGAAGCACAACGTCAACGGAAAACTCGGTCAATTCAAGATGGCTTCTTACAAATCAACAAATCAATCAAGGACTAAATGTTTTGCCTAGCCTTGGATCTCAATGGACAATCCGGTCAATTCAAGATGGCCCCTGGGTTTCAGTTACCTCTTATCGGCGCCATTTTGAGGACTTTTGACCATCCAGAAGATAAATATTTAGTTTTTATGTGTTAACTGCTATGGCAATGGTCTTAATGTTTTGCAGAGACAACCGGATCATTTTTGGACACCGTTTTCTCGTCTTCTTGTATGTTTTAAATTTAAAGCAATTACTGAACTTATCGTAGGTGCTTGGATTTCATCGGATAACTTGTCGATTCAAAATGGCGGCTCCCTTTACGCACTTGTTTCGTTACCTTTAATGAAAGGTAGGTCCAAGGTACAGTTTTAAACCAAAAAAAAAAAACAAAAAAACTTTTTGCGAAAATTGCTTCAACGGACTTAAAACTAAAAAACAAGGGCTTCCCACCAATTGTTTCTCAATGAGCACAATCTCATACTTACAAACTTCGTCCAACTGGAAACGCAAAGGATTATGGGTATGTGCAATAAAGACACTGCAGAAATGGGATATTCAACGTTTTTTAACTCAACACAAACCACTCAATAAAAGACGATGGACATGAACTGGCCTTACCTTTATATGAGAAACAAACTCGCATATCTTTCTCAGGAAGACGGGAGCGCAGATATCACTGTTTGGAAATAAATAAGTACGTATTTAAAGTAGGATTTGATCGTAAAAGTCTGAGTATTACTGTGGCATGATTTGTAAACGTTAAGTTATAAGAAGATGTGGACTGTAAACTGACCGGGTGGATGTGTTATAGATTATATCATTGGCTAAATCGATTCAAGAAAGGTCGGCAGGAAAGTGCATTTGTAACAGCAGTTTAATGGTACTTAGTTAAAAATTTTATTAAGGATGCACCGATACAGCTTTTTCAGTTCTGACACCGATATCGATACTTCAAATAACTACAAAAGCCAAAGCCAAAATCAGCCTGTAAATAGTTTTATTACATCCAGGATCATGGAAACAATGCTCAATCTAGTAAATTTGTCAGTATTGGCGCTAATATTCGATAACAGTGTCGGTATCGGTGCATCCGCAATTTTTGTCTCTATATTATTTGTTCACGCTTGCGTCAAAAAACCAGAAGACGTTTGGAAACACATGGATGACTACTTCCTTTGGGCTCTGTTGGCAAAAGTAACTCTGACAGAATTTTAGAAAACTGAGAAAATGGCTCTGTTTTCTTCATCTACAATGCAAAAAAGCTTAAAAATTCAAGTTATAAACACTTAAATCTATCAGAAAATGACTTAAAATTAGTGAAATTATCTGTCCATGCAGCAAGATGATTTCATTTTTTTACAAGTTATCTGAAAATAAACTACCTCTAGACTAGAATGAAGCCGTCTCAGAACTAGTAAGTAGATGATAAATCTGAAAACAAGATGAATAACCTGATAGTAAGTTTTAAAATCTTGGCTAAATCTGAGAAATTTGCAGTGTAGATGTCATTGTGCGCTTTTGTTTTTCCTCTTTTATAAATTGCCTATTAATTTGTGCATTGTAATTGGTCTAAAAAAACATAACAAAAATGTCATTGTAGCGTAAAGTTAAGTTCAGCAGATTAACAAGTTACAACCAGCTGCCTGTAAGTGACATCGAAGACATGATTAGAATCCCATTGCCCATAAAAAGCTTTGTCAGGTTGTGAAGACGCGGCTGCTGAATCCACGGTTTTATCACATGCCCAGTGACGGTAACTACATTGATAGTCGTGAACCGCATGTTTCCAAAGTCTTCCCGTAAGCGTGAAAAGAGCCTATTGTGAATTTTTTAAACTAATACTTAAAGGGCCTGGACCTGATTTCAGACCGTGAGTCAGGAACATGTTTTAGTTTGAACTCTTAACCCCGCTCACGTGACACTGCACCATGCCAGAGATTCCTAGTAACAACGTGACTGACTGGAGGAAAAGTAGCTTCTGTTTGGAACTCAGCAGTGACCTCCCACCTCCTGTTCTGGAAGTGATTTCTCATTCATTTTCCTCATTCTCATTTGATCTGTTTATCTATTTATTATCTATTTTCAGGGTTCCCAGTGTCATGGAAAAGTCATGGAAACTGAAAATGTCATTTTCCAGTCATGGAATTTTGTAAATTCAGTGAAAGTTTTGGAATAGTCATTGAATTTTAGTGTGTCTTTCACTTAACTACAATGTTTAGTAAAGTTCTCATTAGACTATTGTGATTATTTCCAAACATATGCGCCTTTTGTTTGAAAGAGACGACAATAAATGCACTGACAGTATTTTGAATGTTAAAAAACTATAACACCAAACCATAAGGTGAGTGGAAAGAGTTAACATTTATATTTAGACCTAAAAGTCTGATCAATTCTACACATGTAGGTGCCGTAAAGTCATGGAAAATTCACTTTAGGTCATGAAAAATCATGGAAAAGTTTGGAGATTTTGTCAGTGAAAAAGAGTGGGAACCCTGTATTTCTGAAACTTAAAGTTACTAAAACATTTTGCAGAATCTTGTGCTTTAAATGTGCTTTTTGGCTGTAAAACAATGGATTTTGGAAATGAGTTAGTGTTATGGGAAAAATTAGTGGAAAATTTACTTCAGGAACTGGAACTTGGAAGTGTGCAGGACTGTTGAACTCCATTTGTTTTCACCAGAGAAAATGCAATGTAAAATAGATATGTAGATTATCTTTTACAGTCTTTTTTAGCAGCTTTAACCACACAAAGCAAGATGTAAAGAGCATTTAAAATCAGGTACAGGTCCTTTAAATGTCCTTTTATTTTTCTATATTTCTGAACAACCTTTTAGAACCATTGGAATATCAGATGTATCAAATTCATACAGACTAATCTCTCTTATTATTATTTTGCATCTGTCTTGGTTTTTGTTGAGCAGAACAAACTAAACTACCTCTGAATGGAAATGGATCAACCAGTCAGAAAGCAGATACACAGATGCACGTACCAACTCTGATGCTTTTTTTTCTCCGTTTGTTTATTTGTTTTTAAGAACTGAAAGGCAGGACAGAGGCTAATCAGCTGTGGAATAACTTCTTACCATAACTCCATAATATGAAATAAAACTTGAACACATGAAAATACAGTATTATGTATTTATAACTTTGCCATTTATACAATTTGAGATATATATTTTACATAATGTTGTATTTTATGGTCATGAGTTACTCCACAGCTGTTTCGCCACCGACAAACATTTGGGGATTTTCTAAAGGTAGTTTTACTTTCTTGACCAGACGTGGGTGGGCAATGTTTTGTTTTTTGTTTTCTTTTTCATAATATTTTAGCTACAGGTCATAGACTGTATATATAAAGTCAAAGTCCAGTCAAATGAAGCTCACTGAGGCTGGTGGTTACAGGGTTGAATTTGGAGCCGAATAAGAATATAGGAATAGGATTTTTTTTTACGGACAAAATAGCGAAATAAAAAATTAAAGCAGGATCATGTAGAGCGGGATTAATACAAACATTTTAAGAGCAAAATGAAGAGGCTCCTACGTCACAAACCGGGAAGACGTTTGGAAACATGCGATGACAACTTCCGGTGTGGTTCCCGACACTGGGCTCGCCGACCGACTGATAAAACCCACTGAAGTAAATATGATCAGCAGTAAAATGAAACTGCATACGTATGTGCTGTTTGGAATCATTTTGAATTTGGCGCCTCGTCTCTTCTAATTGCATGTACCCAGTGCGTGAAAACTGAGGTATGGTTGAACGCTACAATGACATGTAGATGAAGAAAACTGGGCCATTTTCTAATTTTTCCTAGATTTTGCCAGACTTACTACCGCGAAGTTGTCATCGCATGTTTCCAGACGTCTTCCTGGTTTGTGACGTAAGCTTGAATAAAGCCGTTAGACCTTTTTCACAACAACCAGAAGTGCTGCGATGTAGGGTAAACGTCATATCTGCTTTTCTATGGCAAAATATCTGTGGAAATGTCTCGCGTATTTTCCACCAACTTCGTAAATCTGCCACAAATCTTTATCCAAGAATTTATCCACAGTTACCAAGGTAAGAAAGACGAAAAACGTAAAGGCGAACAACGACGAGCATTAGTGAACTACTCCTGAACAAAACTAACATTATGGTCATGAATAAAACATAAGTAACTTGTTACCTCAGACTGATTGTAGAATTAAAATTAAAAATCGATTTCATGATGTAGATATTGGCATAGACAGAGAGATTTGTGCAGTTTGAATAATAGACATGTAATCTGTGAACATCTGTAGTATTCAAACTGCACAAATCTCTCTGTCTGTGCCAATATCTACATCATTAAGTCGATTTTTTATTTTAATTGTAGAATATGTCTGAGTGAACAAGCTACTTATGATTCGTTCATGACCATAGCATTAGTTTTGTTCAGTCGTTGTTCACCTTTAAGTTTTCGTCTTTCTTACCTTGGTAGTTGTGGATAAATTCTTCATGGACAGAATTTGTCCTTTGTCGACCTTGTTCCAATCCAATCCA